TAATTCTGTATTCTTTTTATATCTATATAATACTAGGGTTATATAACCTCAATTTTTCTGTAAAGAGTACGAATCCTTTTTTGAAATTGATTTTATGATTTTAAGATTTATGTTTTGATAAAACCCTTAAATCTTAAGGGTTTTCGAAAAGCTTAACAAATCTTCTATATTATATTGGAATTTCTTTTTTATTGATTTTATCGATTAATAAAGAATTTGTTGTTATTATAATATAATATTTGATCTTTTAAGAAATCTATTCTTTTGGATTATATAATCATTTGTTATTGCAATTATAATAATCGAATATTAAAATATCTTTTATTTAATCGATATTTGGATTATATTTCTTAATTTATAAAGTACTAAGGATAATTATATATTTGTTTAATAGTATTAAGTCTATCTTGATCTATTTAATATATTTGTTTGATATAATCATCTTGATAATGTTGATTTCTTTATATACTCAATTGTTAATTTCAGCTTTCTTTCTTTCTAGTAGTGTTAGTTAATAAAGATTCTATTTTAATTCTATAGGAATTCTATTTTCTTTTGTGAAATTGGGATTTATGAATATGCTTATAATTCTGGAATCGATCAAAACGTTAACTTGTTGATTCTTTAGTTTAATTTTTATAATCAATTGTTTGATTCTTATAGTACTATTTAGTTTTAATGATAATGGTTTGATAATTTATTCTTTGATAAGGAGATTCAGTTATTCTTATTAATATTTATTTATATTCAATAATCGATAGAGTATAATGAATAGTAATTTTATTAATTCTATTTGAAAATCTTGATAATAATCCTGATTTGATACTTCTTTATTATTTCTATCGATCCTTTATTAGATATAGTAAGTCCCGATTTGTAATAGGATTTTTTATATCTCTTCAACTTTCAGATTATATTTGTTATATTTCTATACTTCATTAAAGAATAAAGAATCTATATCTATGATATACCTTTTGATATTGTTTACTTTAGTATTTTTCTTAAATATTATATAATAATTATTATCATATATTATTATATAAAATACTAACAAAATAGAATGGTTATAAGTTCTGTATTTCTCAATGAAATCAGGTTTCTTCTCTTTATAATGATATTATATCTGTTTCTTATTTAAATAATTGATTAGATATTATAATTCATTTTTCTAAGGTAGATAATAAGATTCAATTAATTGTTGATCCTTTTCGAGTTTTTTATCTTCTAATTTGAGGTTTTTTAAGGATTCTTCTTTATAATCGATATTGTTTTTAATATTAATTTTAAAATTTTAATTGTTGATATCTAATTCCTTTAGTTACTCAAAGTTGAGTTAAGATAATTCTTTTTCCAGTAATCTTATTTCCTTTAAGTTTCTTTCCAAAATCTTTGTTTCTCAAGAATTCTGTTTTTCGTTCTCAAATTTCATTTGTTTCTTATTTCTTGTAATAAATAATCTTTTCTTTTGAAAACAATCTCAAAATATATATCCGTTTTTCTTATAAATATAATATAAATTATTCTTTTTATACTTTTTCTTTTTATCAATATTTAAATTACTTGGCTTTATATAATATTGTTTAGTATTATTCAATTCTATTAAATCATTAATATTATAATATCTGTTTTAATAATAAGGTTTTTGGAACTTCCTGTTTTCCTGAATGATTTCTTTCTTCTTTATTCATTATTTGTAAAATTGATTATCAATGAGAATAAAGGTTTCGATTAATTTGAAAAAGTTAGATGGTTTCGAAGTTCTCATTAATTTATCTTTGATGATATCCTTCAATCCTTTATAGAATTATGATTTTAGATAATCATTATTCTATATAATATATTCAGTGTATTATTGAAACTTAACAATATAGATTATAACTAATCTGATCTGTCTAAATTGTTATAATGCTCTTTCAATTATATAATCGAAGTTTATTTCCTTGAATATTTTATCGAATCTCTATTTGAACGATTTATAATTAAGGAATAGATAATGAATCTTAGATTTTATACTTTCGTTTAATTGATTATCGATAATCTTGATTATTAAGTCATTGAAGAATAGTTCAATCTAATTGAATATAATTCCTTAAAAAAAGAAAATCAATTATAAAATCCTTTATATAGAAATCAAGAAAAATTGTTTGTTAAAGATATAATAGAGATCAATTTGTATAATAAAAGTTTAATACTTGTTATAATCTTTATAGAATAGATTAAAGATGAATATTTGAATCGTTTGTTTATATTCTATAATAATAATAACCTGAACAAAGACCTTGATTGAATTGAATAAAGATAATTCGGTGGATTGTTGATTAGAAATCATTGTATTATATATAACTTAACTATAACAATACTCAAAGTATAACAATTTGGTCAAGGCAATAACTATCTCAGGTTTTCGTATAATTGATAATTGTAAATTAAGATTAATAATTATTAATTATCTATTCGAAGATAAATATATTACTAGATCAATTAGAATATAAATAAATTAATTGATAATTAAATTAAGTATAAAGCTTTTAAATTATAAAATTATTCTGATTATATATTAATCCATTTTGGGAGCCTTCAGAAGCCTACACTTTTAAGGGCTTCAAGGAGCCTATAGGAGCCTATGTTCCTGGAGGCTCCATCACGTGACTAGGATCAGATCATATATCCGAGCTTGCTGAAGATGAGGAGATCATACAAAGCGGTTGCTATACAAATTTGTATACAAGTTGCTTTGCTTTTCAACAAGGTCAAAGCTTATAGAGACAGGTTGACTGTTACCTCGTGACATTCTCTAAAATGATTTCGTGATAATTGTATCCCTTATAACAATATCTCGACCTATCACTTTTATAATATAAACTTTACAAACTTTACAAACTTAAACAAATCTAATTCAACTTAATTGAAATTATTTAATTCTATTAAAATCATTTAGATTATTAAACTTATAATAATAATAATAATAATAATAATAATAAATATTATTATTATTATTATTTTGAATTGAATTGAATAAAATAAATTGAATGAATAAAATTAAATTGAATAAATTGAATGATTTTAATAAAGTTAAATGATTTCAATTGAATGATTTCAATAAAATTAAAAAAGTTTTAAATTATATTTATTTGAGATTATAAAGCTTATATTAAGTTTTTTGTTAGATTATTTACCAGGGTATTTACTGGAATATTTTAAACCAATTAGATTATCAGGATTACAATTTACTTAAATGAGTTTTTTATTTTCTATCATTTATTAAATAAACCTTATATATAATAAGATTATAATATCAACAAGTTAATAATTAAAAATAGGTTATAAAATTTTTAAAAATCTTCAAATTAAATATTATATAATAGATTAAGATTTTGAATTTTAAATAATATAAATAAATCTTTATTGATATTTGTTACAGATCTTGTATAAAAGACAATTATATGATTTCAATTGATCGACAATTCCTATCGGCGAGCTGATAGACTATTGTCACGAAATCATTTTATAGAATGTTACGGGGTAACAGTCAACCTGTCCTTATGAGCTTGGACCTCCTTGAAAAGCAAAGCAACTTGTATACAAATTTGTATGGCAATTATTTGATAATGGTCTCCCCACCTTCAGCAAGCTCGGACATATAGTCTGATCTTAGTCACGTGATGGAGCCTCGAGGAGCCTACGGGAGCCCACACTCCTGGAGGCTCCCGAAATGGATTAGTATATAACCAGAATAGTTTCATATTTTAAGAGCTTCGTATTCAACTTAGTTATTAATTAGTTTACCTACATTTCAATTGTTCTAGTAACGTATTCATTTTCGAATGAATAACCAATGATTATTAGCCTTAACCTACAACTACCAACCATACGAAACCTCAGGCAGCCGCTGCCTCGACCAGATCGTTATAACTATACACTTGAGTTTTGATTTACTTTTTTTAATATAAGATTATAATCATTTTAATAACTGATGTACACAATTATATAACTATTATATAAATATTTTGTATATAAATATAAATGCTCTCTATAAGTTATAATTTTCAATTATAGATTTTAAAAAATATAATTGATCTTGTTTATTTAGCTTTTATAAGGCTCTTGTATATTACAATATTTTAATTAAAAGAATTTCTATAAAAAAAATTTCAAAATAAATTAATTCATTTCATCAATTATAATATAAATATTTGAAAAGAATTTATAATTTATTTTTAATAATTTTTGTTTAAAAGTAATTAAAGATTTTAATAATTTTTTAATTTTATATATAAATCCTATATAATGTTACAAGAGCTGTGATCTAGATTATATAAAAGTAGTCTGGATCCTCGAATGGTTTATAATTAAATATCAAATAAAGACTTAAAGTAATATCAATGATTATAATTTGTAATTAATAATAAAATATATTAAATAATTGATTTTGAGTACAGAGCTTTATAAACAGAATCCTTTTTAGTTATATAGATTTTTATATTTAAAAACTATAAAGCTTTTAAATCTTTAATATTTCTTTAAAATATAAAAGTCTTTAAACCTTTAATACTCTCTTAAAGTATAAAAGTCTTCAAACTTTCAATACTTTATTATATAATCTTATAATTATTATAAATCTAAACTTAATAAGATTTATATACATTTGTTCTTTATATTATCTCAATCTTATATTAAATCATTCAAATTATATTTTATAAATATATAATCAATTAATATAAAATCTGTAGTTGTAATATATAAATTGAAAAATTAAAAATTTAACCTTTTGAATCTCAGTCAAATCAATAGTGAAAAGTCTGAAATTTTCAAGGTCGATTGATAATTATATAATAAATCTATAATTCAAATTTCAATCGATTTTATTCATTAGTTGTTGAAATATTAATAGGTGAAAATGATTATTTTTAGTGTGAAAAGGTGACCGGAAAGTAAAGTACTAGACATTTTTAATTTTCTCATTTTTTATTTCTCATTTCAAAAATATTTATTAACTAGATCTGTTCAATTTCTATTCGGTTTTATTCATTTGAAATATAATACTTTCTCGTTCTTAATCATTTATCTTTTATTTGATTTTATATCTTCCTATCATTTCTCTCAATAATGTTATAATTCGTTGCCTCAAGCTTATAATCCCCCATGCCCCTCACGCTATGCCTTGTAAGAAAAGAAAGAAATAGTAAATTTCAACATTTGTTTCGTAGGAGAGAAGAATCAAAAAGAGAAGAAAAAGAAAAGGATTTCAAATGTACAATTGGGCTGAGCCTGCCGCCATCTTTGCCTTTTCAAAAATTGCAAATTTCAAACGTAATCGCAATGGCAATCGTAATTGCAATGACATCCCAAACTCCATTCCATGCCAGATCATTCCATCCTTTCCCGCCTTCCTACTTCCACAAAAGTCCTTCCGCTATCTCTTAACTAGGACTCGGTAATGGACTAACCGTATCCAACGGGGCCTTATGTAATGCCGGTTGAGCATGCGTACCCATCAAACCCTGCTTTTTCCTCTCAATGGCATTCTTCACCCACTCTGCAACTTCTGAATCTTCTGTTCCTGTCAGGATTCCATTTGATTTATCCTGTTCTACTCCATCCTCTAGGTTCAAGCTTTCCATGTCAACATCCTCTTCATCTTCATCCTCTTCCGAAATCGTGCTTGGTTTCGAGAGGTCCGCGAGCCATGGATGTTGAAGTAAATCACTATATGTAGGACGCAGTTTCGGAATTTTGTTAAGACAACCACGAACGAAATTGCGGGCGACTGGGGTAAAACCTTCTTCTGGAAGGTCGGGTGGGTCACCGTCAACAATAGCCTTATCCATGTTAGCTTTCGATTCCCAAAATGACGAGTTAAAAATCAAGACCTACACTTAGCTGTGAGAAGATATTGTTGTACGTCTCAGGTGGATATGGGTATCTTCCCATTGCGCATTCAATAACACTTAATCCCAAAGACCAAATATCACTTTGTACACTATACGTTCCACCCCCAGGATTTGCACCAGCTTGTGAGATTCCACCACCAGAAATTCTTTCTGGTGCCATATATGATTGACATCCAATATTCGTTTTCGCAATACTAGCAACCAAATTTCCGGACACTCCAAAGTCACAAATTTTGACCTGTCCTTTGGTATTTACAAGGATATTCGTTGGTTTAACATCCCGATGAATGATGTTATGTTCATCTTTAAGAGTCTTTAAACCTTGAGTGGTGGCATATGTGATTTTTCTGAGGACGTTTTCGGGAATACCATCTCCATAGAGTTTATCGATCGATCCACCATCCATAAATTCTATACAGATATAAACTGCACCTTCCTGGAAAAATGCTCCGTAAAAGTCGATAATGTATGGACTGAGACATCTATGAAGAATATCCAATTCCATGATAATGGCGGCGAATTTGGCTTCATCAAGTTCTAGACGAAGTTCCTTCATTGCCATTACCACGCCGGTGGTATCCCCTGTTGGTTTGACTTCACTATCATCGATATCCATTGCAGAGGGAGATTTATTTCCCGCCAGACCCAACCCTGGTTTGCGCATTCGTGGTCTTGCATGTCGAACTTTGTAAACGGTCCCGTAGTTACCTTTACCCAGTTCTTCCAGCGTGTCAACCTCATCCAATGATATATTGAAATTGGTTCCATTCGCAAAGTCAATACCATTTCCATGGATAACTGCTTTCCCAGCAAATTTTAATGTGCCATTTTTTGTATCGACATATTTTGCAAATTGGTTAAACATAGAACCTCCATTCGAAGTATCTGGTGCACCATTTGACTCCGAACCTGGTGCGGCAGCTGGGGCCGGAGGTAAACCACCCGGTAATTTCATTCCTCTTCTTGCACTTAATCCACCACCCATCTTCATCTTCGGAACTGCCGGAGCAGAAACAAAGGATTGTGGTGAAGGTCGCATATTCGGCGGTAACTGTAATTTTCCAGGCAAACCATCTACAACAGGCGAACCTGGTATCCCAGGTGCTGAGACTGTAGTAGACATTTGGGGCCGTGGACTTGGTGTGCCTTGTCTTGATGAGTGGAATGCTTTCATTTTTTCTGCCATAGAAGGAGGTAATGCACCACCAGCTTGTCTTCCTGCTTGTGAAGATCTAGACCCTGGTATCGATGGACCAGGTCTTGGCCGTCTAGCATTTGCCAACATCCCAAGTGGGGTAGAAGATGCTGTCATGGTCGATAACCCTTCAGAATCTGGTACGGCTCGAAGAGATGGTAGAGAAGGAGGTTTTGAGGAGGACGGTGATGTGGGAGCTTCATTTGATTGACCATCCGTAAGTTTTTCATCCAAAGGAAGAGTATCTTTGGTAGCGAAATCGATTGCATCGCACGGAGGAACCATCGAATCTAATTGAGGATTATCTGCCATGATTTTGGTAGGAAATTGTGTTTGCATTCGGAGATCGTATGTTGTGCGGGGTAGGGATGGAGTAAGTTCTGATTGATGTTCTAGGGTAGAGAGAGTTAGTGAGGAAATGAAATGATGAGTTTCTCTCTTGGTTGAAAGAATGTACCGACTGATGTTAGTGAGGAAATGAAATGATGAGTTTCTCTCTTGGTTGAAAGAATGTACCGACTGATTGAATCTTCTCTGGGTGGAACAATGCATCGATTGATTAAATCCTCTCTTGGGTGGGAGCATATATCAATTGAAGCAATCATGGGAATTGCACAACTCACCTCGATGTAGTAAATTCCAAATACGATGAAATCCTTAGTGACCTTGTAGTTATCGTGCTTGTAAGTTATGATTCAGGAATTATCGTGTTGGGTCGAGAGAAATCGATGGAGAGGGGGAAGCTTCGGTCTAGAGCATAAGCTATAAGATAGACCTAGACCAAATAGCTCTTAGGTTTTCGAAGATCCCTTCCGGCTCAACTCTCTTTGGTTCTTGTGATCTTTAGTTTGCCTCTTTAGCCTTGGGTGATAAAATAAGAAGTTGTTGAGCCACACATACGCCGTCTGCCAGTCCGCGAAATGATTTCCGACTTTCGTGTGAAGACTGGGTGGGGTAGGAGATCTGGGGCAATTTCGGAGGGTATGAAGCTATTGACTGGGTTCGATGGAAGCTTAGATGCAGCCTTTTTTTTTATTTTCTTCCCATTATTGTCTGACTTTTCTGCTTTTCTTCCCAAATATTTCGGGTCCGCTGGTTGAGAACGGGTGTCCGGTTTATAATAGGATGGATTAGACAGCTGAGGGCTTTGGATTCCTCCTGGGGAGTTTTGATTTATAATGAGGGGGGATGATCTTTGATAAAGGTAGTAAGTAGTCGGTAGGCCGTAATAGGTGGGTAGATAGGTAGGGGGGTAGGTAGATACACCGGTGATAGGAAGGATTGTTGTCGAATTGAGGATCTTGAGGTTTTATTGATAAGAGAATAGAAGAAGTATTCTGATAGTAGTAGGTATGGAGGTATGGAGGTATGGAGGTATGAAGGTATGAAGGTAGACGGTAGACGGGTGGGTAAGTAAGTAGTGAAGAAATGCCCCGGCTATTAAATTGATGGTTGTTTCAAGAAATATCTTGATGTTTGTTGCTGAATTGAAATTAATTATGATATTTTTCGAGTAACTTGACAACGTAAGTGTACCAAGAGGAGCAAGGTAGGTAGGTGGGTAGCTATGTATGTAGGTATGGGTAGGTGTATAGGGTAGTATTGTAGGATTGTAGAACAATAAGATAAATTACCAACAAATGGGATTTTCCGGTCCCTTGATCATCTGTATTTTCTGTTTAAAATGTCGATATCGCTGATCTTCTCCAGATTCATAACCATTGGCTTTTTTATTCGTATGATATTGGTCAAATGGGTCAAGAGGAAGACCCTGATATTGATGTGGTATAGGATTAAGGGTATGTATGGGATTCGTTGGATGATGAAAAGTAGGGTAAAAAGGAAAGAGAAGGGTGAAAGATTTCAAGTACGATGACGTTGTGAGTGAAGTTTTCCGGAGGAGGGGGTAAAATAGATGTATAAAAGAGATAAATGTATGGAGGGGCTTGGTGAGTGGGTGGGCGAGTGGGTGGGTGTCAAAACCAGGGAGGGGGAGGGGGGGGGGGGCGTGGGATGGTGGAATCGTGATGATGGCGGTGGTATTCTACTTCTGTCGCACTGTCATAATATACCGGATGGATGCCGTCTATTTTCTACTTTTTCTGGACAGGTATGATAAGAGAGAAAGTGGCATCGTTCGTGGCTTGAAGATTCCATTGGTAATTAATTATATTATACCCAACGTCTCATTTTGATTGGTTACGAGGAACGAGATGGATATTTCACTGGATCCCAACCTTCACTTCAACCTTTAATCTTCTCTATTATTCATCATCTCCATTCCGGGATCTCCAATATCCATCCAATATCCATCCAATATCCTTTGCCCAATCTCTAATAACAATTAAATACCCACTTCCCTTTCCATCTTCACTGTCCCAGCAAATCTAAAACCGGGGCATTTCTCCGTCCACCCATTCATCATCATCAATTTCCGATTCAAGCCACATACGAAAGAAAGCTTGCAGGCGCTGAAACGTGGAGCTCGTGGAGTTCGAACTTCGAACCATGAAATTGGAAGAAAGGACCAACTCAAGGTGATGGCTGTCTACGTACTCTGTCCTTGCTGCCGTAACGATTATCTGGTCTTGTGATCAATGGTCATGATGAGATATACCGGTACATCTATCTTCTGCTTCGAGGTCATTATTAGTACTATTGATCCAATATCTATCCATCAGACGAACTGACTCAATCGATGTTTTGACAGCCTCGACCGGTTGTGCTCTCCGTACAATAAAGCTTAATTCTTGTGCTAAACGAGTCAGCCTCACTCTCATCACACTCAAATTCAAATTCATCAACTCAGTTTACGCATCTCGATTTGCCATGAATCAAGGCTTTAGTGTTCTGGAAAACATATACCTATCATATGGGTTAAGGCCACAAGGTAGTACATATCAAATGTGAGGGGAGACGATTGTCTTGCTGGCCTGAGATATCCTTCACTCTGACTCAGAGCAGAACTCAGATGTTATCACAACTCTTTCCAGATTGGGAAGAATTCAATCGGATGTATCAATTGATAGGACTTTGTGAAGATGTTCTACTTCGCCTTGATTTCATGTTAGTAATACAACAGCTTGAACGATCTTCATAACGTTGTCCTGCTGTTTCTATTCTTATATATTTACACGAGGCATCATAACGATCCAACCGATTCTCCGCCAAGTAGATCTGCTACTCTACCACTAAGAAACTATCATAATCAATCCACTTTTCCCTACTTTGATTGGAGGCATGCCAACTTATTATAGAGTGGATAACACTAACACTGGATGGATATGAGTGATGGATAGCTTTGACGTTTCTTTTCCATTTCTCATGCAGGCGAACGTCAGATTTTCAGATTATCAAGGTACAAGTACAAACAAGAAAATGAAGGAAATGTGGAGAAGTTTAGCTGGAAAATCATTGTCGTCATCGATGTGGCTGTGAAGGGCTTAATGTGGCTGGGTATCAACTATCGACCTTCTTATCAGTTGAGAGGAGCCACAGGAGGTTTGCTGGTGACAAGCACGAGTATCTTTATGCGGAGAAGGGCGAAAAGAGGTGAAGGGACTTTTGAGTTGAGCTGGGTAGAATCGTATTGAATATTGAATATTGAATTATGAAGGGAGGAGAAAAGTGATTTCGTATTTCCACAAATTGACATCATTCTCAGCAACAATTGTATCATCTCAACCACCACCAAGTTACACATCATACACCATACACCATACACCATACACCATACACCATACACCATACACACCCACCATAGACATCAGGAAGAATGATAAGAAGTAACTAGGTATCTCTCTCATTTCCCCCGCATATCATACCTAAGTACATTGTGGTATCAATTCCTGAGCATCCACATCTAAATGGTCAAAGGACCCAAGTATCTATCGATGTAGAAAAACCGGAAAATGTTCAATGGCATCAATGGCATCGATGGTAGATCTTTATACAATATATACGACAATTAGAAATCCCCGGACACGACATTGGGATGATGTTATCGTCTTGGCCGAGTACCGAGAAGTAGAGTATTGTTACCATGTACAAGAGTACTGCAGTCTGCATGAAGCCTTATTGTGTATCGTGGGGAGTGAGTAGTGAGTAGTGAGTAGTATATATGAGAAGTCAAGGTGACTTTGAAGTTTGAGGATTGTTTAATGAATATTTCTTTGACTCAATTGGGTGATATATCAATTCTTTGTCACTTGTGTTATGGATGCAAGCCATTCATAACTTGATTCCTAGTTTAAACCTTTTTGCCAACTTTACAGACAAACGTCGCGTCTTCAATTTCTTTGTCTATCCTTGGCCGCTAGCACCCAAAAATATACATACCGTCCGTACCGTTACCGTTTATCGTTCAACTTGATATCAAAATCCTCAAGATTGGGTCCGGTGCTACAGTTCAACAGCTCTAGAATTCTCAATGCCCAAAAACCTCACATCATCATACACCGTAAGCATACCTACTCGTAAGCACCTTATGTATATCCCATGTTACCATCATCGACTTTCCTTCGACAGTACACACAGTGTTTGTGTCTACGCGGTATCCAAAGCAAGATTATCAAAGATTTGAATGGCTGAGAACGGATCAACAGAACCCAAAACCCACCAAAGTATCAAGAACCAACCAAGACACAACGCCACCCCTTAGCCTTATCTCCATCAAAATTATTCAGGTCCCAAAGACAAAAAAAGACAAAAGAAGCTAGAACCCACGTCAATTTGGCCCAGGCGTTCGTTACACCGTACCGTTACACAGCCCGCATAGCTCGAACTATTGAAAGAAAGGAAGCAACAGAACGTGAAATAGAAAGCCGATCGATCGCACTTCATTAAAACAATCAATTTGGTCTTTCGAATTTTCTTCAATTAAAAACATCCATCAAAATTTATTATTAGGAAGTCAAAACATAACAAATCACCTTGTCAAGACTGTTTGAAACGTCAATTGTCAAAGAGGACGAAAGTGCCTCGAACACCTCAACCTCAACCTCAACCTCAACCTCAACCTCAACCTCAACCTCAACCTCAACCTCAACCTCAACCTCATAAAATTCTACCAATTTCTATCGCAGACTTTTGATCAATCACTCATTCCCATCAGACTTATCATGGGATTCTTCACATCACCCACTTCCTTCCGGCTTGCTAATTTAGCCACTGGCAATGATGTCGGCGCATCATCTATCTCAACACGATCAATCACAGATGTCGCATTCGGATCCTTGGCAAATGATCATTCTTCACATCCTTCCCTTGGACATCTTGTCCTTTTAGTTTTCGAAGCTGTGATGGAAGTTGTGTGTGTCAGTTTACCTGGTTATATTGTGGCACAACAAGGAATGTTCGACGCGGATAAACAGAAGTTCTTAGCAAATTTAAATGTTGCTCTATTCACCCCTTGTCTGAGTAAGCAATCTTGGGAAGTTCAACCAAGGAGATGCATGCTAACAACTTGAACAGTTTTCACAAAGTTGGCATCTCAATTAACAGCGGATAAATTAGTCGAACTTGCTGTCATACCGGTGATTTTCATTGTGCAAACGCTGGTATCATACTTGGTCTCGATAGGAGTTGGCAAAGCATTTGGGTTTGGAAAAAGACCCGCAAACTTTGTTACTGCTATGGGAGTATGTTATTCTAGCTTCTGAATCGATGAAAATGCTAATGTGATGATCTGACAGGTATTCGGAAATTCGAACTCTTTACCCATCTCTCTCGTCATTTCATTGTCGCAAACATTGAAAGGTTTACATTGGGATAAGATACCTGGAGATAATGATGACGAGGTAGCTGCGAGAGGTATTCTATACCTTCTCATCTTTCAACAATTAGGTCAACTCGTTCGTTGGAGTTGGGGTTACCATGTTTTACTTGCACCGCCTGAAACATATAAGGATGAAGAAGAGGGTCGATATAGAGATGAACCTGTTTTGATTCCTGGTCTGGATGGTGATGAAGATTCGGAAGACCACGCTGAGTCGTCTGCGAATTCTTCTGATTTCGGTGGTAGAACGCCAGTTAACCATACTTTACTCGACAACTCCGAAGAAGAAGAAGAACCCGCGAAATTACCAGGTATTATGGCTACACCAACCAATGGAAATCATTTACCGGGAAACAATCATGATATTACTTCATTCCCAAGTATTCCAACACCACAATCGGAGGAGGAAATGGAAATTCCAGATGGAATCAGAGGTTGGATCCCACGCGCCAAATTTCACACTAAACAAAGTGTCGTCAAAGCATCTCATCATATCTATTATTCGCTACCCACTCCAGCACAAAGACTTTTAACCAAGGTTTCAAACGCCACCAACAGATTTTTGAATGGTCTTTGGGAATTCATGAATCCTCCTCTTTGGGCTATGCTTCTCGCTGTCATTGTCGCATCCGTCCCAAAACTTCAACATCTTTTCTTCGCTGAAGGTTCCTTTATCGCTAACTCCGTCACACGCGCTGTATCCCAATCAGGAGGTGTCGCCGTTCCTCTCATATTAGTCGTGCTCGGTGCTAACCTCGCTCGAAATACTCTCCCACAACATGTCCTGGATGAAAGCTCTGAAGAAAATCAAATCGGTACCAAACTTCTCATCGCCTCCTTGATATCGAGAATGTTATTACCTACATTGATCATGGCACCAATATTAGCACTTACCGCAAAATATGTTCCAGTGAGCATATTGGATGATCCGATCTTTGTCATTGTGTGTTTCTTATTGACAGGAGCACCAAGTGCATTACAATTGGCACAAATTTGTCAAATCAATGGGGTATATGAGGGAGTGATGAGTAAATTACTTTTTCAAAGTTATGTTATTTGGATTTTACCAAGTACGTTGGTGTTGGTTATGTGTGCGTTGGAGGTTGTTGAGTGGGCTGCTTAGGTTAGGAGTGAATTTGAGAAGTGCATCCATCATTTTAGGTGCACGGAAAAGGGTGAGGGGTCGATGAAATGCATAATGAGGAGGTGGATTGTCTTTCTGGTTGAATGGACGAAACTAAAATATACAATATATGCTTATGCATATACGGATAAGTTTGGGCCTGGATTCGGAAGAATTAACTGTATACTTTAGATGGGGAAGGCTGGATGGTGCATCAGCGTGGCGTGGCGTTTTGGGATTTTATGTTGATTGGTTTGATAACATTGTAATGATGTATTTTTTATGCACCGATGGTTTGTAGATTTTCGAATGGGGAGGTGAAGGGAGGGAGAAAGGAGGAGAGGAGGGGGAAATGAGGAGATTATACCATGAGATGAGATGAATGCAGATATGAATTAAGGAAATAATAATAATTAATACCATGCATACACATACACATATATATATATATATATAAATCATATATTAATCTTCCTTCTTGCTCTTTAACTTTACTAGGGGCCTGCGCCCCCGGACTCCTGGCTTTTCGAGAAAGTCTAATGAAAATTTAAGGTTTAAAAAGTTTATAATAAATTTAAATATTGAATATATATCAGAGTGCAGACAGAATATCGGCTTGTTTTTGATAATTGAAAACTAAATTTTTTTAATTTAAAATAATATTTTATATTATTATTATTATTATTGTTATTTTATGTTATTTATAATATTTATAATAATTTATATTATTATTATTATTATTATTATTATTATTATTATTATTATTATTATTATTATTATTATTATTATTATTATTATTATTATTATTATTATTATTATTATTATTATTATTATTATTATTATTATTATTATTATTATTATTATTATTATTATTATTATTATTTTAAGTTAAACAAGATGAAATGAATAAATAAAATAAAATTGAATAAATAAAGTTGAATTGAATGATTTCAATAGAATTAAAAAAAGTTCTAAGTTAGATTTGTTTGAGGTTATAAGACTTATATTAAGCTTTTTGTTAGATTATTTATCGAAGTATTTTAGACCAATCAGATTGTCAGGATCGCGATTCATTTAAGCGAATTTCTCATTTTCTATCACCCATCAGATAAACCTCGCGTACAGCAAGATTATAATGTCGATAAACCAACAATAAAAATAATCAAGATAAATAAAATATATATAGTTTTTATGAATTTAGAAAATAGTTTTCTAGACTCTTCGGGCGGACTCGAGTCATACGATGTGAAAGATAAAACTAGATCAAAAAGGATCCCACGTCTCCAACTACACCTCCTAGTCTATATACCTTCAACATTTTTACTTTTCATTCTGATCTTCCTGGATAGACACCTTTGGAATATTTTTACAAGGATACAGTATAGAAACTAAATCTTTGTCGGGATCGGAGCAGTATTAATATTGTATGGGGCTAGATATACTAGAGGTTTTGACACACGTTTGGAGGGCGAGCTAATAGGACGACAGTCCTACTCGACTTCAAATAGAATATACTGTCGACATCAGCTATGAACCACATTTGGCACCATCAACTTGCCGTATTGGAGATATGTTAGTGAGTTAGAAGGTCATGATATTTGAAGCATATAGATCGTTGTTTTGCGATTTCTTGAAATTTTCGCATGCGATACTTATGTACCATCCTATCATAGGAAGCTTATTTGCTCGTCCCTACACCTTCTTTTATAATAGTGTCGAGGAAGTTCATACCATCTCTTAGCTTTCAGTGGATCCTATCAAGGTATTGTGACGAATAATAACCTGATGTCTACCGTAAATCAAAATATATAGAGAATTTCACCAGCACAAATTTGTTTTATGTTCACTTCCTCTCCACAAATTTCTATAAGAGACCTAAATATCCTCATTTATTTAACTGTCAAGACGAGTCCCGAAAAACTCAGCCACCTTTGAGGCGAAAGCCGAGAGAAAGCACTGTATCAGGTCCAATATTAGGGATCTTCTGAGTAGGTTATCTAGCCACGGGAAATACATTGCGTAACTGTGAATTCTATCAACATATCGGCAATGACAATATATTATATAGAGAATAGAAAATCGACAACAGTAGTAAAAGTTGGAAGTAACAGTATCAATATCTGATCCGTGAGCCCTTCCTATACGATACATCGATCAAAACTTTATAATTACTCGGTTATTTCATGAATAACATCTTAGAATCTAATTCCTTCGAAACACACCTGGTCCTTATTGATAAGAAGCTTTCATTATGAATAAATGTTCCGGGAATATACTACTCGAGGGATTAATCCCCCCAAACTAAAAACATAAGGCTTTACTTGAACAATAATATCTAGCAATATATCAAAACTAAAATCGTATAATAAGTTATATTGATAAAGAAAGATTACTTTTTAATTAATATATTCTTATAAATAATCTCAAATATATAAATACAAAAACTAGAGCCGGAGTATTTTCTCTCATTAAAATATTTAGATCAAAAGAAAGATTATAATCTATAAAAAGAAAAATATCATTGATAATCTGAAAGGAAACTATTGAAGATATTAATTATTATAAAGTTTTTATAATTATTGAAAAAGATAATTGAAAAAGATATATAATTTTAAAATAATAAAATCAACAACAATAATAATTATTTTGAGAATTATTTACTATTTATAAATTATAATAATAATAATAATTTAATCTTATTAATATAAACAATATAATAACTTTATTAATAATACTTTATTTATATAAATAATATTATTAATTAGTTTTTTTAATTATATATAATAACAACCTCATCATTTCATATCTCTATCTTTAATTCTTCTTAAAAGTATCTTATTCTAAATCTGAAAAACTTTGACTCGGTATAATGAGAATCATAATCTCCAAAAATTCTTTCAATTTGACTTTAAATAATCTATACAGTAACTAAATAATTATAATCTCAATAACCAACATCTTCTCTTCTTCCACAATCCCTTGATAGTATTTACAGAGTAGCTTCGCAGGCTAATATGAGATATTGTACCAGCAGTCCGCGCGTGCTAAATATACCACCTGATACCCCTTTCCTACCGGTGCGAAAATATACAACTATAACCTCATGAACACTCTGCAACTAATTAGGAAGTATTTTATATTATTCTCTCATGGGCTTGTTGATTTTTCATCTGTATACTAGTGTAAAAGTAGTAGGTTGAGATATGTGCATCCCGATAATATATTGTAAAGGAAATTGGAAAAGAAAGTTGATTGGATCATACTATAATATATCACTTATAAAGAAAACAGTTTTGAAATTGATATTATATAGATTTAAATATATATATATAGAAGATTGATTATTTTGAAGAGAAGAAACAAAAGCTCTTTTTTTATATTATAAAATTGATAGGTCGAGATACATACGTCCCGATAATATATTGTGAGAAGGGAATTAGAAAAGGAAACTGAATTAGATTATATTATAATATATCACTTATAAAGAAAACAAGATTCACAATAGTTTTAAAGTTGATATTATATAAGTTCAAATGTATATATATAAAAGATTAATTATTCTCAAAAGAAGGAACAAAAGCTCTCTTTTTATATCTAATTACAAAAGGTTATATAATTGATTAATTAAAAACCCTTATGTATCTGACCTATAATTCCAACTTTCTTACACTAGGTATAATCTTAATATCAAGACCTTATAATTCATACCCATACAACCTCTCAAAATCCAGCAAGCCCAACCCAAACATCAAATTTCTCCATCTGCATCTGCATCCGCACCCATAACATCCCTTCCCATCCAAACACATCTCAAATATAAAACTTCGCTAAATTTTGCAGCACAAAATCGTAACTTTTCCCCCTAAAATCATCATTGATAAACGTGCTAAAATCCGCAAAGAAATTAACCAATTTCGCTCCATTGCTATAGCGCGGCCAATTCGGATACGATGTACTAGTCCCATTATTCGGATCGAGGGTATTGACAAAACTGAGATAATAAGCTTTGCTAGCCGCCGCCGCATAGTTCGCATTGATGCCATCGAAGACTTGTAATATATCTGAACCGTGGAAGGTGCCCAGGATCGGGGTGCCGTAGTCGTAAGATGAGAGGTAGGACCAGGAGGGGACGTTGGGGGCGACTTTTAGTGTGGTTTGGAGGAAGATGCGACGGGTGAGGGTGAAGGTTAGGTCGCCGAGGATGGCGGATAGGCGTTTGAATTGTGGATACCAGTTATTGAGTAGGAGGGTTCGGAAGGGAGAACCGGAGATAAGGTCGTTGGGATATGTGTCAAGTAAACCGGTTATGACGGATGCAGGGGCATTGTTGAAGAAGACATTGGAGAAATAGGTTGCGAGTTGGTTTGTTGTCGTGATGTTTGATTGGAAGAGAGCGAAGATTGTTCCTTCATCTTCTTGGTCGCCGATTATGAAGGGGACTTTTGCCCATGCTCCGGAAGAAAGGAGAAGGTCCGGTGATTTTGGAAGAGCCGTTCCATCTGGACGAGGGAGATAGTTAAGGGCGACGGATGTATAACTTAGGAGGCTCGAGACAGAATTTGTTGCATTGAGAAGGGTGGAGTAAGAGACACCTCGTAAGCAAGCTAGAGTATTGCTTGCCGCAGAACATCCTGCTGAAGCTACGACTGTGTCGTAGATCTTCTGACCTTTTGGACAATCGACGGGATCGGCCGGGATTATACTTCCTGAATTCATAATGGCTCCACGGAACAATGCTTTACCCTTGTATGTGTTGTCACCTCCATACAAAGCCATTTGATCAAAGACTGAGATTGCTCCAGCTGACTCCCCCCAAATAGTGACCTTTGATGGATCTCCACCAAATGCGGCAATGTTATCCGCAACCCTGAAACTGTGTTAGTCTGATCCTTTGAGAGTAATAAATGAGGAATTAAAATGAAAGTAAGAGATTCAAGGCTCAAATATGATTGAGTAATGAAGTATGCAATAATAGCGCAATAAAGACAAGATATTGAAGATGACGGAATGACAGCGAAACGTACCATTGCAAGCCCAATCTCTGATCTAACAATCCCAAATTTGCACTTCCATCAGCCAGAACTTCAGCACCAGGTAAAAATCCAAAACCACCGACCCGATAAGCCACTTGCACAAAAATGATCGGTTTACCCTGAGCAATACTTTCAGCTACCCATGAAGATCCATCATACATCGCCGTTCCCCCTAATTCAAATCCACCTCCAAAGATCCAAAACAAGACTGGCAATTTCGATGAAGCAGTAGTACCAGCGGGTCTTTGAATATTCAAGTACAAACAATCTTCTCCGGAATTGAGAACTTGTTGGAAAATGGGTGTGTTCAGAAGAAGACCGAGTGCTGATGTAGGAATTGCATCATTGACTACACTACTGAAGTAGAATTGGGGACAGCTAGCAGCTTGTGCTGTTGCTTTGACGGTACCTAATGCAGAAGTGATAGGTTGAGGTGGTTTGAGTCGAAGTGCACCGACGGGAGGTTTGGCAAATGGAATACCAGCAAAGGTTTCGACAGTTGTACCGGCACCTCCGATGATTGTCGCTGCTGGGGATGCAATTGTAACAGTTGGGGCTGTGGCTCTCTCTTCAATTGGTACATCTCGCTCTGTATTTTCAACTGGAAGAGCAAAAGCAATTGACAGAAGACCGATGATTGAAACTAGTGAAAACTTCATCATGAATAAATGTGAAGAGTTTTCGACTTTGGGAAAGAAAGTAGGACGACGAGTGAGCACTACCGCAAATCGAAGTGAACCCTCCGTTGCTTGCTTAAACTATAACAGCAATTAGAGTATCTCCTCGTCGTATTTATAGGGGAAATCTCAAAGATACATCCTCGGTTGCTGAATAAGATTGACCATCTGACCCTTCCTGATATCCATTGCTTTGACGCCAGCAAATTTGGCATTCACATGGTTCGAGGATCGGTCCTCGGTTGATGGTACACAAATTTGATGATAGTGCTTCTGAGATCGTTTCCTGTTGTGGTGTTGCATGTACGACCGGATAAATTTCCGTTAATAGAAACTAGTGGGGAATGGAAGGAAGTTTACTCGGGCTTGTTTTTGATGAGGGCCGGGCCCGAGCTTTTATACTTTTCTTCACCAAAAATCAATCTTTTCAAAAATCTCTATTAATTCGATTATATATTATATAGTTCTAAAATTTTGAAACAAGTTCAAAAATCAAAAAATAAATAATTAACATTAAACATTATTCTTTTTAGTGGAATATTTCTGTGTTAAAATAAGTTTGATTTTTGAACTTATTTTAAAATTTTAATACATTCAACTTTCGATTGAAATTTGAATAAAATAATTTGGAATTAATAAAATATTATTATATTAAAATTTATATAAACATATGATCTATTTAGAAATTTCAAAGTATATATAATAATTATTTGAATTATTTGAAATCTTTAAAAAAGGTGATTTTTGATGTAGAAATGTGCTTCGCTAAACCCCCGGCCCTCATCAAAAACAAGCCCGAGGAGGGGGTGTGGGGATGCGGGGTCGGGTAAGATTAATACGCCTTTGCGTCAGCCCAACCTTGATTTTACACACGACGGAAGCTTTTTGGAGCTCCGAGCTTGAAGTTTCTTCCCCATACCCATGTCACACATACAATATCCATGTATAAGAATCGTATTCATAGCGCTAAGTTCTAACACATGTTATTGTGAAAGAAAATGAAGATCCGAGTTGAATACCGGTATGGTACGCCAAGTGCCGAGACTAGATACTTAAGGCTATTTACGTGAGTGCATGCTTTGTTATTAGAGATATCAGTCATCTTCCATCTTCAAGGATCAATCAATGCAATTAAATCTTCGATCCATTCGATGTAAGTTTGGCCCAGTCCCGATTTAATGAGAAATCTTTCGTTTACGCATGGGCACCCACGGCATTCAATATTCTTCAGGTAAACCTAGGCAACTTAACCAAATGAAGTCCTCGTCCCGAATATGTCTTGTCTGTTGACTCTGTTCTCTCGATTGCCTCAAGAAAGCAAAGATAACCATGATCTGCTAGTCTCTGATTTTTAGCCTCTGATTTTTAGTCCAGAGTTTAAAAATAAAGTAAAGGGTTCCAAAGGTGGATACTGCCGCCTCTGCCAATTGAACACGTGCCAGCTGTAATGTGGACCTGTCGTATAGCTCTACATTACGACGGTGCTAATAACCTTGGGAAGATTTCTACAGCAGTTTCAACGAATTTCTAGCCCACTTGTAGGAGTATCTAGCTTGTGCGGTAGTAGGCATTCCAAATAATATGGCTCCACAACAAATTTATAAGCATTCGGGCCACATTTGTTTTCTGTACGAAAATATGCAAGAATTGACGTATTTGATTAAAAATGCATACTGCGACGCAAGGTAAGTCAGCTAGTACTCCACGGTTATTCGGGTGAAAACACGAGGTTTCTGGAATGAATCTGATTAAAAAGAGCTGTTTGATATAAATTAAAAAATAAGTCTAATACTTTATTCAAACCGCTTATAATTTGAAATATCTTTTCTTGTCAAAAATCACAAAAATTAATCTTTATAACTTGTTTATTTATAAAATAATACACTTTAGAAATTTCAACTTTTTTATAATTTTACTGATTAAATTCTTGAAAATTTTAAATCAAATATTATATAACAAATTAAGATTTTAAATTATATAAAGAATCTTTTATTGATATTTTTAATTCTTATAAAAATTAAAAATTATAACATTTTGATTAAAAGAATTTTTTTAATTTGTTTTTTAATACATATTGATTTATTCAATCAATTATAATATAAATATTTAAAAAAAATTTATAAAATTTTTTTGATAATTTTTATTAAAAAGTTATTTAAGATTTTTTAGATTTTGTAAATTTATATATATCTTATATAATCAAAAATAAAAAAATAAGAATTTATAAACCTCAACGAAATCAATTACAAAAATTCTAAAAATTTCAAAATTTATTTATAATTATATATATAATAAATATAAAATTCGAATTTTATCACATTATATTCATTCATTATAAAGTTATTAATAAACGAAAATAATAATTTTTAATATAAAAAAATAACTCAAATTAGAAGTGGTCCAAAAGTAGAGTACTAGACTCAGTACACAACGATTAGTGATACCTGGCACCTTTACACTATGTTAACTTATCCAGCTCGGTGAATTCTAGCTCTCGTCTCCACGCTTCTGTTTTGCTGTTCTGGTAGCGTTGATCTTCTTCAAATCATACCACTTATTTCCAACCGCAGCATGAACCATCGCCAGTCATTACAATTTTAATGACGTAGGTCTTAATGTACCAGTTTTCATCCAGACAACGATAGGCATAGTTCGAATCCTCCATTCTCCATCTGGGACGCCGTCAATAGTCTGAAACTATACTCGGAGACAGCATAAAAACACGCGGGAGATAGAGCTGAGAAAGAACATGACAGTCATTCCACTGTATACATTATGATCTCTTAACAAGCCGCCAGATTGTAATGCACGATTTTTTAAGCCAAATCTGAGTAATCATGAAGGTGATAAGAGGTGATGGTCGAACTGACGAGCAGAGATCAGATTGGTGCTGATACTACTCAGTATTTTTAAATAATGACGAGTAAATGGTACAAATTAAGAACCACTGAACTGGTTGAAAAAATCTTCAAAGCTGCAAGAATTTATATTCAAGACTAAAGTCACTGAACAAACACAATTACAACTATTGCCATGGCCTATTTCCCCGAATATGTAACTCCAGCTTCTTAAGAAGAAAGCATCAGTGGAGCACGTGATAGTAATGATAGCTTAGATGTTTATATTGACAAGCTCTTCCCGCGAATTGTGCTCTCACAGGTTTTGCCGAATCAGGATTGATGAAGAATGGGGCCATTATGGCTGCCGAGAAACCACCAACGAGGAGGTTTATGTACAAGCCTTGGCAGTTTGTGTAGAACGACTACTGTTGTTCACAAAAAGAAAACGCATAAATCATAGCCATTTAAATATGAGGTAGACTGACCTTCTACTAAGGGTCCAACTACACTTGCAATACTCCAAGCCGCACCAGAAATTCCAGTGTATGCAACTCTCTTCTCTGGAATAGCCACAATTGCAATGATTGTAGAATGAGCCAAAAAAGTATTCCTCCGCCTCCGACTCCTGCTAGTTCATGACCAACGGTGGAGGTAGTATTACTCTTAGTAACGCCTATAGAGGATAGCTAGTCCATTCATTCCTTCGGCGCGGTTTGATGTATTGGACAGAAGGAATTGGTATAGCAAGAATACCACAAATCAAACTTCCGACCTCAAAGGGCAATGGTCGAAATGAAATAGATCACCTTAACGAGAGGTATTTGTCGCTTTCCCATGCTGAATTGAAACTGGAGAAGGCCAGAAAGAAAGCACTCCAATACCATCTAGCTTACTCAATTCCATGATACTCGTCGAATAGGAGCCGCATTGGACGATGGTCTGTTGAGACGGAGGTATTAATTTCTGTCTGGTAGTGGTTCTTGTAGGATCTTATGTGGCTCCGTTCTTGCGAATGATTCAAGAGTGAAGTCTTTGATAATTCATCCACTTATGAGTATGGATATGATATGGATGTGGATGTGGATGTGGATAATAGATGGTAGATGAATAAGATTGTGGGCAAGGAATAGAGTGAAGCACATCAAATGCTTAAATGGCATGCATATGTGAGATGACGCATGAGCGAGATTCGAATAAGTAAGATCTTAGCTAAGCAATCTTAGCTAAGCAACACATGCATGCCTTGACCAACTTTGCGCTTGACATTTGATTGGTCAAAACACATACGTAAGATTAAGGTTTATGTGGTGGCGGGGATCCTTGGACCGAACTTGCTTGCGATTCCTGGTTTACTGAAGCACCAGAAACCCAAACCCGTTCATTTCACGATAACTTTAAATTATTTACATCTCTTTTTACTAATATCGAGTAATTATTTTACACCTTACCTTCCTTATTTGGATCTATCTATAATTGGATGGATCTATAATACAGATCTCATATCACAACAACCCACAGATTCCAATCTGTTCATACTTACTAGGTGAATCTTCATAATCCACAGGGTAGTATTTACGGTACAAAAATGCTAAAAAATAAGTCAGAAACTTCTACAAATAACCCACAATTGCAGTCAGCTCCTGCAAAGGTGGGGTAATTGTGGACACAAACAAATAATCTCACATGAGAGGGAACTGGGAACTTTGGAGAAGTTGGTCAAGGTACGTACCCATCGATTCTGGCTGAGCCCAGATAAGGAAGGGAAACAGTGAGAGATCCTAATATGCACATAGGAATCATATTCGTCTTATACAGTATTCCTCAACAACATCCTCGTCATCATCTTTCATAAAAATGAATTCACCACCAGATCCCAACAGTGCGACGGTGCCTCGCAGACCAGCATTAAGGACAGATTCGGAAGACCTTAATAGCCCCAAGAGTGGACCAACCAAAGGTTAGCAATTGAAATTATTCCTCAATTTAATATATTGACATGCCCGACGCTAACCCCTTATCTTTCGTTCTCTCAGTCGTTTCAATTGCCGAGCCAGAACCAGAAGACATACAAAAATTTGAACTTCCTCCTTCGGACGAATCTTCAAAGATAAAACATTTCAGTGCTGGTGTTGCGAAAAGAATGACAGGTCGACCAAATATGCCTTCTGCAACTTCCTCCAAACTTTCTATCCGAAGCCAAACCAGCTTCGAGGAACCAGTTCGAGATACTCGTACCTCCGATTTTCCAAAGCCAAACGATGATTCAAAGCACCATCACCACCGCGACAAACTTCTCTCTCAAGTCGCAGAATGGCTGCATTCGGAGAAAGCGAAGAGGGCTACACGAAAATCAAACAAGAGGGACGCTAAGGGGAATGAGGCTGAGGTTGAGGATTTGTTAGGTAGAGGAACAAGTTCTAAACCAAGATCAATGTCTAACAGTTCATCTTCAAGCGCTCTTTCCTTGGAAAAATTGCAAAGAATTTTGGAGGATAACATGTTAGATTTTGGTCACAGTCACCTTCCGCACCTTACACCCCCGAGACGAGTTTCGAGAAAACGATCTCTCGTTCGCCCTTCGTTGAAACCTACTCCATCTTCTGACACCGAATACCATGATGAGGATATTGTAGTGCCGTCGTGTGACGTGATTCTTGATAATTCAAAAACACTTGCGTATAGTGGTGGTGCTGGATCTTCTATGGAAACAACTACACTAAGCAATTCCAAACGAGCTGAGAAAGAGAGGAAAGCATGGATTCAATTTAAGAATGAAATTGTGAGATTGGCGCACACATTAAGATTGAAAGGTTGGAGAAGAGTTCCATTAGACCGAGGGGCTGAAATCGAAGTGGAAAGATTGAGTGGTGCCCTCACAAACGCCGTTTATGTTGTTTCTCCTCCAGCAAATCTACCACCGTCTGCGAGCAGTACCAATATTTCTACCAAGAGCCAAAGATATCCTTCAAAGTTATTGCTTCGAATTTATGGTCCTCAGGTTGAGCACCTAATTGATAGGGAAGCGGAACTGAGCATTTTGAGAAGATTGGCCAGGAAGAAGATTGGACCTAGAATGTTGGGAACCTTTAGAAATGGCCGATTTGAAGAATTTTTCAATGCTCAAACCCTCACGGCTCAAGATCTCAGAATTCCTGACACGAGTAAGAAAATTGCGAAACGTATGAGGGAACTACATGATGGTGTTGCATTGTTGCAAGAAGAAAGAGACCAGGGACCATTCGTTTGGAGAAATTGGGACAAATGGGTCGATAGATGTGAGAAAATTATCACCTATCTTGACAGACAAATTTTACAAGGGGACTCTAGTAGGAGTATTAGAGGCGAAAGTTGGAGAGATAGAGGATTAGTTTGTGGTGTCGAATGGCCCATCTTCAGAGCTGCTGTTGAAAGATACCGCCAATGGTTAGAGAAATCTTATGGTGGAAGTGAGGAATTAAGCCGTAGCTTAGTGTTTGCTCATAACGATGTACGTGCCCCCCTCTTTATTTCTCGGTCCCAAACTGATCACATTTTCGATAGACACAATATGGCAACATCTTACGCTTAGTACCCGAACCACCCGTTGATGGATCCGCCCCTTCTCCACTCCTACTTCCTATGAATCACCACAAACAACTGGTAGTCATTGATTTTGAATATGCAAGTGCCAATACCCGTGGCCTGGAATTCGCCAATCATTTTACCGAATGGTGTTACAATTATCATGCACCTCCTCCAATGACTTGGACTTGCGAGACTAAAAATTACCCAACTATTGAAGAACAAAAGAGATTCGTCAGAGCATATATAAACCACCGCCCTCATTTTAATTCACACGCTTACTCTACTCCAAAGTTGGAAGGGCGAGACGCTCCCCCGGGTAGTATCAAAGAGTTTATGTTGGATAGTCGGACGCTCGCTGGTGAAAGGGACACCCCTACTAGCAGTACAAATCTCTATGCGGAAGAAGAAGCAAGAAGAGAACAAGAAACCGAAAAGCAAGTCGAGGAAATGTTGAAAGAAGTTAGGATTTGGAGGTTAGCTAATAGTGCGCAATGGGTTGCGTGGGGAATTGTACAAGCTAAGGTACCAGAATTGGATGATGCTCCGCCTTTTGTTGTAACACCGGACGAAATTGATAGGCCTCAAAATGGCATTTTGGAGGATGCGAAGATGGATGTTAAGATGGAGAGAGAAAATGAGAGAGAGATCAAAGTGGAAGAACAAGTGGAGGAGGAAGAGGATGAATTCGATTATCTGGGATATGCGCAGAGTAGGGCGCTTTTCTTCTGGGGAGATGTGGTGGCATTGGGGATTTTGGGAAAAGAGGAGTTACCTGTGGAGTTGGCTGATCGGATCAAAGTCTTGCACTATTAAAGTCGGTGCCATGGGGGAGTCAGGGAAGGGCCTGGAAATTTGATTGGAGGTCTGAATGCGTCAAGCTCATTGTTGAGAGAGAGAACATCTGGGATATGTGAGAAGTTGCATGAACCAAGCGAGCCAGCTCAACGTACGATAATATCAGACTCCAACTTATGTTGTCATGTCACAATAGATACGTTGCACGTTTTACGACGACAATTCAATTTCTATTTCTATATGAACGGATTGAAGATAGAGGGATACCATAGCGTGGCATAGCATAGCATTTAGAAATCAAACTCGTTGATGTATTTCACATTCCCATATTCTTTTCATTTCTATGGCTGCAAAATACTTGGAAGTCCAAGATAGTAAGTACAAACTCTTTTTATTATGAACTTAACTTCTCTATATTTTAAAGTAGATATTACTCGTAAAGATGGATATTTTCACCTAGGTAAACATTGAAGTGCCAAGATGTAAGCATGGGACTGGTGGACATTGTATTCAACTGGCATCTTTTAATTGGCTAAAAGATCTTCATGGCTTGGGGGATCTCTTCAGCTGAAAATTTAGTCTAATTCAATACCTCGGACATATTTACCCTTCATTGCGTGCGTTCCCCGCAGTCGCTATGAAGGTTTCGAATTCGCTATGGAATTGAAACTTTCTATTCCGGATGGACAGCAAAATCCAAGTATCGAAGTCTTTAAACTCGCCTTACGACGGCTCGAAAACGATATCGTCGATTTATCTATCGAGAATCATGCGTCTGACTCTCCTGTTCATTTAAATAGCCTTTGTAACTATTGCGCCGTAGTAGGCGAGCGGATCAGAGCCGCTTGTAGTGGTGATGATGACGCAGCTCAAGAAGTAGCTTTTGGTGGAGGCGCCAGAGATGCTTCGGGTAATTTGCATTTAGGGAGTCTGCGCGAGGTATTCGCTCAGGAGAGTTGTTCTCTCTGTTGTTTAATCAAGAGACAGTTTTTGCGGATGAAGTGGAGGGAAATATATAGTAATGCAAGGTTGAAAAAAGTAGAACTTCATGGTTTGATACTTGGAGAGCTTCTTGAATTGGCTTATCCGGAAGAGGAAGTTTCTGCTGAGAAGGAAAATCAGTGGATTATTGATCCTTTTTCACAAAGGCTGCAGATTTCTCTCAATACTATTCCTAGTGATGGGAGATTATTGTTATGGTTGCCTGAAAATACGGTGGATGAGGTTAATGATGAGCCCGCTCAACTTCCAATGATTGCTGCTGATCACGAAGCTCTGTTTCCGGGGGTAAAACCATGGATTCCTTTACCTTGCGGGATAAGTAATGACAAGAGGGATCTTTTAATGTTCTCAAACTGTTTTAAGTCATGTATCCAGAATCATGGGGAATGTCGAGAAATATCAGTTAATCTCGGATTAGGCGTTGGACCTAGTAGATTAATCGATATTGAAGAAATGAGAATCGTGAAGATGGGAATCGATGAGACTCCTAGATATTTTGTCCTTAGTTACGTATGGGGACACCCACCATTTCTTCTTTTGAAAAAAGAAAACGAGAGGGAGTTTTCCACGCTGGGATTTTTGGGGAGACAAGTTATACCTCGAACGATTTTGGATGCGATGGAAGTGACGCGACGATTTGGCAGTCGATATTTATGGGTAGATGCTCTATGCATCGTTCAAGATGATCTAGAGAATAAAATGCACGAGATTGACAGGATGCATATTATATACGCACAGGCAGAAATGGCCATCGTTGCAGCGACGGGCAATGGTGCTAATTCTGGCTTGATCAACATCGATCCGGTATTTGCGGATGAAAGAACGCATTTGATCAATGGTAGTAGATTTACAGTTGATCCAATGGAAATGCGTCAAGAGGTTGAATTCTCAACATGGTTTTCCCGTGGATGGACATTTCAGGAACTGGTTTTTTCGAAAAGAATTTTGTATTTTACTCCCGGACGCACTTATTATGCTTGTGAAGAAGGGAGTTGGAGTGAGGATTTTCCGTTTGTTGGGGAAGTTGATGAGCAGGAGGATGAGGATGAAGAAGAAAATCAAAATCAAAAAAGAAACGTATTCTATGACGAAAATCTCAAAACGGGGTTTGACTTTCGGGAAAAAATCAACCCGTTTGAAAATTTTACGTCGATGGTTTCGAAAATGTCGACGAGACAATTTACTCTGGAAAGCGATTGTTTGAATGCATGTCGTGGGTTTTATACTGGACTTTTGTTGAAAGGTTTAGGGGGTTCGGTATGCGGATTACCCGGTTTCTGTTTTGAATTTGCGCTAGCGTGGCAAGCTGATGGGAATCTTTCGAGGAGAGGGAAATCTTCAGAGTTGAAGGACTTTGGATTTCCATCTTGGTCTTGGGCGGCTTGGAATGGACCGATTGAGTATCCGTTTCTTTGTGGTCCGGACAAATGTGCCGTGATTTCTGAGGTGAGATGGGCTGTTTTCGAAGCTTATAAAGTTGTGGATTATGCTGTGGATGATACTTGTGATGATGAGGAGGGTTTGAGGGAGTACAGGTATAGATTCAGACAAGTGGTTCCTACGATCAAAGTTCATACTTTACCTGAACAATCTTATCAGAGTATGAGTTCATGGTTATCTCATTCTTATATTCCGGAGAAGAAACAAGATCTCAATTCTCATATTGGGAGTTTAGTAGATCTTGAGTCGGAAAGAAGTATGAGTATGAGTATGAGTACGAGGAAACTAATATCTAGGAATTTCATCGGACCGAGTATTTTGATCTTTCATACTAAATCTCTCATTTGTTATTTAAAAGAAGCATCAAAGCCCTCTCTCGCAAAACACAAAGATTTAAGATTCTTATCCATTTATTCCCTCTCTTCCTCTTCCTCTTCCTCTTCCTCTTCCTCTCCATCTGAAAAAATAATCGGAGAACTCAAAATCGATATCACGACCCTGAATACCTTTCTCAACAACTCACAGATCCCTATAACCTCAGACGACATTCATATAAGGGCGGAAATTATCTCTCTCTTTGAGATGGATTTTGCGACTTCTTCCGTGAGGGATCTATTGTGGATTAATAGGTATAGCGCGCGAAATACTTTTTCCGAAGGGTTTAGGGAGGTGTTGGAGGAGAGGTGTGAGAGGAGGGGTGAGAGGGGGAGGAGGGATGAGGATGAGGGTCGTTATGTGGATTAGTTGGGAAAGGGTGTGGCGAGGAGGGTTGCCGGGGTGGGTTTTGGGAGGTGTTTGAGGGGAGGGGTGTGGGAGGGAGGTGGTGCTGCTTAGGGTGGGGATGGAAGGAGGGAGTTGTGATGTGTATAGGTGTATGGGATAGTGAGGTGTTACGAGGTTTGCCGTCTAGGTCACATGGAAATGCTCTAGGCTCCCGAGGTGGTTTATAACTAGACGTCAAGCAGGGACTTAAGTAACATTAATGAATGATTGCAATTCGTAACTAATGGTAGATTATACTAAATGATTGATCTCAAGTACGAAACTCTTTACAAAAGAAATCCATCCTGATTATATAGACCTTCATGCTATGGCTAGTTAGGACCGCCAGCGTTCCTCAGCGGTCCGTAACGTGACTTAAGGTTACGCTACCCTAAGTTAATCATGGGACGCGGTGCCTGATGATAGCCGTCGTAACATGAGGGGAGAAGAAGTTGTGGTATAGTTGCACAAACGAGGGATTGGTCTAACATAGGTACCTCCACGGATTCGTTTGGTTTCTGATAGGGTTATTGAAGACAAAGCTTTTCCTTGCACTCCGATTAATGTCTCTCTATTCAACTTATATTTTGAACTTTTGGATTCTAGTTGGCTAATACAATGCATATGTATATGATATTACCCATAGAAAGATTTCTAATCTTCCAATCTTCAAGACATTGAGAATTGACTTTCCGAATAATGACTTGAAGCCAAGTTCATTTCTGGCGCTTCCTCAACTTCTACACTCTTTAGCATGCTTATCCGAAGATTTTTACATAAACTAGTGTATCTTTTAAGCGCTTTCCAGCTTTTACAATTATGAGCTTGAATATAGCAAAGTTTTCAATACCCATTTATATATAAAATTGGGGATAATAAAGTTTTGAGTGTTGTTTGCAGCGATGAATTTTATCCTGATATGAAAATGTTAGTATTTAATAGTAAATGTTATATATGATAATAAATTTGTATTTGTGAGTGTAATGGGGATTTTATTGCCGATTGTGGAATGTGATTATTGTTTTATTTTTTAACTTGTTTTTGAAATTCGAGAATGAAAGAACTTTTAATATACTCGAATTCGCTTTTTTGTTTTATGTTAAAAGATTTATCTACTCGAGACGTTTTCTTCATATGAGGCACTAAGGCATAGTTTATTTACAGATAATAGAAAAGGAAAGAAAGGATAGAAAATAAGCTTGAAAGAATAGATTTTATATGTCGAGATGAGGATGTGATGGATGGGTGACTTTACGAGTGAGGAAATTGTGGGGTCTTCTATCTTATGGACTAGTTAAAATATAATATCTAATACCATTGAATATGACTGGTATATAGCAAATGTGAATCACTATTAATGAGCTGAATGTTATAGCTTCACGGTTCGTGGTTCGTGGAACTTATTTGTTTTGTTTGAATCTTATATATATGAGTATGATAATATATATATATATATATAGATTCAGAAATTAAACACCTAACTCACATTTGTATTCTTTTTATTCTTGTAGTTTTATATCTTGAATTCCTTAAATATAAATTCAAGATTCTTCTTTTCTTTAATTAATATATTTATAAAAGATTATTTATATGAATTTTATCTGAAATTATAATTAAAAAGGATATATAAATAAATTTTTTAAATACATAACTCTATTTATAATATATATAATATATAAAATTCTATAACTTTTGATTATTATAATGTATTTCATTTTTATTATTATTATAATTAAATTTGAAACTTTTTTTATAATTTTTATTTTATTATTATTATTATATATATTAATTCTAATTAATATATTTGAGTATCAAGTTCAAGAATAATAAAATTTTGATATCTAATTAACAAGTTAAAGAATAAATGATTTATAATGTAAAAAATAATATATATTATAATTATTTTAAAAGATTAAAATTTAATTATTCATATATAAATTAATTTAAAAAAAAATTAATAATAAGAAAATTTATTTTCTATCTGTATTCCAATCAGTGTTTAGTAAAAGATTGAGTTGGAGATTTTCTTTCTTATAAACTTTTTTGATAATTATTATGAAAAAGAAAGTTTTTGAAAGTTTTGTTGGAATTGTATAAGTAAATAATGATGGATTCAATTTACTTTCTTTGAAGTTCTTACGATTGAAGCGGCTTCAACCTGGAGTTTGGGATTGGTGGTTATTAAGGAGATAAATACATGACTGGTTGGATTGTTATAGATAGATGGATGTGTGTATAATTACTACAGGTATAATTACTGTAGGTAATTAAAGATTCAAAGTCTCACCTCATCATCTCTATAAATAAATTCTATCTACACCTTGGGATAATTTATTCTCTAATTAATCAATCAAACTCGATCTTTCTTTGACTTTAATCTAGATGATTTATGATTTTTCGTACGTAGAGTGAGTACTCATCGAGCTATGTGAAAATGTATCCACGCTTAGTTGTTAAATGCACAACGGGCATGACGCGGAACTGTCCTCAGCCTCAAATGTCACACTAGGAACTACTGAGTATAATTCATATCTTGATCCAAAGCTCGATGTGTGTTCCCATCCACTTCAAATGGCTACTTGCAACTTTGCAGGTAGAGGATATTATTCAATGGTAGTTAAGTTGTGATTTAGTTCCTGATGGAGATTTAAGCAAACCCCTCATTGCGTATCTTTAATTCTTAGAACCTGTTCTCTGAGATTGAGGAGGTGAAGGATAGCTGTTAATATAATCGCTGTTGATTATATATGCATTTGGAAGTTGTAACGGGGTAGTAATGAGATTGATGAAAAGCATGCATGTTTTCTTTTCGACTTTTCAGACTTTATATACCTACCTAGCTACCGACTTGCAGAGCAAAATAGCCAAGTTCTGATACACGGAAAGGGAGAAACTTGGTGGTGTGATGTCTCTAGGACAGTCAAACAAAACCGTGATAGAGCTTGCTCGGATACATATCAAACACACATAGTTACCTAATATCCTAGGGTCCACCAGACGTCTAAACATGTACACAGGATCTACCTCCTCGGATGGTCACGCTGTACGCTGTACACAGCTCGCCATTGTACACTACGAGGAACCGATACGTATACATCTCGGCTGTCACCTTCGGGATATCGATATCGATAAACAAGATGAATTAATTATCTCGCAGGCTGAAAAATAATGTCCATGAATTGAATGATACGTCGAGAAAGAGAAAGAGAAAGAGAGAGAGAAAGAGAACGAACGCGAAAACGGTAATTGATGAGAATTCATCCGGTAGTTTTCCAATAGCGTTCAACCTGCAGACTGGACTGCAGCTCATGGCGAAACTTTTCGTTCAGCTGGAGATCTTTATATTCGCTGGCACGTTATTTTCTTTTATATATCTGGAACCTTGCGGTAGACTAGAGATCAGATCATCCATCACGTCAATTTAGTCTGTATACTATACCTAGTGCGGGAGTGCCCGGAGGACCGAGTACCGTTGAAAATATCTACCAAATTAGGACTTGGATATGATACTTCTAATGATAAATCTGTGGATGAGGTTTATTCTCATTCTCATTCTCAGTTCCTCTGTCCCTACCTTCAGATGCCTTTATCATAAGTACCTAGTATTCTTCCAACAGACCACTCCGTATTCTCCCACACTTCCAGAACAATACGGCTTTCGATAAACACACCTCTCACCCTACCCAACAATTTCATGACTCGCAACGTTTGTAAGCCTCTTAAGCTTCTCTTAACTTTGATAAATTCTATGCAGCTAAACACAACCATTTAGAAAGGATGAGATGATGGATACGAGTTGACTGGACAACTGTTCACCGATGATAGGAAGGAATCGAGGTGGTAGTGGGTGGTAGTGGGTGGTAGTGGGTGGGTCTTTTAGGGTGCAATGGTTGATGTCTTTTTAGGTATTGTGAGGCTCACGAGATACGATACACATGTACATGTCCATGTACATGCACATGCACAAACCACAAATGCACACACACAGACACACACATATACTTTTTCGTCAATAACCTACGATATTCAATGTCGATGGCAGGCAGTGTAGAATACAGGAAATACTTCAACTTGTTCATATTGATGATTGTGGATATATTCTTGTGAATACCCACCTATGTAGTACGAACCAACATTATTACCATTGAAGCAATTAATGGAAAAGCTTCATCCAATCATTTTCGTTGGTTGGAAATATTTTTATTTTCCTATTTTCATTTCTGTTTCCTAAAGATGCGGTGACAACAAATTCCTTAGCAATTTGCAAGGGTAGCTCAAGTACGTACTCGGTAGCTTACAAGCCATCGCAGCCCAAAAGTCCCAAAGCTGACTGGTCCGTGTGTAACTAATCCGATTCGAGTTTAGACTGACGACTGGCGTACCCACTTCTCCCCTCATGTTCATGGATAACCTCATTTTGATTTTCAAAAAAAGAAAATATCTCCATTGGGGAATATTCCCCTCTTTCACTTTGATAATACCAGCCATCTTGAATACAGCTCGAGTAGATATTCACGCTTTTGAGGTCGTCTGAATCCTTTTACGGTATTTGGTATTTCCGAATTGGGTTAAATGAATGAATCACTAGTTCAATAATAGTACAACAACCAGAATCATCATTGGATGCAATTGCATAAAGTGGATAGGATATAAAAATGTCACCTATCAAAGATTCACAAGGTTCAACAGAATTTTCATTTATCCTCAATTTTCAATTTCATCGTACCCGTCCCCCATCCACCATCCACCATCCACCCATCCACCCATCCACCATCCCCCCCTCATCCCCTCATCCCTCCCACCCAAAACAACCCATCAAATTTTTTATCCTGGTCGTTTTCTTGCTTGTCATCTGCATTTCAGAACCTTATTGGGTAAGTGGTAAAAAGAGAGCACAGCTTACCAGTCCTTTTTTACCTTAACCCCCATCACAAGTCGAAGTCTCGTTGATTTTTTTTTCACCCCAAGGCCCAAACCTTCCAAAGTCCTTCAATCTCCTCTTTTTTTTCTTGTGTTGCCTGGCATCTCACAAGAAGGAAAGCGAGTAGAAGAGAAAGTAAACATCCAGGTTCTCCCGGATGTCTCTTTTTCGATACATTGCTCACCTACCATACGCAATCTTCAATCCAACCATGTTCGGTCGTTTGTTAGGTCGTACCACTTCCCCTCCAAGGGCTCTTGGAGCTCCTCTCTCTCCCACAACTACTACTACCTCCGTTGGAGAGGATTCACAAACAAGTGCAGAGCGAGATGCTAGGGATAGGGAAATCGTTGAACAAGCTGTCGAAGAAGCTGTCAAGAAAGCTTTGAACTCAGAAGCGTTCACCGCTGCCATTGCTGCTTCTTTGGTCTCGCAGATCAAACCTACCTTCGAATCATCCATCAGCTCCATTCCTACTGCCATTCAAAATGTTTCCCTCAATGTTGATGCTGTCGACGCAAAACTCACTTCGACAACTACCGACCTCACTCAACGAATCGAAGCCACGAAGACCGAGACGGCAAACAAGCTAGCTGCCATCGAGGAAGCCATTGCTAAGATTACTTCTTCATTGGACGGATTGTCTGGAAAATCTTCTTCTCCTCAAGATACATCGGTTTTGGAATCACACACTACAAAGTTGGATGGAATTGCTACCGACGTTGCCGCTCTCAAGAACACTACACACGAGGAAGCATTCAACACAATCACATCCGACCTTGCCATCATCAAGAGTGATATTGCCACGATCAAGGAATCCGACTCAAGTGCTACATCCAAGGATATCCTCTCCGCTGTTAACTCGTCCAATGAATCTCATGCTTCCCACGCTGCTGTCTTGAATGAAATCAAATCCGCCTCTGAAGGACATGCTTCAGCTCTTGGCGAGATCAAATCTACTCCTGCTTCTACCCCAACTGATGTTTCTGATCTTGAGGCTTCTATCAAGGATATTGCTGCTTCTATCGAGGGGATTAAATCTGCACCTGCCCCTGCTACTGTCGATATTTCTGGTCTTGAATCATCTGTTAAGGATATTCTTTCTACTTTGGGTGAAGTTAAGGACACTGTCTCGACTCCAGCCGCCGCCGTCGAGAAAACTGATATTTCTGGCCTCGAATCATCTGTCAAGGAAATTCTCTCTACCTTGGGTGAAGTCAAGGAGACCGTTTCTACTCCAGCTGCTACCGTTGAGAAAACCGACATTTCCGGATTGGAGGCTTCAGTTAAGGAAATTTCTGCTACCGTCAATGAAATCAAGTCTACTCCAACTCCAGCTCATGAAACTGTCGATCTTTCTCCAATTGATGCTCAACTTAAAGAAGTTGCTTCTGCTGTTGCCGCTATTAAGGAATCTACTTCTACACCACCGGTTACTCCAGAATCAATTGACATTTCTGGATTGGAATCTTCTGTGAAGGAAATAATTGCTACTCTCCAGGATATTAAGACTTCTACCAGCACCTCTTCTAAGGAAGTTGATTTCTCTCCTATTACCTCCACTCTTGAATCCCACAAGAGCACGCTTGATGAGATTAAGGCTTCCGCTCCTGCACCAGTTGACCTTTCAGCTCTTGAATCCTCCATTGCTGAAATTAAGGCAGCTCTCGAATCCCACTCAGGTACTCTTAACGAAATTAAATCAGTTCCAGCACCAGAAAAGACTGACCTTTCCACCATCGAGAACTCTGTTAATGAGATCAAGACAATTGTTGAGGAAATTAAGGCCAAGGAAGCACCAGCCGCTGAGAAGGTCGATTTGAGCAATGTCGAATCATCCATTGAATCAATCAAGGCAGGCATCGAAGAGATCAAGACTAAGGAGGTACCAGCTGCTGAAAAGGTCGATTTGAGCAATGTCGAATCATCCATTGAATCAATCAAGGCAGGCATCGAAGAGATCAAGACTAAGGAGGTACCAGCTGCTGAAAAGGTCGATTTGAGCCATATTGAATCATCTGTTGAGTCGATCAAGGCAAGCGTTGAAGAAATCAAGACCAAGGAAACACCAGCTGCTGAAAAGGTCGATTTGAGCCATATTGAATCATCTGTTGAGTCGATCAAGGCAAGCGTTGAAGAAATCAAGACCAAGGAAACACCAGCTGCCGAAAAGGTTGATTTGAGTAATGTGGAGGCTTCTATTGAATCCATCAAGACAACGGTGGAGGAAATCAAGTCTAAGGAGGTACCAACCGCGGAGAAAGTCGATTTGAGTAATGTCGAAGCTTCCATTGAGTCCATCAAGGCAAGCATTGAAGAAATCAAGACCAAGGAAGCACCAATTTCTGAAAAGGTTGATTTGAGCTCTATCGAAGCATCAATTGCTTCAGTTAAGAGCACTGTTGATGAAATTAAGGCCAAGGAATCACCAATTTCAGAACCTGTTGATCTAAGCAAGATCGAATCTTCCATCGAATCTGTCAAGGCAATTGTTGAGGAAATCAAGGCTAAGGAGGTACCAACTTCCGAAAAGGTTGATTTAAGTGTAATTGAGGCATCTATTGCTTCAGTCAAGCACACTGTTGATGAGATCAAAGCTACTCCAGCTCCAGAACAACACGCTGTTGACCTTTCCAACATTGAATCCTCAATCGCAGCTGTTAAGGCTACTGTCGATGAGATCAAGGCAACCCCTGCCCCAGCTCATGAAGCTACTGACCTTTCAAACATTGAATCATCTCTCGCTGCCTTGAAGTCCACCGTTGATGAGATTAAGGCCGCTCCAGCTCCAGAACAAAAGACTATTGACCTTTCCAATATTGAGTCTTCCATCGCAGCTGTCAAGGCTACCGTTGATGAAATTAAGGCTACTCCAGCTCCAACTCATGAATCAACTGACCTATCAAACATTGAATCATCTATTGCTGCAATTAAAGCATCCGTTGATGAAATCAAGGCTGTTCCAGCACCAGAGAAGACTGATCTCAGTTCAATTGAATCATCCATTTCTGAGATTAAGGCAGCTATTGAAGAAGTCAAGGCATCACCTGCACCAGAAAAGGTTGATTTATCTAACATTGAATCTTCCATTGCCTCCGTCAAGGTCACCCTTGACGAGATTAAGGCTGCTCCAACACCAGAAAAGGTTGATCTATCCAACATCGAATCTTCCATCGCCTCCGTCAAGACTACCGTTGATGAAATCAAATCCACCCCAACCTCATCCTTCAAGGAAACTGACATCACCGGTCTTGAATCATCCGTTAAGGAAATCATCTCAAGCATCTCTGCTCAAGATGGTGTTTTGACTGAGATTAAGACTACAACTGAGAAATTTGACACCAAGGAAGTTTTAACCAAGGTTGAATTAATTACTCAAGAGGGTGTCTTCTTGAATGAGAAAGGACTTGGTCAAATCAAGGAAAATGTTAAGACTATTGAATTAAAATCACTAGCATCACCAACGACACCAACATCTCCAACATCCCCAACATCACCATCGTCACCATCATCACCATCAAAATCTAGTATTAAAAAGAAGAAGAAGAAGGCAGCAGCAGCAGCAGCAGCCGCATCTGGAAGTCACACTCCTGAAGCTAAGTCTGAAGCTGAAACCGAAACTCCAGCTTAATGTTCCTTTCTTATTGAAGGACCAATGAGATGAATCTTTATAGGCATGAAGGATAATGAATTGGTGGTGGATTAGGTTGATGGATGTGATTGACTTTTACGAAGCTGGACATTTGACAATGATGGAGGAGCTAATAATGATGATGGTTTTGGGGGAATAGTCTTCTAACATGTCAAATGGGTACCTCAAGTTTTATATAAATGTCATGCATCTCTTTTAAGCAATTACTCTTTGTACTTTGCTTTTTACTTTTGCTTTAGCTTTGGTTTGTATTTCAAGCAAGCATTATACCCTCATCTTGTTTTTAGTGAGAAAACGCATATACATTTTTGAACATGTTGTATGTAATATTCGAGATCTGAAATGAAAGTGGGGTTTATGATTTATGATGATGGTGAAGGAGGGGTAGTAGTAGTAAAGGAAGAAATGAAAATGAGATATTTTTTCTTTTTTATATTGTTTCGTGATAGTGCATGTACTTGTACTTGTATCTGTACTTTTATTTGTGTTTGTGTCTGTGAAATTTAAATAAATAACCTCACTATCTATTATTTGTTGTAAGTCTTTATAAAAATAATATATATAAATAAATAAAACTTATAGATAGATAGATAGATATTTGAAGAGTGAGTGAGTGAGTGAGTGAGTGAGTGAGTGAGTGAGTGGGTTGGAATGATGCTATTCTTGACGAGAGATGAATTTAAATTTGTAAAGAAGTCTAATGCCAACCCGCCCGCAGTGATGCGTATCGTAATAAATACAATTATAATACCAATCTAAACGCCCGCCCGCCTATGATATGATATGATATGATATGATATACTATACATGCCATACCATACGATACCATACCATACCATACCATACAATATCAGCATCAAGTAAATTACCACTTTCATCCTTACTCATTATCATCATCCTCATCAATAGGTTCAACAATCAAGTTTGCACTCTTGCCAACTCTTTCACCAATTGTTCCTCCTTCTCCAACTTCATATACCACCCTTGGTATACTTTGAACTAATCTGAAATCATATTTATGTTCATATCCTTCCGGCTTTTGCCTATTATATTCCTTGCCATCTTCAAGTAAATCGTGACATTCTACGAACGCATAAAGTTCTTCAATTTCCGAATTGGCTTCGAAACGTCGGGTAATTCTAGCCCCTTCTGGCATTCTTAATGCCACTCGTACGATATTGGTTCCAGGCTCAGGTTCTCCTTTGATAGTTTGTACCCTCCATTGTTTCCAATGTTTTCGATTTTCTGCTAATTTAGCAGCTGATTCTTCTTCATCCTTCTTTCTCTTTTCTTCTGCTGCAGCGGCAGCTTCAGCTTCCCTTCTTTGTCTAGCACGTTCTCTATCTTGTGCTAAAGATTGCTCATAAGCAGAGTCTTGCTCTTCTCTTAATGTACGCTCGAAATTTTGTGCCGAACGTTGTGCACGAACTGCTGCTAATTTTTCCGAATGTTGCCCTATTGCACTTTGTAACTTGGCCACAAATGCCCCAGGTGATTCTGATCCGGATATTCTGGCAATAACTGACATTGATGTAGCTCCTTGATCAGGCGTGTGAGTAATTAAGGCTGTGAATGGAAACTTGGTACATCGTAAAGCGGAAGAGACTTGATATGCTTCTGAATCTCGAACATCTCCAACCCAGAATATTATGTTGTTGGTTTTATCCCCAAGGAATGTGGTGACTTCTTCGGAAAGTAAAGTTTGACGAACGAAATCAGATGTATCATCATGCTCTGGAGACATTAAATGAACGATGAGAAATTTGAGATCTTTCTTTGCAAGGTCCAAAGCCTGTGCATAACCTCCATCGAAAAATGGTAAATTATTTGGTCCATATTCTTCCTCAAATTCGCGCTTTGTACGTGTTGCTGTATCTCTGGGTTTAAGTGATCTCCTTCCCATTGTATTTGATGTGCCGGTAGGTCGGAACCTTGGTAGGAAAGGGAATAAAAATGCGAAAGCTCTATATCCCATGGAGAAAATTTTATAAAGTACACTGAATGGTGCGAATAGTATAGCGAAAATGAGATTCGGTCGTCGAATTATTTGATCTTCTGGTTGAGGAACAATCCTTGGGGCCGAGTCCACGTTTCGCACTCTCGATCGATTGGAGGATTCATTAAGGAGACTATATTGAAGGTTTTCGGTTCTTGAAGCTCGAGGAGGTGGAACATTTTGAGCTGCTAGACCTGCTGCCGTTAAAGAATCATCTTCGCCATCAAAGAACTTTGCGATTGCGATCTATTAAGAATTAATATGTAGTACTGACAATTTAATAGAGGACTCAAATCCTTACCTCAACGCTCCATTGTGATCTCTGGAGTAAAGGTACAGCTTGATCAACTTCTTGACCAGTTACTGCCAGTAATTGTTGTAAGGCTGCCTGCTGTGATTCGGACAGCTGGCTTGTATCAGCATCTAGAGTAGCCATTGTCTGATTGTTTGCTGGAGTATGTCCAAAGACAGGTATTCCTTAATTTATGTTCGCATACTAATAAGCAGAAATATCGTTGAGAGAGAGTGTGGCCAGATAATATATGAGTGAATCTTTTATTTTTACAATTCAAAGTAACATTGTAATATTTTATTGAAATGTCTGGGGAGATGGGGGCACATAAGTTCTAGAATCAATGATGAATGTTTCAATAGGTTACTAGGTGATCAAGCCACATCATCGGTTTCGGATAAATTTAATCCCGGCTGTGCTAGGTCTAAGCTGGTGAGTGGTGAGCCACTAAGGCTGAAGGAACACCAGAACACCAGAACAACCAATCTGGATCCATCCATGACTTTCTTCATGATTTGTTGACTTCTGACTTTCTTGATCGGATCGCATAAAACCAAACATACGGAGTACAATAACCTTACTACTCTTATTGCTAGATAACTTTGGTAACTTTCCCACCTTACCACTTTCCCACCTTACTCGTACAACTTCCAAAGGAAACATTCCACCCCCGCGTCGCTTCATTACTACCGCCCTAGGTATATATTTGGTATCCTTCACCCTCAGCCTCAACACGAATAGCAACCCAGACTTTCGTTGAATGTGCCAGGCTATCACTTACATTTTCATATGCAGATTCATTGGCAATATTTCTTTGTATAACTTTTCACTTTCACATTGAAATCATTCATCATTCCTGCTATACCCTCATCTCCTTCAAGGAACCATCTCCGTGTTATTGGCTTTTAGGAAATGTCCGCCAGATTCAAGTGAGCAAACTAGAACATCTATTATCCACCCCCTTCATTCTAACTCCTTCACACGTTACTTCGGTTAAGGATTTGGGAAAGGCACCGGATGATATTTGAAGATCGGTCGCATCAATTGAATTAGACTGAGCTAATGTGATTTCCTATCATCAGGCTTCCTAAAGTGTCATTGGGGTCCGGCAGATAGTCATATCTATCTCCAAACAAGAACTTAGAACACAATATCGAACATGGCGGCTACAAGATTTAATCAACCTGAACTTCGCAGACCGACGAGTTCTCCGAGACCGAAAGGACGTGGTATGTGTTAGGGCAATTCCTGATTGGGTTTATTAAGGAAAGGAAAACGGATGTTGACCAGGTTGTGCTAGAAAATGCAAAAGATACTTTATGTCGAAATGTCCTGATATATGGTCATTGCCGTTATGAAGATCAAGGGTGCGCTTTTAATCATGATCCAAACAAGGGACTTGGAGGAGGGGTTGATCAGTAAGTTGATTCTAATTTCTTCATATCTAAAATAGAAAATGGCTCTCTCCGATTTCGATTTCGCCGGGTGTTCGGAACCTTAAATGGACCTTGACTTGGATATTTCTTCTTACTTTCTCGGACTCTCGAGAAATAGGACTTTATTGGTATGGGAATTAGAGGGCATTGGACCTTACTTTGATCAAGTAGACCGTGGAATTATATTCAAGTGCTTGACACTATGCGCTTCGACGACGTGTCTTTACAGGTCTTGTTCGGGAGTGAAGGAAAGACCCCTCGAAGTTGTTGAGTCGTGAATTCAGTATTGGGCCGGAGCCTGTCTCGGAGTTCATATTCGATATTACAATTGATCAATCTCTGTTTTCATTGTTCAAAATTGCGTTGACACCTGGCTTTGGGTCATGGACATTCCTTCTGGCCACTTTTCGACCTCGTGGATGGCTCCTACTATACCTGGATTTTTATGGAGGTATTACCTACCTATCTCATCTTTACTGTGGTTTAAAATTACACCTTTTGGTCCTTCCCTATCTATGTACCTCTCGGGTTTTAATGCACAACAACCTCTCTTGTACATCAACAACAACGAATTAGTGCAGGGATGGATATACTTAAGAAACTTAACAGCGTTAAGATCCCAATATTTGGCTTCACTAAGCTTGCAGATGGCGAAGAAGACCAGCAAGATGAGCATTCAGATGTCGAGGATCAACTGGATGAATCTAGTTCCATAAAAAAGAAAAATCGCAGGAAAAAGCGAAGATCTGGACAAAGGAGTTCGGGTTTGGATTTACTTGACACTCCATCACGTTTTGAGAATGGAACAAGATTTTCAGTCTTGGATCCATCCCATCGATTACCGAACTCATCCAGGCTAGACACCACACCACGAAAGAAAGAGGAGCTACTGAAAATCAGTCAATCACAGCTACAAAGTACTACTGCAATAGGGCGTTCTCTCATATCACATGGTGGGAACACAATGGTTGAAAGTGGTGTTGGAACCTCTCAAACTTATAAGGACAATGGTCAAGCAGATATGCCTCAAAAAGCTACTGCCGCAACAGGGTTCAGCGAAACCACGAAGATTTTTAGGGCAAATAGGTCTCCATCGCTTTCAGTCCAGGTTTCAGGGATGACTGGTACAGAAATGGGCTCACCATATTCTATTTTACGGTCCCCCCAAACCCAAGAATTGAAGGATACAATGGAATCACTTGATTTGAACTTATCGAATCCCGAAATTGCAATAAAAGCTACTGCCGATCCTACCGAAGAACGGCCCATTGCTGCGAATCCTGTGAATTATTCACATCATTCCATCATTTCAACTACTCCCACCGTCTCAGCTCTTTCAGATGACCTTACCATTCCCATTGTAGCGGCTGATCCCAATGTTTTACCTCCTTCCAACATTCCACCTAGTGCAATTAAACCTCCATCCAAGGATGATACATCAACCAAACGACCAACCTTCAAAATTTCAAGCACCACAACTCTTTCCTTTGCTAAAAATGGTAGACCTGAAGTCAATATTGATACCTCAAATCAGCAACTTGGTCCCAATCCGAAATCGAAAGAGAGGCCACAACTATACTCTTCACTGTTAAAAACTGACTCTGACAATGATAGACCCAAAAAAGCTTTGAATGTAGATTCGCCTTCTTTTACACCAGCAGCTTTACCCGCGTCCAACAAAGGAGCATCAGTCATTTCACAAGCTGCCAATGCGGCTCCATTTACACCTCGAGGACTTGCAAGTGGGACTGCTACACCAAACGCTCAACTCGACCCAGAAATACCCCAATTTAATCCAACTCAAAGAGATTTCACTCCACAAAACTATGATCTCTCTCAGAATGTAAGCACTAATTCGTGTATTCCTCAAATACTATCTCAATCTTGTTCTCTAATTTTTGCATTCAAAAATGGCTTGAAAGTACCTTCGACGTACTGGATTACATACTGATTTAAGGCAAGATTCCTACGAATGGTGCTACTCCCGAAGCACAATATGATCCTTTCTCGATGGGAGGCGTCTCTCAAGCAATTCCTACCTCTTTTCCGAACCACTATCAAGAAGACATTAGCAACTTAGCCGCAGGAGTGGCAACAGGTGGAGCATACTTTCAAGGACAACCAAGCTATAACGTTCAGCCTTTGAATTATCACTTCTATGCGCCAATTGGTCCACACACGGATAATTTGACACCTTATCAAAAATCGATTCACGACCTTTTCTTGTCCGACCGGCTTCGTGAGGAACTTCAAAGGAAATCTGAAGCTTCTCATCAAGTAATGCTAAGTAAGTATAGGAGACAGGATGATGATTCCAGTACTAATCCAATTAGATACCCTTCCAAATATTGGTACACCACCAAACTCATACCATTCCTTGGTCGCTTTGGATACAGCTCAAAACAGGGCTAACAATGTTTTTGGGTACATAAGTTGGGTATATAAAGCGACGTCGGAAAAGAATGGAAAGTATTACTGTTTACGAAGACTGGAAGGTGAGGAAAATTCATCTAACGTTTATATGAATTAACATTTACCATATTTAGCATATACTCTCGCTAATGATAAAGCAATTCGTGCTGTGAAGAAGTGGAATGAAGTCAATAGTGCTGGCGTAGTATCGTTCATTGATGCTTTTACTACCAGACAATTTAAGGATAATTCCTTGATAATTGTCACAAATTATCACCCGCTTTCAAAAACTCTTTTAGAGGTTCATTTCTCGGCGACAACCACAAATCGATATGGATCTCGACTAAACCCCCGGATACCTGAAGACACTCTTTGGGCATACATTGCACAAATTACACTAGCCATCAAGGCTGTACATCAAGCCAACTTTGCTGTGCGATGCATGCATTTGAGCAAAGTTATCCTTACGGAGAAAAATCGAATACGTCTAAATGCATGTCCGATATTCGATATTATCCATTACGAATATCGACGCGACATAAAGGAACTTCAAAGTGAAGACCTGTGCTTGTTTGGCGTACTCATCTTATCCTTAGCTACAGTTAATACAAGCATTACCCCCCAAACCACGGCTCAAGTCTTGAAAACCAACCTCGAAGGCCTCAGCAGATTTTACTCGGTTGAGCTTATCGACACAATAAGATGGCTTTTAACTACGCCTTCTACTACCGAACCTAAAGACCTGGAAACCTTCATGCGAGGTATCTCTGGCCGTATGACGACTGCTCTCGACAGTTCCCTCCAAGCTCATGACGAAATAACGTCTGAACTTTATCGCGAGCTTGAAAACGGTCGGCTCGTCCGCTTAATGGCCAAGTTGGGCAACATAAATGAACGTCCCGAGTACGATACCAATGTTCAATGGAGTGAAGTAGGTGAGCGATACATATTGAAACTTTTTAGAGATTACGTGTTCCATCCGGTTGATGCGGATGGAAGACCCGTTACGGATATGGCGTGGATACTGAAGTGTTTGAATAAATTGGATGCGGGGAGTGATGAGAAAATTCAATTGACGAGTAGGGATGGAGAGAATTGTTTTATTGTTAGTTTTAAGGATATTAAGAAACAGGTTAATGCTGCTTGGGGAGATTTGCAGAAGCCAGGGAAGAGATTTTAAGGGTTAGGTTGCGATAGGTGGTTAAGAGGTGGGCGATGGAAATTGGAAATATATGGTTGTCTTTATCGACCTCGTTGAGAAGTTTTGAGGATGGTCAATATTGAAAGGGTATTGGTGAAAGGAGGGAATAATTTGGGAAGAGGATAAGAGTAGAGAAATGAAATAAAGCTGATGGAGATGGAGATGCACAGGAGAGTATTGAATTAGAAAATTATATGTAGGAGAACAATCAAGGAAATTTACTTCTATTGTAAGAGTTAGGTGAGTTTGTGGTGAATATTGAATTTTGAGAGGGGTAGAGAGAAGGAAAGGATGGTAGATGAAGAAGAATCGAAGGTAAAATGTTAGGGTATCCATAATATGTTGAGAAATTAATTGATGGATGTGAGTTCCATGGGTGTCCGGGTAGAAGGTAGAAGTCGGAATAGCACAAAGCACGTGATTACACGGTTCGATCTCAATTTGAGGCATCATATCCATATCGGTAAGAACAGAAGATTAAAATTGGGGAAATGTTACCCATTATCATCATGTCCGGTCAACAACCCTTGGGATTAACCCTGTATGGGGATTTATACGGTGAAGTATATTAGTGATAGTGTTATCGGTAGGTGTTCTGCCTACACTACAGCGAAGAATGATTAGCATCTTTGCATGATATTGACCATCTTCATCGATGTAACCGAATTTGGAGCAAAGCCCATTGCACCTTCTCCTATCTCTCAGGCAGAGCAGGCAGGATATCTAGCACTCCCAGTTTCGATCAATCGTTTATTACTACCCTGGTTGTTTTTGTTTTTATGAGATTGCTCGAGTGCGAGTTATTAAATCTTCATGACAATCCTCATTAAATTCTCCTCGCGGATTCCTGATTTTCATTGCATCGAGATCGTTTCACTTCCATCACAGTTTACTTTCTCGCTTTTCAAATTCCAGTATTGCCATCAAGCACCAACCCGCAAAGCCATTCGTCATGCCCGTGAAGCAGCTAAACACGCGGAAGTCCGACAATGGAAGTAGATGGTGAAAATGGGAATGGCCATGGCAGTGGTGATGAGGTCGACATGAATATCGAAGACACCGATAATGAAGAAGATGAGGGAGAAGCCGAAGAAAAGTGGAGGTGGTCACGCAGACCCTTAATTCCGGAGCCTTCCTTCGAGGAAGTCAATTATTCAAGAGAACCAGAGAAGTGCCTCGCGAAGAAAATTCAAAAAATTCGGTCTGCAAATCATTGTCAAGATGGCTTCTATTGAGCTCACACCAGAGAAACCTGAATTTCCAATGGGTGGTTGGCATGTAACTGAAACTCTATCAATGAAAGGAAACCTGATACTAACAGGTTTCAACATCGAAGGACAAATGAATGAACATATTCGTGGCACAGCACTTTATTACCTTGATAGTGAGAACATAACTTCGAGTGATCTCTCATTCCGTATGCAGACTATGGAAGACACAGGTGAGGAACTCGATGTAGGAGAAGATGCATATCATTGGCTAGAGCAGGTTTATGGTACATATCTCAGATCGGAAAAATCACCATGTCTTCAAAATTATGGTAGCGTTGAAACACGTCGAGGAAGATTACTTGCTTTTCCCAATGTCTTGTAAGTGCCAGGTTCCGACTCTTCAAAGCATAATTAGATACTTACTAATCTATACACAAGTCAACACAAAGTTTCTTCATTCCGCTTAAAAAATCCAACAAAACCAGGTCACAGACGATTCATCGCACTATGGCTCGTAGACCCACACATACGCATCATCTCCACAGCAAACGTACCACCCCAACAAATGAACTGGTGGGTAGACTCAGTCTTTGGCGATACTCCTGAAGCCCGCAATAATGCCCTCGAAAAAATCCCAGCAGAGCTCCTAACACTTTTGGTTGAAAATTATCTAGATATGGATATTTCAGCAAAGGATATGAAAATTAAATTCCCACCGGAATTGATGGAGGTGGTGAGATGGCATTTTAATTTTGATTAGAATCCTTTGCCGAAAGGGCTGGAGAGGAATGGGAGTCCATTGGATATAGTTTTATAAACATTGAGCTGGGGTGAAGGGAGGAGATGGTCGAGATGGGGTAGGAGCGGTCTTTAAATATGATTCTTTTCCTGATCGGGCTCTGGGGTTTTGGAATGGGAAGTGAGAGGAGAGAGGGAGAGGGAGAGGGAGAGGGAGAGGGAGAGGGAGAGAGGGAGAGGGAGAGGAGAGGGAGATAGAGGAGTGGATGGATAGTATAACTAACTGACTTGAACAACTTTTATTTATTTCTAGCTATGGGGGTGCATTTTCCCTCTTTGGTTGTGGGGACTAGACTAGGATTAATAAGTTACTGAAGTTACTTTTAAGTTTATTGATATTGTTCTTTTTCTATTATATTAGTAAAATAAGGTAGATATAAATAATCTATTCAATGATAAAATTATATATACATATATAAGAGTTTTAGTTTTTATTTATTAAAAGTTATAGACTTTCTTTATTGTACAATATAACAATTTTTATCTAAAATCATGATTTATTTATTTTTTTAAATCCTTATTAAATTTTTATATAAAATTAATTTTTTTTTAGAAATATAATAATTAATTACAGGATTATTTTGAGAAAGTTTATAATTTATTTTTATTTATTTTTATTTAAAAAATAAATATATTTAAATTTAAAATAATTTAAAATTTCATTTGTATAATATTTTTTCTATATAAAATAAACTAAATTTTTGAAAAATTTTATTATTTTTGTTTTCAATCTTATATAGATTTTGAAAAAAAATAATTAAAAGTAAATCAAATAATTTTTAATAAATTTCAATTGATTTTATTCAATATTGAAAAAGTTATTTGATATTTAATTTTATTGAGGAAAATATGATTTTTGTAGAGATTTTGTTATAAAATATCATAGTGTATGATGAGGAAAGTCTCGAATTCTTATATACTTTTTAAATTTCATTTATATTTTTTAAATTAAAAATTTCAATGTTTATTATTTTATAAATAATCAATTTATATTTAAGATTTTACAAAAAGAAAATTATATCTATGAATAAAAAAAGTTTTTAAAATTGATTTTTTGTGATTTTTGACGTGAGAAGTGGCCGGAATGAAGAGGTGGCTGGAATGTAGATTACTATCATGATTCGTTCATTTAAATTATTTTTTTAAAAAGTTTACAGCCACGGCGAATCACTCAAAAGAGAAAAAGAAAAGAATGTCCTTGAACCTCTATCATTTATTTCTAGACGATGACTTATATATGTGTGTGTGTGTGTGTGTGTGATAGAAGAACTATAAAAGAAGTCCTCTATCAAAAAGGTTATATATATATATACATTGAAAACGAGCTCATTCACCCAATCTGATCCAATCCAATCTCATCAAAATTCCATTAATCAATCAATCAATTAATCATGAGATATCGAATCTCGCGTCGAGCAGGAAAAGGTTGAAACGCTTATGCCTCACAGGTGTCATCATCATCGTCACCACCACCACCAGATGAAGCGGCGGCTGAGGTAGCAGCAGGAGCGACGGATGTAATCATTGTAGTTGGGGTTGGAGGGGTGGAAACAACAGCTGGGGTAGAAACAGCGGCGGCGGCGGAGGTTACTGAAGCGGTATTTCCGGTGGCTGCGGTGGTGGCACCAGTTGCGGCTCCAGTTGATCCTCCAGTTGATCCTCCAGTTGATCCTCCATTTGCTGCTCCAGTTGCATTGTACATAGGTGGACCGGGAATAGTGTAGGTCAATTTAGCATAGATGTTGACCAAGATACCTGGATCGGTAGGAGTGTATAATTTTTCACCGAGTGTACCAGATGGAGCAAGAGTACCGCTACCAGTGACTTCCAAGTTAATACACTGAGGGTAATTTTGAGCACCACCATTACTTTCCGCGCCGTGAAGAGCTATGATTTCATGACGAGCGACGTAGTTTCCAGGAGCTAGATTGGCTGGAATGGTGGATGTCCATGTATTGTTGTTGGTGATCAAGTTGTCAGAGGCCCAGGTTCCAGGGACAGTCGTGTCATCGATCAATCCACCTTCATCTATCTTGAAGAATTCAAGCTTAGTTTTATCGACGGTACTGCAGTCTCCATTACAGTTTGCCAAGTAGGTGATGACTGGGCCTTTATGAGAATCGGGCCAAACAGTCCATTGAAAATCAACGGTATCACCGGCAGCAACTTTAGCTGAAAGAGCAGCATTGGTACCATTTTTAGCACAGATGATATCGCCAGTGGCATAGGCGGATGGTGCAGTGAACCCAAGATCGAGATTGTCGTCAGACCAACCGATCGATGCTGGCATTGGGTTTTGGTATGCATAGTTGACGAGCCATCCTTTGGTGCTATTTTGAATTAGTATTTGTTTGAATACATGGCTCCAAGATTTGACTTACTAAGTTCCACCAGCTACAATACCAGAAACATAACCATGGGCAGCAACTGTGGCGACTAGGCCAGCGAATGTGGTGAGCTTAGAGAAAGACATCTTGAATAAGATTTGTGGATTTGGAAGAAATGAATGAGTTTGATAATCAAATGATGGAAAGAATTCACAAGGAATTGAGATGTTAGACCAGCTGAAAGAATGTAAATGGTTAAAATCAAAAAGAGAGCGTGGTAAGATGAAAAGAAGTGATAGAGGTAGAATAGACAAAGACTTGCTTCGATGTGGTTGAAAAGAAAGTATCGAAGAGGGCGAACTCATCGGAATATATAAAACTTTATATGTATCCCTGCGCTCATCCACGCAATAGCAAAGCCCCTGTAACCTTACCATAAACTCTATGCATCTAATCGATACTCCATAACCTAGTCAAATGGTTCACAATGATTGTCAAGAAGTCGAGAATCCATTGATTATGATGCCCTTTCCGGACCACGACCCCCCTCACCCACTTCATCTCCTATATCCACGATCCAAGCAGGTCTAAAAAAAATAGAATACTCTTTGCAAATGGAAAAGATTTAATTCGATTTTATTGGTGAGATGACTGAAATTTGGGGTAAGTGGATTGACTTTCCCAACTTTCGAAACGTTTTGAGGGTCCTAGAGTGTTTGAGATAAGATAGGAGTCTGCAGGTTATAGCCATGATCCTGTCAATATAATGTTCCGATCGGATGTGGTAGTTGCGATTCCAAGAGTGGAAAAACTGCCGATTCGTTTACCTCCTTCATCCAGTCACGATCAGTGTTCATCTGGTTATTTGATCTATTAGCTACCAAGTACTCGAGTATAATAATGCATTAGCTTTATATGGAATCTATGCAGTGTTACCTCGATTTAACGCATTGTTCGCTCGCCTTTTGAGTTTTAACCCCCCGTGGTGCAATAACCTTAAGGTTACTCAGCCGTGCGATGTCATATGGCATCTTACGTGTATGGGTATTGAATAGAAAGTAACAGTATTGGCAGTGACACATCAAGCTTTCCAATTACGCGGTCAAAATCCTGTACACCTCATAGTCATGATGGCGGAAATGAAGTGGAATCGCGTAGATTAGATGAGGATCAAGTGAGGTGGGGTGAAGAAGGAAAAAAGAAACAAATCCGATAAAGTTATTAATAAGTCGGTGGTAACGCGGGTTTCCGTTTAGGGAAGAAATATCTGGATTTTGACCAATAATGTCAAAAAATGAAATGTTGGCGTAAGATTCAAGCGCTCATATCCACGAACTTCCGATTGGACCTGTTGGACGTTCATTGTTGGTGTTGGTGTTGGTGTTCGTGTTCGTGTTTCAAACATTCAACGTTCTTCCCATCTCCAACATCCAATAGGGACTGCCGAAGATTTATATGATGAATTAGTTGAATGAACTTCAACATTTTGAATATTTGGCCAATATGATATTGTCTTCGAGCACTACCCTTCATCTACGTAGAATCAGCCACATGAAAGTTGTCTTTAACCGCTCAATCCAGTTGTAATTTTGGTGGGGGGATGTTCCTCGATTCGCTTTCGAACAATTGCAGCTTCACTGGAACCACCAGGATAAATTTGACAATCCTAGCCAAGGGGGAATCTCTTATGGTATGTATTCCTACTGGTCCTTAGATATTAGAACACATACAACTCTTCGATTTCACAACATATTTCACAAAACCATTTTTGGTAAACATTTCTCGCGGAGACACCACATCCTTTTTGTTGCAATGTATACATCGATATTTCTTCTGACGGATATTGGCCCTAGCGGCTCGTCTGTGCTCACCCATGCGCTCTTCCTCAGACTACCTACCTACCTACCTACCTACCTACCTACCCAACTACCTACCTACCTACCTACCTATGCTTATCTTCAATATATCCGTCACATAAATCTTTCGACGCCGCGAAAGCCTGGCATACCATCATATTGAGGGACCTCAATTTTTCTTCAGATGGAAGGTCAAAGGGAAATTCTCTACATACAACATTCCTACTGGGGTTAGATCAAGGGTCAAGAAGGTAAACTTTTGTGGTCAGGTAGGCCTGGCCAAAGGAGTCGTTAAAGACCTGTATCTGGCAGACTTTGAAGAAAATTGAAAAGCGATGAATGAAAATTGTAGTGCAACTCTAGAATGTATGATGGAGGCATGAAAGGCGATACAAGATTTATTACCAATGAAAGTCTTAATACCATGGTCTCATTCCCAAGTGCTTTCAGTCATTCCTCAAAAGCTTGAGGATGAAAATCTGTAGTTCTTTGGGTGGCCTTCCTTACTTTCAGCAATGTGGTCATGTCAATGGGCTGTGCCTGTACGCCACTGACCTTACAAAAGGAAATTGGTTGTTGGGAAAGAGGTCTGTATAAGTGACTGGCAAAATTATCCGTGGGAATGGTAAAGGCTGTGTGTTGCATATAGCTTCCCGGCGCCCATACAAAAGGCTTCTCTCTTTTTAAGAAGATTCAAGCTTCATTCATTCCATCTGTTACAGTGATTTCGTCGATTGAGCGTACATTTTTGGTCAATCGTCACAATACCTTCCATAGTAACGTATATCGTCTTTTAAGGAATAACGTGCTACTGTAAACTCAGTAGTAGACAACAAAAATGAGTCATGATCCAAGCCTACAAGATCAAGTTGAAGCTACGCTGGCAGATCCCTGGTTTAACAGACGTAGGAATCTACGTATGAATCATCCAATGCCTGAACGACCACAAAATATCGCCGATAAGATCTCTCAAGGCATTGAAAATATGAATTTTCAAACGCACGATAATGACGGCAATGAATCATCATCTGATTCTCGACATTCTACCCGTGGGTCAAAGCCTTCCAAGAGACACACCTCACAACGCTCTCAGACTGCTGCAAAACAGAGATTACCGTACCCTGAGAGCGATAGTCTAATCCCTGGTGATGTTCCTGACGAACTCGAGTATCGAACCGCCGTAGAAGCGAATCGTCGTGCAGCACGTGAACGAAGACCTCCTACCACTAAACCAAAAGATATCTCGAGTTCCGCACACCGTAAAGCGCACAGAAGTACTCCGGACTCTGACAATTCGAGGCATCAAGTTAAAGCATCAAGTCAGGAAACTAACTCTTCTCTTCCTCAAAGACGCGAGAGATCAAAAGTGACAAAAGCAACACAGCCAAACCTTAGTCACGGGAGTGATAGTGACAGCGGTAGAAAACCCAAAACGAGGACAAGCACTACCAATACCGGAGCCAGAACTTCCAAGTCCGGATATAGTCAGGAATTAACATCTAGGAAGCATGCTTCTGTTTCTTCGTCTCGCATGACTGGTGATGGTCATGGTTCTAGTACTACTCAAACATTACACCGGGATTCTAACCGTGAGCGTTCTAAGGGGGCTCGGGATACTCGCACCGTGCCCCGACGACAGGGAAGTGAGTTGTTTTTGGGAACGTGATGAAATATGGGAGGTTGATGGAGGGGTTGGGGTATAATTATGGGCTGGGATATATGGAGAGAAATGAAGGAAGGGGTTTCACGGCCTCACACCATGCATACGGACTTTAGATTTGAAGAGTAACGTTACCGATTAATACTTCAATCTAAAATTTCACATGTTATTTTCTCCGGCGCTTATGCTAGCATCAACGGCGCTTGCTTCCTTAATCGCTATTTGGTACCAAGCATTGCAATTGAGGTTCCAGCCAGTTACTATCCCGTTCAGATGATTTTTGAAATCTTTCTTCGAACACTCGTCCGAAATAAATAGATAATAAATGAAAATATCAAGTCCACCATATCTTAATCTGGCATACCGAGCGATGAAGTAACTGTAGACGCTTTGTTTGTTGCATTTAGACAGTGACCGAATATCACAGATAATGCATTTCATAACCGCCAAAAGAAACAAATATGCAATGCAATCAAGCGCCGCCCCTTTCGATTCAATTTATATCCCCTTATACGCCGTATTTGATGACATGGTGCACGATAGGATCTTATTGATAGAACGAAGGTTTAATCAATCGAAATCATCAATAGTTTCAAACCAAGCTTTTAATTGACCTACTAGCTATTTGTTATTCCATCGAAGCGAAGCTCCTTATCTAGATGGTTCTAATGAATGTTTAAAACCAGTGGGCCGGAAACTGCATGCATTACTAGCATACTAGCATCGCATACTAGCATCGCATACTCGAAACAATGATGGTGCAATACAGACCAGACGAATTTACAGCCAGCGGGTTTGCAGGGGTAGATGAGACGACGGCCCGTGTTTCATGTCCTTACGTTCCTAGGCACTATTGCTTCATAATGATGAGGTTTCCATTGTTTTTCATCTAATCTTTTCTTAGCAGGGCTGTTATGATTATCGTATCGTGTGGATCAATACCCCGGGCTACCCCGGGTAGAAATCGAGGGATGGCCATGCTGCTGGGTTGGTAGATGTTCTGTGAGATAGCGAAAGATAGATAGATGTACTGTTAAAATTCTCAGTCATTACTTAAGAAAGGGACTATTTCTGATAATTTCTTAGTATGTGGTTTAGGTAGGTTACACAATTACGACTTGTATTTTTGAATGATTATAAATAATTTATATTAAAATTTACCGCTAGGTCTACAGCTCTAGGTTTAAAGAATAATCATTTTATTGTATTTTATAGGGTAGGGTTAAGTACCCGAAAAGTTACGGGTACCCAGCCTATAAGACTCCTATTCCATCCGGACAATTCGGACATCGGTCGGTCGCATTGAAGCCGAAAACAATGTATGGGGTCATAACCCTTCTCAAATCAAAATATCCATCCATGCGAGCAACAAATATATTGCGAATTGCCGCCGTGAATGCATCCTTTGCTTTTGAACATCACCACAATCAATTTTCATCCAATCTAGTTCAAGCTTTATGACTAACATGCATAAGCTTTTAATCATGTTTCTATCCGTTTTTGAACTTCCCCTCCAAAGGGAAGTTTCACAAACAATAAATCTTCATTGATTCAAGGATGATGGGAATATTTGCTTTCTTTTTCTCTGTATGTAGGTAGATTGCATCCCTAATACCCATCAGTTCATCTGATGATATGGGATTAGTTCCATTCTTTACATTTATATAAGTATCTTTCTCTTGGCCAGTGATTGAGTTCATCGTTCAACAGACACTTTTTTCTTTACTATCACATTCATTTATACAGTCCTCGGTGACTATCTACATTCATTACTTCATTGATTGAAGAAATTTTTCAAGCGCTCTTTTTTTCACTGCACACATTTTAAAATCTTCGTCCATTACTATCATCAATTTCAAATTCTTATCATCAAAAATGTCTTTCTCTAAGATGGCTGTTGTGGCTGGTGCCGCTTTCATCTCTGGTGTTGCAGCACATGGACGTGTTCAAGGTATCGTCGCTGATGGCGTCTGGTAAGTAAAGATGAAAGAAAGTTTCGGGAAATAAAAGCTTATATTTCAATAGGTATGAAGGTTATAATCCATCTTTCCAATATGACCAAGTCGCTCCAGTAGTTGCTGGGTGGTCTGATCCATCTGATTTGAGCAATGGATTTATTTCACCAGATGCTTATGGTACATCTGATATCATTTGTCATTTGAGCGCTACCAATGCTAAAGGATATGTCAATGTTACTGCCGGTACTGAGGTTAACTTGCAATGGACTACTTGGCCATCATCTCACCACGGACCAGTTCTTGGTATGTTTATATTGAACCTTATTAAATATAATTTTAACTAATGAATCGCCCCAGACTACCTTGCGGCATGTACCGGAAATGATTGCACAACCGTAGACAAGACCACCCTCAAATTCTTCAAGATAGACGGTGTAGGACTTATCGACGATACCACCATTCCAGGTACATGGGCATCAGATCAACTAATCGAAAATAATTCCTCCTGGTCTGTGACCATCCCAGAATCATTAGCACCAGGTGGATACGTTCTTCGACACGAAATCATCGCTCTCCATTCCGCCGGACAAGCAGATGGAGCACAAAACTATCCACAATGCGTTAACCTGTGGGTATCAGGAACTGGAACCACCACGCCAGCTGACTCGGATACCACTCTTGGTACAGCTCTCTATACCGAGACTGGTGCGGGTATAAGCGTTGATATTTATGCTTCCATCGCTTCATATGCAGTTCCTGGTCCTACTCAATGGGCTTCCGCTACTGCTTCTGTAGCTCAAGGTACATCTGGAGCCGTAGCCACTGGAGCCGCACCCGTCTCATCAGAAGCTTCCTCCGTAGTCGCATCAAGCGCATCTATTTCAAGCGCCTCAACTTCCGCTGCTGTTATTGCTTCTACTTCTGCTCAGTCTCAGTCTCAGTCCACTAGTACAGCAATTATCGCGTCTTCTTCCTCTTCTAGCAAGAAATCTTGCACCAAAAAAGTCTCCTCTACATTAGCTGTTTCACCGGTCGTTACTTCAGCCCCGGTCCCTACTGCTTCGTCAAATGTCATCACTATGATTACCGACTATGTTACAGTTACCGATGTTGTGACTGTTACCGTTACTGCTTAAATCTTTTAAAAGCTTGACTTGACGTTTTCTTAACCAAAGGCCTTTTGATGATATTTGATGGTTTTTTGTTTTTTTGGGGTGGTGGGATGGGGAGGAGTTACCCGTTTATATATTACCATTTAGATTCAACTCCTAACGCCGGCTTCCTGCTGGAGTGGTAGTATTATCGTTTCCCATTTTCGTAGTGTTAACTAGAGGGGAGAAACGTTTTCTGTCTATCTGGTATAGTGTCGGAATGGATTTATAAATGATTAACTCATGGAATATATTGTATATATGTCAAGTAAAACACAAATACAAATATAAACTTATATAAATACTCCTTTCTCTTTATACTTGTTATTTAAATCTTATATTTGAATTTGATATATTTTATACTTCAGATATGAATTTCTTTAAAATATAATATATTGTTTTTTTTTAAATTATTATATATTTATCTTTTTATTATATTAGATTATTATAGAATTTCTTTTTTATATAATTATTAACTTATTAAATATTTTTAAATTTAAAATCTAATACATTTTTAAATTTAAAGATAAATATATATTTAAATATTAAATCTTTATTATTTACTATTATATCTTTTATTTCTTTTTTAAATTTTTCTTTTTAATTATTAATAAAAAATATACTTTATTTTACATTTTTTATTTTTTTATTATATAATTGAATTTTTTGGATTTATTTTTTCTTTACTAATATTATTTTTTTTTTTTTGAGTTCAAATTCTTTATAATAAAATTTCGTTATATATTGTAAAAGTGATAGATCTAAATATATATATCCTGATAATATACTATAAAAGAGAATTGAAAGAGAAAACTGAATTAGATTATATTGTAATATATCATTTATAAAGAAAACAAAGTTTACAGCAGTTTTGAGATTGAATTTATATAAATTCAAATATAAAAGTTGATTATTATAAAAGAAAAACAAAAGCTCTTCTTTTATATTTAATTATAAAAGATTATATAATTGACTGATTAAAAACTTTTATATATCTAATTTGTAATTTTAACTTTTTTATAATATATTAATTTCTTTTTTTAAAATATTTTATATATATCAAAATCTTATTAATATACTTAGAAATTGATTTAATAATTTATTTTATATATAAAAGAATAAATTTTTATAAAGATTCTTTTAGAAAATTAAATATTAAATAATAAAGAGATTAAAATAATTATAATATTTACTTTTTATTTATAATAATATAAAATATATTTATGATTTGATAATTTTAAAGCTTTATTTTTTATATTTATAACTATTTAATAATGTATTTCTTTTAAATAAATATATATCAATTTTAACTATATAAAAATATAAATTTGAAAGTTAAAAAAAAGTTTTAAATTATAAGTTTTGTTATCGATTAGAATAATTTATATAAATATTGTAAGAAAGTTAGAATTATAAATCAAATACATAGAGGTTTTTAACTAGTCAATCATATAACCTTTTATAATTAAATATAAAAGGAAAGTTTTTGCTTCTTCTTTTGAAAATAATCAACCTTCTATATATATATATTTGAACCTATATAATATCAACCCCAAAACTATTGTGAACTCTATTTTCTTTATAAATAACATATTACAATGTAATTTAATTCAGCTTTCTCTTTCAATTCCCTCCTTACAATATACTATCGGGATACACATATCTCGACCTACCACTTTTATAATATTAAGATTCTTCTTTTTGCTAAATGATAGTAAAAATAAACGATATAAATTTAATATACTTTTATATATTAAAAAAAAAGTTTGATTATTATATATAAACAATTAGATTATTAAAAAGTAGATGGAATTAACTTAAATAATGCTCAAAAATTTATAGTTTCGATAATTGCTAGTTCATTTCTTTTTGAAATATATTATAGAGTAGAGTAAATCTCTTTTATATAGATGTCTAGCAGAAAAAAATTGATTGTTGCCGTCAGGTCAGAGATATTGAAGTATAAAACATGTCTACTCTCACACATATTTTGTTTCAATTTTCGACACGCTACACGTTGATTTACAGATCGGCTTCGTTGTGTGAAGTGAATGGAATATGAGATCTTTCATGCGGAGTCTGAGTTCTAGTTTCTAGAATTATCCTTTTCAATGACTTAATCTCCTAAAAATGAACCGAAATATGGCAGCGGAAAGAGGAAGGAACTATTTATATTCCAATCTATTATATTTATCGCCTGATAGGCTCAAAGGTCCATCTGACTCTGGTTAAAAGCTCATGATGACCTCTTCGGGTGTCGAGAATCTCGACTCTTTCCACATGGCGTACTCGAACAGATATTTGCCCGATTTACCAGGAATCCTAAGTCTTACCATTGGAAGTTCTGATACTGATAAGAAATTACTTGAATTCTTATTAATATTATGGAATTTTGGGTGACCGCAGTGTATACAGCTGCTAGAAGAAGACCTCCAGTTTAAATGCTATAAATCGAATTCCACAGTAAAAATATAAAATGAAATCACACGGAATGAAGCGTAATTCCCTGCTTCGGTGCAAAAACATATAGATACTTGGTATGTATAAAACCAGGAGCTTTTTACACCTATAGCTTTTTCTCCAAAGCAAAGCTTGAAATGAAATTGAGGTAGGAAAGAAGAGCTTTATAGAATTAGTAGGTAGACTTTCTTTAAGGACTTGAGACACGTCACTTTTGGAAATTATCTAGATCTTGTCGTTGATTAATAGTTGCTGAGGTGTAGGCGATAGTGTACACTAGGTCGACGAGATATGGCTGGCAATCATGACATCATTAAATAAAGTGACAATGAGAGTGAGAGCGATTGCTTCAAGTTAAAATATATAATTTAAGGGTGTCTGATAATTTTCGAGATCAAAATTGATATTTATATTTTGATAACTTTTTTTTAATTCCCGGCTTTTAAGCAAGTTGATTAATAAATAACACGTCTCGTTGTGTGTGGATCCCGGAGTTTGCAATACATTTTGAGAATTTGAGTGTTACTTTAGGGTACTGAATACTTGTATTCACAGTTTCAATGGCGCCCAGCTTCCTCTCTGCTTGAAATCCGGCCATATCTAATATACCTCCCTTAATTGCACAGCTAAGTTTATCAAAACAGCCCACGAGTTTGTTCCCGGTACACCCAGCATTCTTCGATGAGTTTGTATGAAGTTTTTGCACAATCTTTCCGTCTTTACAAGCTCCAGATTTTCCTCCATCTGCACTGCCTCAAACATATCTTGATTTATTGCCACCTTTCAGTCCCCGGTGTTCCCTCTATGACTCGAAGTTTTCAGTATCTTTCACCGAGGGTAAATTAACTAGTTCGTCCAGATAAATCTTCGATTTTCAACAATTTTGACAGCCGACATCACAGATGACAATGAAAGAGACTGAACTATAGCAGAAAAGTATATAGGTCCTGGCAATATCATACTAAAGAACTCTAGCAAGCATCTCATGTCTATAGTATTCTCGAATGATCAAATATCTAAAAGTATCGGCATCCTGCCACCACAAACTGTCACAACTTGACATTCAGGAAATCAAGGCTTAGCAAACTTTATGCAGAATTGGAGTAAGGAATTAATATGCGGCTTTCTATGGAAAGACGAAGATCTCCTGGAACGTGGAGGAGGGATGTGTGGTAGACATTTGCTTGTGATGATCTAATTTCTAACAATTTCGCATATTGAAAAATTTTGAGTAGTGAAGTAATAAAGCGAATACATCTGATTTGTGGTCTTAATATGGGAGATGTAAGATAATTATAGGCTGATTTCGGAAATGCACAATTTGAAAAGGAGACGATTGTAATAAATTAAGGGGTGCGTGTTGAAAAGAATACTTGGAAGGAATTAACGAATGTTGAGTTCTTAATGTGATGTAGAAAGGGAATAAATAAACAGTGATGATGGGAGAGCAATCTTCGACAATAAAAGCTGTAATGAAAAGATGATAAGAATTAATCTTGTAAGAATCCTGTATACACGGACAAGATCAAAACTAGAGATTCGCTGATTTTGAGGAGAGCCTTCTCGATCACTCAACTCGGGCGGCGGCGGCGCCTTTTCATGCGGTTTACAAGTGAAGAAAAGCTTTGCATATCATCATGGAAAGCAGAAGAGCTTTTACACTATAAAGTGGAGAACTAGGTAGGAAACTTTAAAATTCAGATTTAGTTTATACCACTATCTGTCCTTAGATTTTAGGATATCCAGAATAGTCTATTCAAGTACTGCACTTTGAACCTCCTTATCCGAAGCGAGTATAAAAGCTCTGGAGATAATACTTTGTTCAATCATGAAATATATCAGGACCTTCAGTTCTTCATTGCAAGAGGAAATTTATATATATATTATCGAAAACATTCTTTCATCTCCGATCCGATATTTGAATAATGTGGTCAAAAAAACAATAAAATTATCCCCTTATTATATTATTATGCCGACGGCAAGAGGGAGAAATGACAGTAACAGCCTTTTAATATCGACAAGGAGAGAAAATGATAAACGACGATAATATTCCCGGATAACTCTTTACAGATTAAAGACTTAGATTCTGGAGGTATACGTAGTAAAACAATATTTTTGAGTCGCAAAGTAAGGTTTAAAGCGGTATCCCTGAACGCCGGATGCAACCATAAGGCTAGAACGCAGCAAATTACCACCTTTAAAGGAGGAAAATGCTGGAGAAAGAAGTTTATTTATACTATGCATCGGCCAAAAGACCTAGGAATGGGATTCTTCGGCGTTCAATTTTGGATTTTAGATTTAGAGTGTGCTCGCCCAGTATTTGTAACGAGCTGTCGTGATAGATCAGGAAGTGGCATTAGTGATTCTCTACTCTATTAATTATGACTTGGAGTAAAATATTACTTGCTATAGCACATCATATCGATATCTTAGTATCTGAACAGCAATAGAACCCTCTAAACTTTCAAAATGAAAAAAGATTCAATCTCTTATAACCAAGTAGTCTAAAATAAGTTTTATAAGAGGAAGATACGAAGATATACGTAGCTTCACCATTGCAGCAAAACTTATAGTACAGACTTATAACTAGAAGCTCATTCTACTCTTTATATTTATCTAATATTATATATAATGAGATTCATCTATCACAATCAGAATCTGAGCTAGTACATGTTCACTTGAATGATCAGAGACAGGAGGTAAGATTTCAGATGTGATATGATGTAGACTAATGAGTAATAAATAATGAAAGATAAATGATAAATCAGGAAATAATAACAAGAACTAGAAATAGTAATAAGAATAACAATGATAGTAAAAGTAGGAATAATAATAATAATAAGAATAATACTACATATATAATATAAATTAAAAATCTCTACACTTTCACTTTCAGATCCAAGATATATAAATTTAAATATACACTTTTGAATTATAATAAATCAAGTTCTATATCATCTTTTTATATCTCTTTGTTTTTTTAAGATTTAGTTTTTTGAAGAAAGAATTTGTTGAGAAATTCTTAAAGTTTTATATTTATATACTTAATTATTTCTTTCCTGAGAAAAAAATAATAATTTCAATTTAAAAATAAATATATAAACTTTATATCTATTGATTTAAAAATTAATAATAAAATTTTAAATTAAATAAATAAAGATATATATATTTTTTATATATATCAAGATTCAAAAATGAAAAAACAATATAATTTTTATTATTATTTTTTAATACAAAACTTTAAAAGATACTCGGGCTAGTCTTTGATGAGGGCCGGGTTTAAGCTTTATATTCTTATTAACAAAAGTTGATTTTTAAAAATATATAAATTAATTCAGTTTTTCAATATTTTAATTTAATATTTAAAATTGATATTAATAAAAATATTCTTATTTTTTTCATTAATAAAGGATTATTGAATCAAAATTATAATATTTTAAGATTTTATTTTTTAATATATTTTAAATTTTTATAGTATATTTTGATATATGAAATTAAAAAATTAATAAGATATTATATTTTTGAAATTTGAAGTATACATAATTTTTTTATTAGATTTATAATTTTTTTTTGAAAATACATGATTTTTGATATGAAAATGTCTTTTATTAAGCCCCTGGCCCTCTTTAAAGAGATAAAATAAAAATAAAAATATAAAATAATTTGATCAATTTTGATATAATGATAGATAATAAGATGAGATTAAACTAGATTAGATTAAGAAAATGAATAAAGTAATTACAAAATTATATATATTGATAAATAATTTATATAACTTGATATAACTAAGAGATATTTCAATAGCTCAAATTCATTCTTAGATTAAAAGAAGATTAATCTATAGAAGAATTTTATAAAATCAAAAATAATCTAAAGTAGAATCTTTAAAATTACATCCCCCCTCATTTAAAAATATCCACTCCAAACCAACCACCTTCCCTCATCACATCCCCTCCCATAGAAAAAACCCTCAAACTCTCTTCTCCCACTTAAAAAACATCCTCTCAGGATGTAACAACTGCAACAACAATCGAAACCCCGTATCCTCCTTAATCAACCCCTTCAACCTCTCTATCGCATCTTTCTCACTTTCTCCCTCAAGTTGTACAGGTTTAACCCTATAATCCTTAAATAATCCCACCAATACACCTACAAATTCAACCTGGGAGAACTTTCTCCCAGGACATACTCGTGCGCCGCCTGACCAGGCAATAAATGGATTAGAAGCTTTTGGAAATTCGAGGAAAGTTTCTGTAGCAAGATTTGAGGTACTTGGATTTGGTGGGGATGATGTAAGTGCGGTGTTAGAAGGAGAATTTGAAGAGGGTAGGATCCAACGGGATGGTTCCCAGGCTAGAGAGTTGGATCCCCAATGTCGGGGATGTGTATGCATGGCTGAGTAACTGGGGATGATCATTGTGTGTGGTGGAAGTACGTGAGTTGAGTTGTTGACTTTGAGTTCTCGGGGTTCGGGACCACTGGTTTTGACGATGGCTACTGGTGTGTAGAGACGTACTGTTTCGTACTGGTAGGAGAGTTAGTATACTTTTGAGATTTTATGCATATGATGGATTGTTTGGGGATTGCTTACTGTAACAGCGAGACAGCGCTTCAAACGTGGAAATATCTCTGCATAGTTTGAAGTTTCTGGTTCTTGATCACCGAATACTTCTTTAATTTCTTCTGCAATCCAAGCTTGAACATCAGGACGAGTAGCAATTAAGGCAATACCAAAAGCTAATGTGTTGGCAGTGGTATCATGACCAGCAAAATTGAACACGAAAATATTTCCGTAAATTTCTTGCTCTGTCAAGCCACCATGACTCGATGCTTCCTTACTCTCTGCTTGAGAAGCACGTACAAGTGAAGTCATCAGATTATTTCCATGTGTGCTTCCATCCGCAGCAGCTTGTTTTCCTTCTTCATATGCATTTGTCATATAGTTCTGGAAAGTGACGGTTGCTTCATGGAGAGGTTTCCAACTTTTTGGTAACCACCATTTATCCAAGTTTTTTGGACCTAGAGCAACCAAAGCGATACAATTATCCAATATCAACTTCAAAGCATCTCTGATATTAGCAGAACCTTGAGTAGCAGACTCTTCCTCCGCTCCTTGATACGGATATGATTTCCCAAAACCAGCACTAGACATGACGTGTAATGACAGTGTTCGTACATCATCGCCAATAGTATTGATTGAAGATTTTGATGACCAATACTTTCGCATTCCAGTGGCTTGACGAATTACTTCTGCCCATACAATTTCGTTGTTGTTCTCATTGAAACATGTGGCAGTGATTTTGCGATGACGCTGCCATTGAGCTCCTTCCGTTGTTCCAAGATTAGGCCCAAAGACGTTCAACATCGCTAGCATCTCCGTTGGTCTGGTAAATTCCCTACTACGGGCATTTATATCGATCAAGGTCTCTGCATTGCAAAGTTGTAGCCAATTCTTCCCTGGAGTCACGAGGATGAATGCATCACCTATCTCCTGATGCGCCTTGAATCGATCGTGAATTTCCCATCCTCGATAATTGAAACGGGTAAAGTTTTTGGTGAAAGGTAGATTTTTGAAGTATGGTAGAATCTTGGTATCAACGGCCATCCAAAGAGGATTACCAGAATCGATGGGCAAGATCACGAGGGGTAGACCGGTCTTCCTAGCTAGATTGTAGTTGACAGCCAAACAATACAGCACGTATAAAACCCATCCTGTCACTGGAATGACAAAGCCTAGGAATAATGAATAGCCAGCCATGATTGTCGACTAAACAATAACAACAACTGTGATGAAGGATGCTATTCACAACCAGAAGAGAACAATTAATAATTCCAAAGCTTCGCGTTGAAAACCATTTCTCGGTCGATAAACCCCAAAAAGGAAATATGGAACTTTGGCCTCTGGGATCCGCAATTGAAAGGCACAGCGCTTAAAATAAATTACGGGGAGATGAATGAATTACTAAAAGAATTCACCATCGAGCTTATTCTCGTACGGAGGGAGGAAGGTTTAAAGCGGATTACTCTGTGATGTGATGCAACCTCTTAGTAAAAACTGTAATTAGAGTGATGTTCAACCAGCAATTTATTAAGGTTATACTTTTCTGGGCTGAAAATTGATCACATCAATTATTCTATTCCTAATGAAGCAACATCGGAAAATCTCTGTACCAAGCTGGTAATATAACCAATCATCGCCTGATTACTTCTAACTGTGCATCAAATGAGACATACAGAGTAAGCACTTAGCAAAGCCGTTGCATAGCCGGTAAGGTCTAACAGAGTACATTTACGTCTGTGGCGCCCAAATAACGAACCTTACAAACAAGACGGAGTAAATCACGATTTAGGAAGTTACGCAACTGAATTCCATTTTTAGAGCAATTGCAGTGTTCAATAATGGGGGAAACTTGTGTCGAACGACATACTAGGTACTGTAGTTAGTTGATAGTTGATAGTTGATAGTCCGTAAAGGCTCAGATCTTCAAAGTTGGGGGCCTAATCACTGTGATGGCACCCGTGATGTACGTTAACCCCCCTGTGCTGGGGCGACACACATGGCCATCCACTCCACTGTGCTAGACTCTCGCCCCCTCAGGTCCATGAAGCAGAAGCATCGCTAGATCAATTTGCTACCCATGCTCAGCCGTGGTAAAAAGATAGCCTGGTATATGATATTCGATCTTCGATATTTGATACTTGATACTAGGTACCTGACCCGGCTGTGTCTATGTCTATGTCTTGGATGGGGCGTTTCGAATATCGCTTGGCGTGCGTGGCTTCCTGGTGATTATCATAGACATAGATACTCCTGGTAACCTTAACCTTATACACTGAAAAAATCACAAAGTATATCAATAGACAAAATTACTTCGATATACATCTGTTTTCGGTATCCTTTCCTGCTATTTACCCCATACAAACACACACACACACACATACACACACACACACACATTCCTCAAACACCAAAATGCATTTCCCCGCTCTCCTCGCCGACCAGCGCTTGACCCAACTTCAACATCTCAGTAACTCCCATGGTCCATACTCCAGTAACTGCAAAGCTACACACACATCTCCCATTCAGATATCATGTGTCATTTTGATATTTCTGGGTATGTTGGCAAAGGCTGCTTTTGCTATTGAGAGCCTTGATTGGATGGATTGTGAGTATATATTTTCTAAGTACCTATATATATATATCTATTCGAGTGCCGAAATGAATCTTCAACTAATTAATCGGATGTTTTTAGATACTATTATCTGTATTCTGGTATGTATTGTAAGATCTTATATGATACTTGAATGTATATTTTAAAATATTGATTAACTCACACGAATATCAGACTGGAATTTGGTATTCGAGAAGACGTCCAACTACTTATGTGGTTTTGTGATGGACCTTGGTTTTGATGTTGGCGTTGTGGTAGGACGAAGGAGCATGAAATACTGCTGGGGTCACGGTTATGGTTTGGGTTGGGGATAGGGTTCTGGCTGCGTTTTTGTTTGGATGGATGAGCTGGATGGTATTATATGGATAGGATGGATACATACAAATTATGGCGCAAGGGACATTTAATGAATGATGAATCAATATACCATTGACAATAGAGTACCACGTGAATTGTAATTGACAATTCTACTCATGTCTTTTGAGCTTGTTTAGTCAACGAGAAGTTCTTGTGAAAAATTCAACAATCTAGCCAAGAATTAACTTCAAGAAAGGTGTCATACAAAATCTATTACATTATTCTGAAAATGTTACAGCAAATAATCCTATATTCTAGACTTTCTCGGATCCAATTACGCCGTCTGTCATGGCCGAGCTCTCAAACTCGTCAGACTTTCCCTCATCTTTTGCTTCCCTTCTTTCCTCTGCAACCTTCTTGAGATTAAACCATTGCATGCCACAAGCAAACGGTAAAGACAAACAAGCTGCAGCCAAGGCATAATACATTGCATCCCTAATAGCAATCGTGTACGCTTCTCTCAATGCACCCAAGACAATCACTGATCCACCAGCCAAATCCTCCAGACCACTAGCGCCGACCTTTATGACCGCTTCTGCTGATACAGCAGTGGTATGAGCTGGTACACTGGTTTGTAACCTTGACAGAAAGAGGGATTGTGCGATGGATACGGAGACGGAAGAACCAATCTGATACATAAATACCGCAATTGCATTTCCAGTAGGCGCGTCTTCTTCACTCAACACAATCTGTAGCGCGGTGTAGGGAAGCTGTTGTGCCATTCCAGTACCCCATCCATTGATGACCATGTATGCGGCCCATCGAACCGTTGAAGTATTGGTGTCGATGGTAGTGAGAAGACCGGCACCAACCATTGCAATTATCGTTCCAAGAATCATATATGGGACATAGTATCCCCATTTTGTGACGATAGCCCCAGTGAGCGACAAGCCAATGATTTGAGGAAGAACTATTGCGATGAAACGGGTTCCACTTTGAATAGCGGTGACACCTTGAATGGATTGGAAGTAGATAGGCAGGTAGTAAGCATAGACAAAACTCATCATGCCAAATAACATAAGGAATATACTTCCCATGAGAATTGATCTTTGTCGAAGGATTCGCAAGGGAATTGTGGCATGTTCACCTCGTTTCCATTGTAGAACACCGAAGGATATGATGAGCAAACCAAAACCAACGAACAATCCGATAACTTTAGATGACTTCCATGGTAGAGTCTGTCCACCCCATTGTAATGCCAGAAGAAGGCAGTATATTGCTCCTAAAAACAGTAGAACTCCGCCAATATCCATGCGCCTTAATTTAGTTGAAAGGTTCAAGGAACGATTTGAGTTTTGTGTACCTCCAATTCGAAAGAATAGCAAGATAAAGACAAGGACAACAGCGCCCATAGGTACATTACTATCTTTCTATTAGTATGTGTAGAGCTATTAGGATAAAGGAAATCATTACATCCAAAAGCACCACCTCCAATTGGCTTTGTCAGTGAAGACACCACCAAGTACAGGCCCGATGCAGACGCTGATAGCGAAAGAGCTGATGACAATGCCTTGGTACATTGGCCTCTTTTCGAGTTCTACCACAAAATTGACAATTGCCAGACTTCCTTGATAGATTCCGGCAGCCCCAAAACCAAGAACAGATCGTCCTCCAATGAGGACACTGGAAGAAGGCGCTGCCGCGCATAAAATTGACCCCACTGTCATAAGTCAGATACCATCAATTTGTTGCATTCAATGACTTACACTCAAATAACGCTATTGATCCCATATACACAATCTTAGGATCAAAGTATTTGTACAAATTACCGAACAAAGGTTGAAAGGCCGTAACGGTGAGAAGATATGCTGAGCCATACCAGGCAACATCATTCAATGCATGAAAATCAGATGTAATTCTAGGAATTGCAACGGCGATAATGTTCATGTCCAATGCCAGGAGGAAAATTCCTAAGCACAAGGAGCCGATAACAGCCGCAAGGCGCCATGAGCGAAGAAAAAGACCGTCAGGTTCGGAGCTTTCAAGGCTTGTGGGGCATGAGATATTTGTAATGGCCACGGCGCTCATATCTTTATCGATAAACTCGGTGTCCTTGCTGGATAGAGCTCTGTCTTGCTGCGAAGTCATGGTTGACCGATTATTGTGAACCACTCAAGATTGTAAATAGTTTGTCTGGTGGCGGAGAATAGGTTTGCACGTAACGTCAAAGGTAGAAATAGAACTTCAACGCTCTCTGTCTCATAAATGTCGTGAGCCCCTTGCACGCCATTCTTGGACGAGAGGAAGTGCATGGCATGATAGACGAGCAGCATTCACCGTTTACCCATCAGGGGGTGTCTGCCACACATTAGAAATTACTCTTAAAATTTGAAAGCCGTGGCTAACTGCAGATGGCATTGTTACAAGCTGATCATAGTTGGCCAGACTGATTTATGCTGATGCCTTGGGGTTTAGCTGGAATATGGAGTCGGCACAGCGGGCTTGGTATGTACATGAAAATCAACAGGGGATGATTTTTAAACCCTGTCACCTGATGTGAAACTAAATTTTAGTGTACATCTTTAGTTCGAAATATAAGTTTGATATGAAAATGTGGTCCATGCAGAAACCCGTACATTATTAACAATTCGGGAGGTTACTCATTTGGGTAATATCTCATCACGATAGTTCGTGATAGTAATTTGTGATGGAGTTCAAGGCAGAATCTCAATATCCATTGACGCCCATGTGGGTGATGGAAGCGATCAAGGGGTAGCGCTCAAGGGGTAGCGCATCATCGGATATTTGGAATTTTGAAATCAGCACTGTGTGACTAGTATCGGAGAAGTCGGTTTGCCTTGTTCAATCATGGTCAACAGTGGAGGGATGAGTATGAGCAGTATATCTACTTATGCCGATCCCTTTGGATTATTACTTGAAGACACTCGCGTATACTCCTTTCGTTCTCACAAGCATCTCATCTTCACTTCAGATAATTTTAATCTCACAAAGCTCCATCGAGTGTCAACTCTTTCACAATGTTTCTCAGCCCTGCTTGGAGATTTGTATCTACAAGTGAATATCAACCTTACTTCCTTGCTGCGGCAGTATTCGGCATTTGGCTTCTATCATGGCGTTTGTGGAGATTTACCATTCGGCCATACCTTAGACCGCAAGATCCTATCGAACTTCCCTACTGGATACCATGTAGGTATTCTTTCGATCTAGCTGAAACTTTACTGACAGTATGTAGTTTTTGGACACAGTCTTAGTTTCTTCCGGAACTCTGATAGTTTGATCGAGCGTGGCTTGTATGTTGAAACCCATTTCCATACCCATTACATCCATTGCTTTCCTACCCTTCTCTTCATACTTTCTTGATGACGGAATGTGATAATAACAATTGTACTCCAGGGATTACACTGGTCGCACTCACGAACCTTTCGCCATTCAAGTGGCTTCACAATTGTTCTATATTGTTACAGGACCACGGGATGTCGCAGAAGTTTACAGAAATGTAGCCACTCTAAGTTGGGATGGTCACTTGTCTCAAATCCTTTCTAACTTTGGCTTCACTGGCAAAGCGTTGAAGTTGGCCTGGCATGTGCCCATTCCAGGAGACAAATGCTATATGCATAAGAATCCTGTCAACCCTAAGCAACTATCTCTGGTCAAGCTCATCGAGGAAGTTTATATTGCCCAGTTACTTCCTGGTGTACACATGACTGAAATGTCCGAGAAATTCATCGTTTCGCTCAAAGACTCCCTCCAACCACTAAAGATGGACTTTTGTACATTGAGTAGGAATGGTCTTACTCGTCGGGTCTCATTAAAGGCTCTTTGCCGATCTACTCTCGTCGAAGCTGCAACATTTTCCATGTTCGACAAAGCCCTCCATAAGCTCAATCCAAACATTGTAGAAAACATGTTGGACTTCAACGATAGTGCTTGGATGGTTTTCTTCGGCCTTCCAGAAATATTCTCAGCCAAAGTAGCCAACGCTCGCAAAACAATGCAGAAGACGATGGCAGAATTTGCGCGTCTTTCGGAAAACGAGCGTGTTGGTCAAGCTTGGGGAATTGGAACGATTCTTAAGGCACAGGAGATTGTTGGCATTGATATTGAAAGCAGAGCTTGTATGCTTTTACTGATTTACTGGGCGTAAGTGATCCTTTGGTTCTTGATATTCATATTTGAGTATAAATCGCTAACGATCCAAAGTGCAAACTCAAACGAGTACAATATCTCATTCTGGCTTATTGCACATCTCGTTTATAACGTACCTCTTATGGAGCGAGTTCGCGGCGAGTTGGAAGCAGGTTGGAAAGACGGTGACCTTGACATCAAATATCTCTGTGCCAATTCTCCTAACCTTGATGGCGCATTCCAAGAATCACTACGTCTGAACGGAGGTGCAATGATGAGTCGCCAAGTCAAGCAGCCTACTATGATTGGTAACAAATTAATGCAACCTGGATCCAATGTGCTCATGCCATCTCGTCAGCTACACATGAACGAGAGTGTTTGGGGCCAAGATTACAAGAACTTTGATGCAGAGCGATTCGTTAGAGACAAGGGCTTGCTAAAGCATTCTTCTTACCGACCATTTGGTGGCGGCATCAGCTATTGCCCTGGACGTGTCATGGCTAAAGAGCAGGTTTACGCTTTTATTGCTATTATTTTCAGACGCTTTGATGTCAAGCTGGCGCCTGGAATTAACGGAAAGTTTCCAGTCTTGGATGAAAGCACTCCTTCCCTTGGAATTACAGGTCCAGTCAAAAGTATGGACGTGTTCATGGACTTGACGGAAAGAGAGAAGTGCAACCAATATTGAAAATGCGGGGGACAAATTCTTCCGAAGAATCTCAGGAGTTGCGATACCATAGTTTATTATCTTTATTTTCATGTATATAGTTTTGTTTTATCTGTACCATCGAGTGGCCAAATAAAATTATCAATCATTTTTTAACTACGAAATAACATATCAATTACCAGACCTTTGCACTTCAATTATCATTCTATGTCTTTTCATCCACATTGACAATTCACCTAGAATATAGCTGGCTACGATTCGAAGATTATACAATATGATCTAGAACGGCCGAGGCTTCTTAAAAACCATTAATCTTCACATTTCATCCGGATGTCATTTTAGGCTTTGGCGTCAAGTGGTATCCTGAGCCAGCCGCTGTCCCATACCAACGGATCCTCCAGATGTCGACATAGACGTTGCACGTAGCATGGAACCCGAACAACAGTTCTGTGACAAAAAGTTGGCACAAAAAAACCTAATTTTAAACTTTTCACACGGACATACGCAAAAAAAGATACAATCTTCATAAAACATGCAATATCATCGATAATAATTCTCCGCATACTAGATATGCGAGACACACGATGATATCACACTCAGCCATGTGGTGACGAGATTGCTAGTCCCAAGATAGGCAGCTGGATTTGTGGCAAATGTGATTGCACAAATTACACGCACTGGCCACATGGCACACGTCGATCTCATATCCAACCGGCGGTTGGAAAATGGGGCTTGGCACACTCCTCCGTGACTCCTCCTGTCACACAATTTAGATAGGCATATAAATAAAGATTTGGCACAATGCCTTTTTGTGATGACAGTTTTTAGTGTGATTAGTGAGGACGTGGGTCGAGAGGGGCAATCACGATGCATGCAGGGGCATGGACTCGGCATCTAACTCAATTGGGGGTCTCCACAGGTTTTAGCGGAGGTAGACGACTGAATAACTGTGAGGTATTGCAGAAATGCTGCGGAAGCTATTACAAAGATTGCGACGCTGCTAATTTAACGCTTACACCACTTTAATAGATGCATAGCAGTGCCATGCATCTGCTATGGCACAGTGGGCATACGGATCACAATGGGCGGTTTCTTGAATTTCACGGAGACCTCATCCTAAAGGGTTGTGATCGAGAAGACTCCACAACTGCGCCCCATCCTTGTTGCTCCATGTGGAATCTCCCTAATCAGTGGCAGTAGATAAGCACTACCTTTTCTTCATTCAGAGATTTGAAGAGCAACTGTTTTTCTTGTATTGTGGAAAACCATTCTCCACTGATTCAATATCCCAACCAAGTCCTCAAGGTTGAAGCATCATACACCATGTCTACGTCTACCGCTGCCCAAGGCTCAATGGCTGCAGTCCAGCCAACAAAGGTTGATATGCAAACATTCTTGGTACGTGCACTTGTTATAATCCTGCCGCTAGTGAAATAACTAACAATCCATTAGGGTGTCATATGGGGAGGTTTTGCAATCGCAGCAATATGCATGGCCTTACGTACATTCTCTAGAATCAAGACGTTCAAAAGTCTTTACAACGACGATATATTTGCATTCCTAGCTTTGGCTCTCGCTCTCGCCAGCGCAATACTATGGCAGGTTCATGCTCAAGAGATGTTCGATCTTATGGCCGTGTCTGCTCAGATCAAAATGCCTGGAGCAGATTTCGTTGCCAGAAGTGAGGCTTATTCCAGAGCATCTGGAGTTGTCATTATCCTTTTCTATTCAACCTTATGGTCTGTCAAGTTCTCTTTCTTGCTCTTCATTCGACGACTCGGTTCGCATGTTGCAAAGGTTGAATATTTATGGTGGCCAATAACTGTTTTTACCATCTGCACCTACTTTGCTTGCATCGGAACCATTCAATACCATTGTTTGTTTGTTCCTTTGACCACAATTGAAACAAAATGCACCACGAACTCTGCGATAAACTTTCAGCAAGTTACTTTGAAGTTGAACTGTGTTTGGGATGTTTTGACCGATGCTTTGAGTAAGTTTTGTCATCTTCCCTCTATGTAGCCTTGACTAACTTGCGTAGTAATGGTTATTCCAATCAGTATGTTGTGGGGAACGCAAATGAAAATGAAGAGAAAGATCACGTTCGGTGTTATTTTCTCTTTGGCTCTTATCACAATTATTTTCGCCATTGTACGAACTACGGTCGTCAGTTCATTGACGCGCATGCCTGATACTTCTTGGCTTTACATGTGGTCCGCTATTGAGACTACAATTGGTAAGCCTCTGCTCTCAGATATTTTTGTCGAGGGCTATCAATCTAACATATAATTCTCTCAGCAATCGTAGTGGTCTGCATGGCCTCTATCCGCGGCCTTTTCTCCAAGGAAGAAGGCACGAAACCTTCCAAATACACACCACCCAAAGTCTCCGAAGTCTATTTACGCAACAAAAAGAGAAACAGGTTAATGGGAACACTTGACACATTCACTGGTAGAGAAAGTTATGTGCGAACAGGAGATTCAAAAAATAATCAGAGTCCTACCGATGGAGCAAGTAGTGTAACGAGCGAGCAGAACATTCTTCCATTAGACAATGTCAGAGTCAAACAGCGATATGAGGTTACTCATGAGCTCGCTAATGGATCAGAGCGCGAGAGTACCTATCATGAACACGTTTAGTTCATTTTGGCGGGTGTTGGTTGGTTTATGGTTTATGTGGAAAGTTTCGGTTGGTTAAAGCAACGATTGTGGCATGCATAACGGATGTCCTACAATTTTTTTTGGGCGGGGGAGGGGGAGGGGTTAGGGATATTTTTTTATCTTCAGTTTAAAATTCATATAGCAAATACCCAGATTTTGATTTATTATACTATACTATCATCTCATTGCCAACGTGTCTGTGTTAAATTGTCACGGTCAACACGTTGTTACTGTGCAGTCATTGCTGACCAATCATGCTACAGTCAGCCACCAAAACCTAGAATCAACCTCATCCTTTTGAAGGTCACCTAGTACCGATATAATTCAGAGGTGAATGTTCAATATCATCAAGTTAGCTTTCACTTCTAGCCGCAATAACTTTGCTATAATTCCAAATGATTCTATCAAGGATATCCCTTTACAAAGAAAAAACCCCGGGCGCATAGAGGGGCTCATCACCCCGCATACCCTAGTGAGAAATACCCCTATCCTAGGCCAAAAGCTCACTGAATCAGCTCGGTTAGACTCCTAGCATAGAACCACTTTTCGAAATGTTCACTGACCATTACTTAACTCTTACCTCAGTGTAGGATTTTACGAGTAAACGAATTACCCCAAAACGTTGCAGGATGCTGACTATGATCAGCAATTCAAACTCAAAAGCTGATTTTAGAAATCAATCTCTTCAATGTTGAACATTCTATGAATAGGTAAGGCTGCCGAGGCAATGCTACACTGCCATGCGATTACATCCGGCACATCCCACTCTTGTACAACGCGTGCTGTGCAATTTAATATCTAAACCATGAGAATAATATATTTTGAGACTATCAAATATGCACCCATACAGTCTCCTGGTTCCACGCTAAGAATTTAAATCGACGTCCGTATTGATATTGTAACCATAGTGTATTTATCATCTAAAAGGGGTGTTAGCTTAATCAACAGAGAGCACCGCCGCTGACATATTCTTCATCCCACCACTATTTTCGTATGAGCACCAAGGCTTGAAGAAGATCATTTTTGGACCCCAATCACAAAATCCCAGCGCCATGTTCCCCACCACACTTCTGGACAACGCTAAAAGCCAAAAAGAAAGTAAAAAAGCCTTAGCCGTAGCGTGGCACTGCACAAAGATATATTGCAATAATCTTTTCAAGCTTGAATGTGTGCAGATCCGACCAATGATATCTCATCCCACTGTGATGACTTCCACGTTTTTCGGTATATGTTTCTGTCAAGGTTAGAATCCTCCGGTAAAGCAACAATTCGCAATTTCCAGGAATACGGTCGAGAAATTGACATTAATCGATTGCGCTTAACTTTTATTTGTCTAATCCACACGCCCAGACTTTTATATTATACTAGCGTAGGCTTCAACGTTTCTTCATGCACCACCTGGTGCACCAACCAAATTCGTCTCTATGGTGCGAACTTTCGTCCCGCTGCCCATCCGGAAAATTGCTTAAAACGGTTTGGCTCCCGAAGCTACATTGCTCGCTCTATCTGATCCGTCCCGCACTTCATGTTATTGTGCCTGCTTTGCGCGAAGGAACGATTAAGTTTTAATGGGTACTCTAATGAATTATTATCGGAGGTACCTGTGTTTCCGGCACTTATGTGACTTGATATCACAATCGGTTCATCACGTTCAAAAGTTGGCAGTCAGCGGCTAATATCTATTTCACCGCCGTCGATTGTGCGCTTGCTATCACGGCTCGGCTTAAGAATGCGATATGGTAATTTTAATTGTTCTGCCTGATGCGAAGCCTCAATATCAGATCCCTACCTTCTCGTGTATATCATATTAGTTCAGTAAAAGGAGTCTTTGGGTAGTTGCCACGCGATATACACTTGACTTTCTTCCTCTTGTGAGATTTGGTTTTGGTCACATTCATAGTCACAGTATCAATACGTATCGACAAAATGCTTCAGGAACTTTTCGAGCTGGTTCGCTCTCAAGCAAGTGCTTGGAGGATAACCTCTGAGGTGGTGTTTGATACCTGTGTAATTTTGATCATTCTGAATAGACTATATGTCACAACATCTATCTACCGCAATCGTCCCGTGAGTAGACCTTTATCCTCTTATACTATCGAGTAGTTGCTGATTTTGACAGCTTAATATCCTCATTTCCGGACCTAAGTTGCGTTGGGGAAAGTGGTTGAGCAGCATCAAATATGTCTTGAATGCTCCAGACATTATCCAGAAAGCTTATAATCAGGTACTTTACATCATGCCTTGATGGCAAGTTCTTTTTGAAAGCAAAACTAATTGATATTTAGGCAAAGGGGGAACCATTTGCTATTCCTGCTCTTGATGAGTACCAAGTTTTTGTCTCGTCAGAGGAGCACATTGCGGAAGTGAACGAAAGTTCTCAAGATCATTTATCCTTGCATGATGCTATGGAAGATGTAAGTTTATCTATTTCTGTTGAGCATAAACCTGAAGTAAAATAAGCTTTTAACTAACAATCTGGACGCAGAGAGTAAAAGCAAAATATACCTTCTATGGATTTGAGCAAGGAACTGTTGACCCTCATGATACTGTCCCAGGAAGAGTTCTCAAGTTTCTGCTGAGAACAAATCAACCCGCATTGAGACCTAAGATTCAACAGAAGATTGAGGAAGCTTTCTCCCAGGTTTTATCCAAAGGAAAGGTTATTAATGGTGAGGAATTTTAATGCTATACTTGTTCATGATTAGAATTTTACTGACACGGGAGTAGATTGGACTTCAGTTTCTGTCTTAGGTCTATCGGAAGCGGTAGGCTTAAGAATCAATTGTCAAGTGCTTGTTGGAGATGAATTAGGTACATCCATTAAAAGCAGTCTTCTACTTGGGTTTTGGTTTCGCTAACATGTTACAAGCAAATGATCAAAATTACGTGGACGCCGTGTTAAGATATTCCAACGATGTAATTTTGTCAATGGAATTCTGTCGTTATATGCCTGCTTTTATTATCCCGTGAGTATCCCGATTCTTCCACATCGAGAATTTTTCAATTCTGATCTCTATTAGATACGCCTGCCCTGCAATCATGGCTTGGAGTGGTGCAATGGAGAAGTTAGCTACGCATATTAGACCATTGGTTATTCAACGTATAAGAGATATTGAGGAGAAGAAGACTTTGCCTGTAAGTCATAGTGAAAAGTATCCAGATAACAAATGCTAATTGTCTCTTAGTCTGACTGTATAACTTGGGTTATCGTAAGGATCTCAATTCTCACATCCTTTGAGTGAACATCATTAAATTCCTATAGGAATCATCCACAACCCCCAAACAACGCACCGTAGAACGCATAGTCCAACAAATGATCGCACTAACCTTCGCCTCCGCCCATCAACTCCCCCTAGTCCTAACCTTCACAATCTACAACCTCTGTCTACACCCCTCATACATCGAACCCCTCACCGAAGAAATCCGCACCATGCTTTCCTTTCCCGAAGAAAAACAATACAAAAACATGCCCTTGATGGAAAGTTTTCTTCGCGAATCAGCTCGTATGAATCCCCTCGATGCTCTTTCCATTCAACGCAAAGTCATGAAACCATTTACATTTTCCTCGGGTCAAATTATCCCAACGGGTAATATTATCGCAGTGCCTCAAGATGCATTGATGAAATCTCCGAGATATTATAATGATCCTGAGACTTTTGATGGGTTTAGATTTGTGCTTCCGGAGGATAGGGGGAGAGAGGAACCGAGGATGAAGTATACGGATGTTAGTAGTGGGTTTCCGTTTTGGGGAGCTAGTAGGAAGGCTTGGTGAGTATATATTATATATCTTTTCTTCCAAAATGTGATGTCAATGCTAATTTTTTCCTTTAGTCCCGGCCGCTGGTACGTCAGCGCATCGTTGAAGCAAATTCTTGCGCATTTGTTGATGAACTATGAATTTAAATTGGCGGATGATAATAAGAATCTTACGATGGGCTATACGACAATGGTTATCCCACGACATGGAACGAGGATTTTACTGAGGAAGCTTGAGAAGAGTGGATAGGGGACGATGTCAAGATGGAATATATCAATCACACGGCTAAATCTTGCGATATCTGACAGCTTTACTTCTTTTGTATTTATAAGGTAATTAGTAGATAATTTTAACTTAAATTATAATCACAAATTAATTTCAGTTAACGAAATCTTGAGTATGCGGTAGTCTAGGTGGTGCAAAGTCATGATTCTAAGATGGATTCACCGCAACGAAATTGTAAAAGAATGAAGACGGAAAATATGAACTCACCAGACTGAACTACAGAATTATTTGACACAGACCACAGACAGATGGTGGGGAAGTGTCATTTCCCTTGTACATCTCTGTAGGTAGAATAAGTTGCTTTGCGAAAGATTCAATGCTCCGGGGAAGATGCTCTGACAAATTAGTTTTTTGCTGTTGAGACAATTAGTAACACTTATTAATACATATCCAACGGTGCAACGAAATGATACCAAAAGGTGAAAATTAGAATATTGTGATGGTAAACTGTCTGTTCTCTTCTCTTCTATTTCCACGAATTGATGTATTTTGCTACGAAATGCTGAAGTATTTCATCGACGATATATCCTGTACCCTGGAGGAGCGGGATATGTTAATGCTAATATTTATTATCCAGCGCGGGGAAGTTAGGACAAAATAATTAGGATTTTATAATCTCCTTCCTTAATATTTTTATGAAAGGTTTCTTGAAGAATATTGATATATTAAGAAGACTAGATAAAAAATTGGAATCTCATGTAAATCTGACCAAATTGGTAATAATTAGTCGGAGATATTTTGCATGGCACATCTTCCCTATAAAAGCTGTCTATGATATATATTACTCTAACCATATAGTTGTTGAAAGGGCATATTCACCCTGCGTTAGGAACCTAAAGGACATATACAAAAGTAAATCCCGAGTCAATGTAAGATCATGGATATATTTGAAGAATAACAAGGCATTTTGTATACATATGCTCTGTAGTTTAGTCCAGCGATGGTGATATGATAATAGCAACTTCCTTTTATGATAACAACGCATGTCAAAACTACATTGATAGCGTTGGTTCGTTTATAGGTCGACATCAATTAACAACATCCAGGGCCGCGGTACAGTCATTTCGATTTAACATGTGGAGGAAAAATCCACAAACTCCTCAAGCTCAGCTCGGCGTTAAAATCTATGTCCTTTCATTATCATACTGTACCGATGACTCCTCGTGGTAGCGGAGATATAAGGAGAAAAGCTACTGAGCTTTTATATCGAGGATTGTATTTGTCGAGTTAATAAAGCGGGTCGTTAAATGGGGAATTTGAGTATCTAGGAGAACACGGGTCGATGGAGTGATTAGAGTGTGTATGAATAGGATGTGAGTACTCGTACATAAGAACAATAGTAAACTGAAACATATTCCTCATCTCTTACTATCCTTCGATCAAGTATTTCCCGAATGGCTTGCGGAGATAGAGTACTCCTTGGAAACTTCCTGAAATGGTCAGAAAAGGCTGAAAGCTCTAGTGCTGATAACCTTTGAGAAGTAACTACGTTGATTAATCACATTGACAATGGTTAGAGGACATAAATAATGATATTTTAAAAGCTCCGCGCCAGTAATATCTACAACTATGGGAATCAAAGAGATGATTATTCGTTGAATGCATCTATTATTCTAGCGATTTAATAACCGAGATAATTTCCATAAAGCGTCTTCTAAAGAAACTTTTGGCGCGGTTGTCCTTGTGAGAGTATGTTCCGAGTTTTTTGTGCTTGTTACACTCAATTTCATAACGTGTGCCCAAAATAATCCTCAAATATTATAATAAAATCATTTCAATCAAGAAAATTAAAAATTCAATTCACGATAATTTCATCAAATTATATTCAATCTGATAAAATTTATATAAAATGATAACGAATAAAGTATTTTTTATTTTAATTAAATTTCCATGAATTCTAAATTGTTATTGTAAAGATTCAATTTTGAAAAAAATAACTTTGAATATATTTTCATTAGGTACAAAAAATCATGTTTTTTTCGGATACATGTTATGAAATCGGGTGTATTGCAAAAGGCTGTTATTGAATGATTGTTATATACTTCTTTGATCCGGCCTGTGTTGATATTCGGTAAAGTCACTATATATCGATATACCGGACTGGATTTTGAAAAACATTCTTTATAAAAGCAGCCCTACCAGGACAGGTGAGCTGGCTTATTTTTATTACAACTTCAGGGGCAAGCCGTGAGATGGTTTCTGCATGATGAGAATCTACACCACTCACAGCAGCAGACAATTTCGTGTTTTTGACCAAGAATAAACGTAGCAGAAATTGCCCAGTGACAGTCAAAGACCAGGTTATTAGTGGCAACAAAAATGTATCATCTCATATGAGATTTCTGCACAACATAAAACCACTCTATCAGCGAGGATGGCGATCAGAGATGGCTCTTATTCCACAAACTTTATAACAAGTGTGCTGAGGCTCTAATTTTTAAACTCTCGGAAATATAAACCACATTTCACGGGTGATAGTACAACACAGGTTTCTAAAGGAAAGACAGCTCGGAAGTAAACGCAAAATCTAGAGTATGTGGAGTAATTATCGTACTGGTTACCACAACAGGAAATACTAATGAGACTCAAAATGACAGCAAGAACATTAAATAGGAAACGTGAAGTATAATAGCAACAACTCAGTAATTTCAACTCAGTTCAAATCATGGTATCACCAGAACTGTATAATCTAAAACCTAGTCATAATAACCATAGACGTAAACGTTTTTGTCTAACAAGCCATAGGTCTTCCATGAACGATGGTTGTCTTGCGTCCTGCACGGAAAACTACAATTAATGCAAGATTACGAGTCTTTTATAGACTTTGGCCCGCATATCTTGATAATATAACACAAAATCCTTTTCGGCAACAATGAGGGTAATATTCTCCGCGCTTACTTCTTACTATATCACAGTATCCTCCACGTGCACCCTATTTACACTTGCAGTCACTTATAGGGCTTCTCACTCCCGAAGATAATTCGCCGCACAGAGGATGTCGTTTTGTATCCCATTACTACTCCCCTGACATCCTCTTCGCTTGTCCTTCGACCTTCCAGATGAGCTATCTTCACTTGTGGTTGAAAAGAACCACAGCATTCCACCCTTTAAACCACCCATCTTTCTTCTTCATATTGAAAATATTTCGTATAGGAAGAGAAAAAAAGGTGATGGGTAAATTGATGACAACAACTGAATTTTCGAGACATTAAAACACAACGACAATAAACATCCCATAACTTTCATTTCAGGGAACAACAATAACTGCTCAATTCACCCCGAGCCTCAAAATCGAACAAGGATTTAATTCTTTCGCCCTTAACTAGAGTAATCTATTACTGTATTTACATACTATCCTCATACACCAAAGCAGTGACAACAACAGCGCGTTCTTACGTGAAGAGTCCAAGTTCTTTTAAAGGTTGTTATGGAACTGAAAATTGATGGAAGTATTGCTCTTTATATACTTTAAAAGTGATAAGCTGTGATATCAGATGAGAAAACGCCTGCTTGATGGATGGATTCAGGTGCTAACCTAATGTTTGCTTCTTTTCCTACTTCCCTATTCTCAGTCGTTGAGACGACGCTATAAAATCTCTTCCTTTTTCTCTGTTTCTTTTATCTACATACTAATGCGAATAATAGGGTTACTTTACAACATTCCGCTCTATGATTGCACGGTTTACCATTTAAAACTTTTAAAATACATCTCCGGACCTCATACTAATGACTAGACATTTCCAACTTATCAAGACGAGGAAATGATAGCACGGTGAAAGAAATGATAATTATGGTGGGCATTTCGAGGTGACAACACCTAGGGTGACGAGTGGTAATGAAAACAGTAGGACTCTCTCTTCAATCTGAGGCAAAAATTTACTCATCTATTTTTCCGCTGGCCTGATTCCACATTTGTTCATGTACACTTTAAACGAAGCGATGCAAATACTGACATTGTCCTGGAAAGACTAAGTTTAGATTTCTAAAACGCTATGGAGTGAGAAGTGATAAAGCAGTGTTGTTTATGTACCCAATCTGAAAATAAATATAGGGACCCGAGGCCGAGAAACCGGAAAGCAGAAGCGGAAAGCACTTGCTTAGAAATGCCCCAATCTTATCTTATCTCACTATGATATCTCAGATATAAAGGCTTAACACTTGCAACCAAGGCCTAATGAAAAAAGAGGGTTACTCTGTGAGCTGGCTGAATTCATGTTACTAGTTGAAGTCATCAGATCTACGCTACCATACCATAAACATATCATACCAATAGTACAAGCGATTCACTCCCACCTGATGACCATATTTTATCACATCAAACGGTATTAATACCGCCACACTCCCTAAAAGTCCTGCCGCTGTTCCCTCCCTTTTATCTACATCCAAAAAGCGATACTAAACCAAAACCGGCGTTGACGATAATGCACAGCGAAATACTCTATTTCCTGCACACTGTGGTTCACAGATTACGAAAATTGTAAAACTAAACTTGAGCTATTTCCAATCTTGTAGGTATTTGAGGATGGACAGATATTGAGGGAATCGAGCCATAGTGATAGGGACAAGGAGATGGCGTTGACAATAGCAGTGCCAAGGTAATAAGAATAACAAAATATGGCCATTCATTCAAAAGCAAGTTGATAGTAATAGAACAAATCTCATTTCTGACACTTCCCTATTCCTAATTTCGAATACCTCACTAGCCTCAAGAAACTCCCCAAGTTGTACCCCAAAAACAAATCCGACTGCCAAGACGAAAATCCACCAACTGCTCCCTGGCCTCTTTTCAGACACTCGACGGCAAGTCCATAATCAAGTTCAGAATACCCATACCAAAAAGAGTTATTTATGTCCATCTATCAAGTTCTCAACAAGTAGATGGATGAAAAACTGCGATGCGATGCAGGTATCTATTATTGCTTCAAGCAGGAACTATCTACACTTTAGGTTCTTTGCCTTGCTGTTATAAAAGAGACTTCTTTCTTCTTCCTCGTCTCTAAAAAACTAAAGATGGCCTCTCAACACGACAAGGAGTAAAGTATTGAGTTATTACTCCATGCTTGAATAGTATGCAGCACTAACTTTAGTAAGGAATGAATCCAATACCATAGCATATCAATTCCCCAAAGTTCGGGAAAAAACTTGCGAGAGGAATAAATGAGAAGCAACAAAAACAATATTTCCGATAATCATACAGAAAGGAAAGGAAACGATTACAATGGCAGTGACAAAATCTCATCCATCAACCTCGAAACTCATAATCTTGAATACATACGGACCTCGGGTTTCTATTGAAGTTCAATAAGCCTAGTTCCATCCAGCTAATCTAAAAAGCAATAGAATTGTTACAGCAACGTGGTGTCTTAATTGGCTGTAATTGGAAATCCCATGGAGTTGGAGATACTAGGTAATGTTAGTGAAGGTATTTATATACCTCTTCGAATAGAGATCGAGGCGGGAGAAACTTGCTTGAATCCATTAACCCCTATCCCTCTCTTCTCCATTTCTTTTTCCACTTTCCCGCCTTTACTCCATTCCTCTATTCGTTTTCCGGCTGCTCATTTATTTCGCGATTCTCGGTTCCCAACCCACACTTCCAACTTCCAGTAAATTCCTCTACATCCTCAAAAATATTCACCCCATTCTCCTTCCCGTTATTCCTTCCATTTCATTGCTTTATAAATATACGAGTATACGAGTACTGGAATTCTTAACCACAACATTTCGAGAGGACAGGACTGGTGCCCATGCCTGCTCCATATTATACAAGCATAGAAATAGAATCTTGTGATTGTTTGAGGTTGAAATGATGAAGGGATGGATGGGGGGTGGAGATGATGGTTCTGAAATAAATCAAGTGGTGTGATGATGGAACAGATGTTGATATATCGTTGACAGTGATATCTATTGTCGCTAATATATAGAGGAAGCTTTGTAATGAAAATAAAAATGATGATGATGATGACAATGATAACAACAACGATATCATCATCCATTACTTCTATCTCTCTTCCATCACATACCCAACCCAAACTCCACTCAACAGTCTATTAATCCTCTCATATCCATATCCGTTCCCATCCCACTACAAACCAACCAACCACCTGGTCGATCAAGAACGAAGACTTAAAACCATGTTGTTGATTGAATACTAAGTGCGAAGTAATATTATATCCAAAGATAGATTTAGATATGGTGGATACATATTTTGTAGGATATATAGTGAATATATATGTTGTGGATAGGCGGGGATCTAAAGGATACGAGATGATATTGATGAGAAAAGCGAGGAGGCTAAGGATAAGTGGCGAAGGGTATGTGATAGAATATAGAGTTACAATAGACTCTAACTAAAACATAATTGATAGATATTCAGGATTAGATATAGAGAATATAAAAATAAAAAAAGAAGCTAGCACTGGTCAGCTATTAAACCCTAACTTCTCTTCTATCCGAGATCTACTCAAACAATATCCACCCCGGCACACAAAAGGGGGCTTCCAGAGAACTTCTTATTTTATAAACTATAAACGTCTCCCCTCGTTCAACTTGATGTATTCAAACGAAGATATTATCCAATCATCTGAATAATGATTATTTATCCACATTCAAGTGTATCATACCTCGAAGTATTGAAGTTGTGAAGAAAAATAAAGGGAGATAAAAGAAAAATAGATACAGAACGGATGATGAATGATGAGAAGGATCTCTTCAACAGAAATACAGTATATATTTGATATTTGTAAATAGAAACAACATGACAGAAAAGATAGCAATGATAGTGATAGTGGTGATGAAATATCGTCAGTCAAACTACTCACATAACTCTCACACAGCCTCATTAGCACCTTTCTCATAGCCCCATCCCATCGTAATTCATCTCATTCACACACTCCACCATCCTCCCACTCTACTCCAAATAATCAATCCACATCCTCAATCACATCCTCAATCACATCCTCAATCCCACCACCACCACACCTAGGAGCTGGAATTTTCTTTTTTTGCAGAAACCAACATTATCATCACACTCCCCTTCTATGCTAGAAACTCCGCATATAAAAATAATCCCGAATACTAGCTTTACTGATTCCAGACGCAAACAAAAATAAAAGGAAGGAAAAGAAAAGTAAAGCAATGTGGTGCAGTATTAGCTAGCATTGGTGACGTCGTTGTGAAGACAAAAGACGATAGTTATTGTAATATCAATAATAAGTCTTCCCCTCATCATATAAGATAAGAAACAAGCACAAGAACAATCACAACAGCTTTCTCCCCTCTTCCCCCCTCTACCATTCGTTCTCCCATTAAAGCAAATCCCCAGAAAAGCCCCTCATACTCCTTCCATTTCCCCTTTACTCCCCTTTACTCCCGCTCACTCCTCCCCCATTAGCAAAAATCCACAAACCGCAAACCACTCACTTACCCATCTCCACCCTAATCATCTTCATCCTCATCCTCATCCTCATCCTCATCCTCTTTCCCCATCCCCAACCCCCTCACCCTCTCTTCCCATTTCCTACCGCAGCCACACAAAATGAAATAAAAAGAAACAAAATATACTCTCCCTCTAACCTCTATCTAGCCTCTACCTCCCTCCCCTATCATAAACCCCAACTGCCAACTCATCCCTCATCCCTCATTCCCCAGAAATAAACAAACACATTACACACACAAAAAACATGACGTTGACGATATTGATAACATAGATATAGATAAAGCACTTGCCCAATATCCAACATCCAATCTCCACCTATACAATATCCCATTCTCCGCACCGTACTGTACAATACAATACAATAAATACACTGAACTTCCAACACTTTTCTCCCTCTTCTTCTCTTCCTCCCCTGGCATCCTGCACCCAGCTATCTACCCATTCCATTTCAAACACCCGTTGGAGAAAAGGAAGAAGAAAACCAATATTCCCCTTCATCACGCATCCATCTACACAATATCATATCATACTGCAACCACAAACAATACACACCGCACTATTAAACCTCACAAAAAATCCATCACTCCCATCACCCACATAGCCAAAAAGTTCACAATAAATAAAATCGTAACCCCCATTTACTAAACCAGACCAACAGATATCACATCACAAAACCCACTGTAAAAATTTCATGTATTATATATTCTGCTCCTAATTTTTCTATAGGTATCATGCCCCTATACCCTTCCCCTCCCCTTCGCCCCCTCCACCATCGCCACACACCCAATCCACCATGATTATTCATAACATAAGTACAGAGAAGAGAAGTGAAAGAAACAATGGAGAAAAGAACTGGAAAAATTTCTGTATGCAACGCCAAATGTATACCTCAAAGTCATCCTCTCTCGAGAATGTTCGCGTATATTCCGAATGCTAAATGCCGTATGTAAAGCACGAAGAAGTAAGAAATGAACGCCAACCATATGCATGTATACCACCCAGTGGAATCCTATCACATATCCCATCAATGCCTTTCAAAGGTTCATCCTACCATGGTCTTACACTGGTGAACTCATAAGTTCTTTCTTCTCTCTCTACCGAAACTCTCTTACGTTCATCACCCTCCACCTGCTCTACTCCATCTTTAATTCGGACTGGACAAAGTCTGACTACTCTCAGATTTCTCATCCATAGCCCAATCCCTATCCCTATCCCTTTCTCTTTCTCTCTCCCTCTCTCTCTCCCTCTCTCGTTCCCTCTCCCTCTCCCTCTCCCTCTCCCTATCTCTCTTATGAGCATTCCCGTTTCCATTCTTAATCTTCTTCCTCTCTCTCTCCCTATCCTCATCTGGTGGTATTGAACCCGGTTTCAGTACTGGTGTTGAACTACCACTACTAGGTCTTCCTAATAATAACTTCTTCTTCTTCTTCTCACTCAACCCGGCAATACCAAGTCCATCCTTTGCTTTCTTAACTACCCCTGCCCCTGCTTTATTAACTAACATTTTCTTCTTCGGTTCAACACTTGCTTTTCTTCCATATTCACCATCTCGATCATCATCTCCTGAATCATTATCATCATCACTATCCGGTCTTTTGTGTTCAAAACTTAAGTTTGAAGAGGAAATTTGTGAAGATGTTTTTGCCATTTTCGGAGCTTTCAGTTTATTCTTCAGAATAATTCCACCCGAGCTACCTGGTTTCTTCAAGAACTTCTTCTTCTTTTGTGGAGAATCGGATTCGAAATCTGGATCATCGGCTGCTTCGCGTTTATTTGGACTACTTCTCTTTCCTCCATTGGGTTGTGGTGTTGCTTGTCGACTTATTGGTGGTGTACCATTCTGACTATTGTTTCCTGTACCTAAACCATTTCCATTAATCTTAAAAGCAGCTGCTCGTGCAGAATCTCTTCCACCACCACCAATACATTTCACCATATGATTATTCATTCGTTTAATCGGTAAGAACGTATTGCAATTGTGACATTTGGCGTGAGGGAAAGAAATTGGTTTCGCAGGTCCATCATCTTCACCATCCAAACTATTTGGTGTTCCTTCTTTCTGTTGTTGTAGTAAAGGATTGATCATATCCTTCTTTTTCTTTCCTCTACCCGGTCCTTCTGGCACATACGTCTGACCATAAACATCATGCCATGGTTTCTCAATGAAAGGTTTCTTCTTGCAAAATTCCTTTCCTGGTGGAGGTTTCTTGGCACCAACTCCATCTGTAGGTTGTAAAAGTCGAGGTAAACCACACTTTGCGCAAATAATCTCATCGACTAACTCTAAAGGATTGCCTTTTAAGAAAACTTCTTTATTTTCCCATTTCGCAGCATCGGTTTCTATAATTTGGTTTGTGTTCCATGAATTCGTAGCATCGTCTGATGAATCAGGGTTGGTTTCCGCGACTTTTTGCTCAATAACAATAGCAGCCGAACATGCTTTTGCAATTTTCTCTTCGCGATGAGTTTGTAATACAATATCATGAATGATATTATAAAAGATATCATCAAGTACAGCATTTGCCTATAGAGGAGGTTAGTAATTGGTAAGTAAGTCAGTAAGGCGACAAGATTTGAAAGAAAAAGCAAGGTAAATAAATTCAAGGGTAAAGAAAAGAAGAATTACCAATTTCCCCATGGTATCTATTTGTTCATCTTGACCAGCAATTATTATACCAGAATGTGGAAACTGTTCGTCGGCAGACATTTTGAAGTTGTATTTGCCTGTTGTGGATTGATTTCCTTGAAATAAATTTGAGTTCTTAGAATCCCCAAGGCTGACGGAATTGTTTAATTTGGGTAACCTTTACTCCGCAGAATGGTTTGGTGGAAAGCAGGTAAGTAGGAGTGGTAGTAGTAGGTAATGACTGGAAGATCCCTCCCACCTCTCTCAAGAAATGATAAAAAGTATTTGAAATAAATAAGAGATCATTTTATTAATTTATCGATAACGTATTGAACTCGAGTCGAGGGACAAGAGTATAGAAAGGAAATACAGACAAGTTGTCGTTGGCGTTGTCGTTGTGCTGTCGCTGTCGTTGTTCTGAATACCTTCACTTTTGCTCCTACAATAGAAAATTGATTGATATCAAGGTTATTATCTTGCCTTGAACCTCACCTGGAACTTCATTTCAGGAAACTTGACGAGGTACTTTGAAGTTTCACACCAAAGCTCCATTAGCCATTAGTGCTTCTAAATTATTGCCAGTCAATTTTAGCTTGATGAAGTTAGTCAAGGCGGTGAAAATTAAAATGGCTTACTTATACTGTTGTGGCTTGTGTTTGTGTCTGAGTGAGTGAGTATCTGCAAGTTTGGAGTGAAGGGAAGGGATGGGGAGAGAGGAAAGATAAAAATGGATAACTGTGGCTGGTGAATGATAGATCTCCTTGAACCTTGATATCCGTAATTCCTCATTCCTCATTCCTATGAATGATATTGTTGAGAGATAGCATACATATATCATACGAATGTATTTGGTATGTAGGAAGTCTAAATGACAGATCTCTTTTCTTATTTATAACCTCCTTCTCATACACGTTGACTTCCCAATATACCACTTCATTCATTTGTCTATCCACAATCCTCTTCTTCCAACCAAGCTTTTGTATCTGTCCCTCCTTAAACATCTTCCAAAGCTGCTAGGTATTTGAACAATGACTACACCAGACATCATGTCAAACAATACCCCTCCACCACCAAGAGCTCAACAATCAACCATTCGATCGTTTTTCCAACCAAAGCAACCTACATACACTCCACCACCAGGGACATCACCAATCACAACTTCAAATAACAATGAGAATGGAAATCCAAATGCAAGACAAGAGATACATCCACCTCAACCTGCATCAGGTCCACCAAATTCTACCAGTATCTCTCCACCAAAATCGGTAACTACCGCTACCCCCGACTCTATAGAATCTTCAAAAAAGCTTCCTCAAGGTTATAAAATCGAAATCCCACAAGATCATCATATACAACCTCTACGTCGCATCAACGCTTTACTCCTTCCAATCGCATACCCCGATGCATTCTACCATGCTATTACATCTCCTCCTCCTGCGTCAATACCAATACCTCTCTCTTTCTCAAGAGTAGTTACATACACATCATCAGAACCCAACTCTGAGCCAAAAGTAGTTGGTTCTATAATCTGTCGAATCGATCCTTCTCCTCCATCCTCTCCGAATGCTCAGCCGCCGGCAGATACATATAGTATATATCTACAATCTCTCACTCTACTCTCACCCTACCGTAGCCTCGGTCTCGCAACCGCTCTCCTAAATTCCGTTATTGAATCCGCTACATCTACTCGAATACCTCTCGGAGTTAAAATAGAAGGATTATACGCACACGTATGGGTTGAGAATCAAGAAGCATTAGAATGGTATAACAAACGAGGATTCGAAAAGGGTGAATTGATTGAGGGATATTATAGGAGATTGCGACCACAGGAAGCATGGGTACTCCGACGCAGATTTTCGGTTCAAGATCATATTTCTAGACAAACACAAGCACAAGCAAATCTTAGCCCAACACTAAATTTAATCGGAAGCGTGAGTGCGAAATCAACACCTCCTCCTCCAACAGCAACAGGGACAACAAGACCACCCCCATCCAAACATGCAGCATCATTTCAAGATCGCAGACCAGATAGAGAATGGAATGATTTGCCTGAAGAGGTATTTTTAAGACCTAGAGGACAGGGAGAAGATCAAAGTAAAGAGAGTTCGAGGAGTAGTAGTCGAAGTGGGGGTGAGGGAAAGAGTGGGAAGAAGAAGAGAAGTTATCCTGCTGCTGCTTTTGGGGATGTTTAGGTGATTTGGGGTGGGCATGTCTTTGGATTGATGATCTGAGAGTTGGGGGGTTGAGAGAAAGTAATAGATTAAGCATGCGAGCGAAGAAGAGAGAAAAATTTGATATCTGGGAGTTTTGGGAGCCTCGAACTAGATAATAGATGGACAGGAATAGAGAGCAAATGGAAATAAAATAGAAAACCAACAGAAGAGAACAGGAAACAACAGAACCAAACTTGATCTCGGGAAACGCAGAGTCGACAACACAAGGAAATCAGGAGTTGGGATCAGGAAACACGCAATTAGAGTATTATTCCACAGATCAGATATTTGGTTGAGTAGAACCGGATATATACTCGAGTTTACATTACATAGATGGATGGATATATGTAGGATAGATATTCCAAATTCGAACATTCTGATCGATAAACTTTTAAACTTTTGGGTATTTGGATATTTGAATTGTTGTATGGATTGGTGGATGTATGAATATATATATGAAGTGAAGTGAAGTAAAGTAAAATGAGGAAGTTTCCGTTTGGGGATTTCTTATTCAATACTGTGTATACTATGAATGCTATTCTACGAAATATGTATATATTACTTAAAGCTCAAAGCTCAAAGCTCACAGATCAGAGATCAGAGATCAGAGTTATTATATGCAAGTCTTACTATACATATATTTACTCTACTTATATTTAAGTTATCGTATTGTATCATATCTAAGCATTTCTTTCTTTCATTCTCTCATTCTTTCGTTCTTTCCTTCCTTTCATCTTTTCACTGCAAAAACAGCTCTCATTCTATTCACCAAGTCTCAGTACAGTATCTATAACATCCCTAATTATCTCATTCCCATTCCCATTCCCATTCCTATTGCCGTTTCCACCCCACCTCCGCACCCTCGTTAGGTACTCTCACATATCTTTCTTTCCTTCTGCTTTTTTCAATTCCATCTCTCGCTTTCGACTTGGGCGAACGAAGAGTGATCTTCATCTCATCATTTTTTTTTTCTTTTATCTTTTTATCTTTCTTTTCAATTGATCCATTGAGATTGATCTGAGCGTTTGAATCTCTTTGACTGACCTTTGATTTTCTTCTTGTTTCATCTCCTGCTTCCTTCTCCATTTCGAGTCGCCTTCTCTTCTTTTTTTCGTACCCTTTAAACTCTTCTTCTCTTCCTTGTTCTCCTTTTCTTCACCCTCGATACTTTTCCCCTGGTCCTTTCCTTCCTCCTTCTTCCCCTCTTCATCCAAACTCCCGTCCTCAGTATACCTCCACATAAGCCCCAGCTCTCCCCTAACAACCGCCGTTCCCCATAAACTTCCCACCACGCCAGGAACCAAATACAACAATGCCGGTTGTGCATGATTGAATATCCTCATGACAATTAATGTTGTGATCATCCCTGTGATGTATCCTACTAATGCAGCTTTGAAATATGGTTTGGAGAAACGGGTTCCTTCAATTCCTGTTCCGCGATTTGAGGAAGAAGAAGAGGAGGAAGATGGTGAAAAAGATGAAGTCCAGAAACGTTCACCCCAGAGACCGGTTGAGGGTTTGTAGGTAGTCTTTTGGATTGATGAGGGTCCTAACAGGGATTCGTTGATGCTTTTGCTATTTGAGGTTGTGTTTGACTTTGAGTTGGTGGTTGGGATAAATGGAGAAGACTTTTGTAAATACAAATAATGTAAATATAAATCAAATCTCAAGGCCAATGCAACAAGTATACCTGGTAAAACAATATCACCTAATCCCAACATACTACCTCCTCCATTTTTATTGAGTGGAAACACAAGTTTGATAGGAACATCTAAAGATGTCGCTACGGTTACCATGAGAGGTGTATAAAACACCATAGTGATATCGTAAAAGAAGAGACCCATAAGGACCAAAGTACCAGTGAAGAATGTAGTCGGAGACAAAAGTTGAAGAGATCCATAACAGAAGGCGAAACCCATTATATTTGTAAGATACCATGGGGCATTTAGGAGATTGTAAGCGGTGATTGTGGTGATACCTATTCCGAGACCTAGGACCGATGTAAATTTGATCGAAGTTTTGTAATGAGGAAGTAAAGTTTTGATGTGAAGATTAAGGGAATAAGTTGTTTTTAACAACCCACGAATGTTCCACAATGCACTCGTAATACGTTCAGAAAAACGAATAGTTGAAAGTCGTCCAGGTAAAGGATTCGTAACACCAGCCACATTAATCATCTTCCCCTCCCCATCTTCAATAACTTGACATCTCAAATCCTGATCAAAATGAAAAATACCCTTCCCTCTCGTCCACACACTAGGAAAAATGAATCCGACACCCACATCTAAAGAATCCTTTGCCAATCTCCCAACTCCAAAAACACCCATACCAGAAAAGTACCATCCCAATATCTTATTCAGAATAGTTGGATCATCCAACCATTTAATAACAAAATACAAAGTCCCAAGAACCACACTTGCTAAAACAGGAAACATGATAGCATCAGAAGGGGTAAGACCTTCCATTGGAGCTCTAGATTCTTCTTCATCTTCTGGATCCGAGTTTCCGAGACGATGAGAAGATGAGGCAGTGGATTTGGGAATTGGAGAAGCCGAAGGAGGTCGTTGGAGTGCTGCGTGTGATCCAATGTAGATTGGAAAGAGAGCTGCGAGGATAATATGGATTTGTAATTTAATCATTTCTCGTTCTGTATAGATTTTGGTGCCATATTTGACTAGGAAATCTTTGAGGTTCTCCATTTGCGTGGTAGAGGTGTTTGATTTTGAGATTGAGGAAATCGTGACCGATGATGGAATGAGAGCTTGGAAGTTGAGTTGTATGGATGGAGTATGATGTCGAAAGTGGTTTCACCGTTGAAACCAGTTCATTGTATTAAAGTAGGTTCTGTTCTAAAATGCTAGTGATTTTTCACTCTCGGAGGTCAGAATTTTTGATTTCAGGTAAATAATTTGTTAAAATCGCACAAAGGGATATTACAAAAGTAGAGTTATATAGTTGTGGAAATATTATTATAAGAGTGTCTTTAAGAGACACTCCCACAGTCATGGTGGGGACGCTAGACAGGGATGTTTGGTAGGCAAGCTTTTAAATAGTCAAATGATCGACTTGACTGCACGACTCGACTGCACGACTCGACTGCGCTACTTTTATTCGATTTAAGTGTACAATACTGTAATTTACTGTTTGAAAAGTTTGAAAACTACAGTAGAACTAGGGATTTGATATTTGTAATTCGATAAAGGAAAAGTTCTATAATCTATATACTGTATACTAAAAGTCTGTTCGGATCGATTTATTAAAATGTTAAAATATTGAGTTTAATAAAAGCATTAAGTTTAATATATATTTGAGTATATTTGAAGAAATGAAATTCACATTTGAGGAAGTGATAGACGTAATCTGAAATATTGAATTTTTTCAAATATCTTTTTAATAATATTAAAAAGTTATTATTGATTATTATATATATAAAAATCTAAATATTTATTTAAATATATATTATATTTAATATTTTATTGATAAAATCAATTATTTAATTTGATATATATTAATTAAATTATTTTTTAAATTTCTTCAAAGTTATAAATGTTCAAAGTTGAAAGATTTAAAAAGTTTAAAAATGAAATATTATATAAATGAAATTTTAAATCTTTTTAAAAATGAATTAATAAAACTTTGAAACAGAAATTATTAAAATAAGATATATAATTTTTGAAAACACTTGATTATTAATTATTATAATTTAAAATTTCAAGTAATTTTTTAAAATATTAAAAATTTGATATATTAAATATTTATATATATATAATATTTTATATTTTTTTATATTTCTTTTAAAAATCTTTAAAAGAGTTTATTTGACACTATTATATATCTTGATATTTTATCTAAATATCTAAAGATCCTTTACTGAGTAGAATCTTATAAATAATAATACCGTCGAATAACTAGGTTATAATTATAGATGTTATCCTTTCAGAAAACAAACGGCAAGGATTTGACAAGGCGATTAAACTTTCTCAGCCTTGCAGAAAAGTAAACATTAAATTGAGCCTTCTGTAGAAATAGTTTCTGCGCCGCATCTGTAATTGATATTTGCAGTTTTCGAAGTTGGTAATTGGATATTATACATATCAACCATATACAAGATGGCAGTAAATATTGCTCTAGAAACTACTATGGTAACTACTTTCCTCTCTATCCGTCTACTCCCTCTCCCCCTCTCCCTCACTCTCCTCTTCTTCCTCCTCTCTTCCCCCTCTCCACCTTCAGCATCCAGCCAACCACCCACTAACAACCCCAGGGCACCATAACCCTCGAACTCTATACCAGCCACGCGCCCAAAACCTGCAAGAATTTCGAAACCCTCATCCGACGCGGCTACTACGATTCCATAATCTTCCACCGAATAATCCCAAACTTCATGTTACAAACTGGTGATCCGACTGGTACTGGACGCGGAGGTACATCTATCTATGGGGAAAAGTTCGAAGATGAATTAGTTGCGCCGACTGGTTTGCCGACTTTAAAACATACTGGAGCGGGAATTCTTTCTAGTATGTTTATTTCCCTTCCCTGATCCTCATATTTTTCGTCTTATCCCAATCGACTCTCTTTCTTTCCACTTTCCGCTTCTCGATTCTCCTCTTCACCTTTTTCCCCTCAAAAACCAACCCAACTAACCCTCCTTCCCCCAAAAGTGGCAAACTCAGGCCCCAACACAAACGGTTCCCAATTCTTCATAACACTAGCTCCAACCCCATGGTTAGACAATAAACATACGATATTTGGACGAGTAACGAGAGGAATGAATGTAGTGAAACGAATGGGGTTAGTGAGGACAGGGGAGGGAGATCGACCAGTGGAAGAGGTGAAGATTTTGAGGGGAGGGTTTTGGAGGAGATGAGGGGGAGATTTGTAGATGGTGGGTGATGAGGAGGGGGATGATTTATGGGGAGGGTTGAATGGATGGTCTGGAATTGAAAACCCAATGCAAGCGAGAGGCGGAAAATATGTATGGATGTGGTAATTGGTGTGAGAGCATCCAAAAATCCCATCCATCATCCATCATCCATCATCAGTTTGATCACTTCACCAGTGATCACACCCACCAATTCCATCACATACTACACTAACCATCCTCACCAACACCAACCTCACGACCCAAGAAAAACAAAAGTCTATACCTATAGCAATAAACTAGAGGATACACAGAGGACATAGATATGGATATGGATATATGTATGAATAAGCAGTAGCTACCACAAGGCAAGGCAAGGCAAGGCGTTTCGGAGTTTGCATTTAGTATTAATATCCTTAGCTAGCCACCTACCTAAGTAGTAATTAGTTGGTAGCTTTTTGATACTTTGATACTCGAGTCGAGTTAGCAAGCAATGCATTATATTATATTGTATTGTGTTGTATTTATAGTAGTACTTATATACCTATACATATAAGAGAGAGAGAGAGAGAGAGAGATAATAAATATTTAAATTTTATATTATATTATCTTATAAAAGATATCTAATCATATATATAGTATTATAGTATTATAGTATTTTAAAAGAAACTCGAAATTTATAATATAATATAATATAATATAATATAATACTCAAACAGAAGTAGAAGTAACAAGTTAATAAACTCCCAGCTCCTTAGCTATACGATGCGATGCTATGTTATTTTATACTTCCAAGCAATAATCCAGTGCTCCTAGCTTTTTCTACTTTTTTTTTTTTCCTGAGGAGAAAAGAAAAAAGAACTCCATAAACTCCATATATAAGACCTCCACTGCACAATTTAAATGTACAGCGAATCCAATCCATCCCATCAATCTACCAATCTACCATCTATATATTATATAAACACCTTTTCCTACCACACCATACCCAATCCTTCCAGCCCACATCCCCCCAGTTCTAAGAAAAAAAAAGAAACACCTCAAGCTCCTCAAGTTCCTCAAGAAACCTCCCCCGGTAACTTCCAAGCCACCAAATCCTCTCTCATATCAAATTCATCCACTTCCCTCGGTCTAGCATACGAAAATGAATGTCCGGGAATATGACCTAAACCTCTACCTGTTCTTCCTCTCTCACTATTCACCATGGAAACTTCCTCTTCTCTTTCTCCCATGTGAGAATGAGAATGAGAATGAGAACTAAGATTCGATTGTCCACTCACGCTACGTTCACCACTGGAATAGACTCCGCTTCGGGTGGATATACCACTGCGTGTTGTGTCGGTGCTTCTTTTATATCGATGTCCTTTTCCTGCATTTCCACTTCCAGTTCCGCTTCCACTTCCACTTCCGTTTATGTTCATATTCGTATTTATATTTCCACCTCTTCCACTCGAACTCGCTGCCGTAACGTTAGATCGCTGACTTGCATCACTGGGACTTCTTCTATGTCTTCTTAAATCCTCGCCGCTGCCTCCACTTGCACTTAATTCATCCTGAACAATTCTTGGTGTATCTCTCTGATAAGTATAATCCGAGGTTTGAGAATCAGATGGATCGTGTTTCCAACCGTCGCCTCCGGCAAATATATCTTCGACGCATTCATCTGCTAGCATTTCGGCTGGGGAGGCGGTCCAGGAAGCGGCGAGAGCTCGACGATACATATCGTGGAGATCTGATTTATCGGAGGATTTTTGAAGTTGAGGCATATCTTTCATATGTTAATTTTTTTGGATTCTCCCAAACCGCCAGCCGTTGGAATGGATGATGGACAGGATTCATATAGAATAATAAGAAAAAACAGAAACTCACTCCCAACATCATCACCACCATCCCCATTCTCCCCCTTCATAATCCCCGCTATCCCGCCAAAAACAGGCGCACTCTTCAACGGAGGCGCTACAAAGTTCCTCTCCCCATCTACCTGCCTCATCGCAATCCCTATCTTCGCCGTACTATTAATCTTACTCTCTTGCATCAAATATCTCCTAACGACACCATCTTCCCCCTCAACTTCACTCTCATCTACATATTCTGCCAAATTCAACGTGATATGTCCTAGAGTTACTCGTTCCCCTTTTGCGGAATTGCCCACGTTGTAATCTTGGATTACTTCGAAATGGACGAGACATTCGGAGAGATGGTTGTTTTTGTCAATGGTGAGTCGGATGGGTATTGTGCGCGTGTAGTCCCAGGATACTTTGTGTTCTTTTATAGGGGACCGGGAGGTTTGTCCGGAGTGTTCGGCTGCGGTGGTGTTGGGGAGTGTCCATTTTATGTAGGCGGTTCCGCTGGTTAGGGGGACGTTGTTGAGATCTATTAACTAGGGGGGGTTGTTAGATTGTGTGTAGAGGGAATGATGGGTATAAGAATGCGAATGTGAATGTGAATGCGAATGCGCCGGTGTAGAGGGAACTACTTACTTTGAGAACTAAATCGAACTTTGGCTAGAGATATTGTTAGTTTATTTGCATGTAAATCTGGTATGCATCCCTTAATCGATCCGTATCTGCCAGCTCCTTAATTGATTTCATTTCGGACAATTTCAATCGCATACACTCAATCCTCATCCATCCTATCAACCTTCTCATCAAAATCCCAAATCCCAAATAAATAAAACATACCTTTCTCGCCTTTGATACTAAACGGGGGATTCCAAACATATTAGCAAATATCCCTTAAACATAAGAAGCATGCAAACACCCCTAACCACCATCCCTCCATTCATCCCCAACATAAAAACCCAAACTCAAAAAAAACTCACCCAAAACATTCATACTCATCGACTCCAATTCTTCCAAGATAGGAAGTCGCACCAAATTCAAAGGTAACACACGATGTCTCCTCCTCGGAGTCTGATGATAACTATTTATCAGGATGGAATCTTTGGCCAGCATAAAACCGAGGCTGAAATGACGCCGTGGTTCTGAAGAAGCTCGGGCTTGTTGAGTAAGGTTGGTGGTGATAGTGGTAGTAGTGGTAGTAGTGGTAGTAGTGGTGGTACCACCGGTAATAGTATTATGAAGTGCCATTTTTGGTGAACCCTTTCACTTTTTGGCTTTATTACTGTGTTAGCTGTACGTAGCTAGCCACTGGCGAATAGATTCAATAGGATGGATGGGGTTTGTTTAATTAGTTGCAAGATTGTAATATAATAATGATAATTATCATGTCAATTTTGCCAAATTATTAGATTAGCAATATATATTAAAAGGAGTAGAAGGGGTTTTTATGATACACTTGAGTGTATTGTCTTGTTTCGATGTGTATATATGTATATATATATATATATATGTATGTATCGATGGATAGATGTATCATGATTCTCGATTCAAGATGAAGATGATACTTCTTCTTCTTTACATACATACTTATTTCCTTGCAAGTGGATATCATAATTTCTCTACCTGCTTGGGTACATATAAATTATACATCCTCGAATCAATTCAACCAATTCAATTCCATTCAAGTCAATCATTCAATTCGTTCAATTCCTTCCAAATTCCATGTTGCTTTTGATTGGAATTGTAAAGCTAGTTACATTCTTATCATGAAATTTGATTTCGCTCTCGTCATCTTCCGTCTTAGTACTTAGTAAATGAAGTAGCCCGTCTCCCTTGTCTGTTTTGGGAAGGAGTTAAATTTCATGCAGCTGAAAATAATTAGTAGCATAGGGAAATGTCAAACTCCGAAGTCCTTTTCCGTGTTGTTTGGTTGGAATTGTGGGTGATTCTGCACGATGCAAGATTGTAGGTACGTAGGTAGGTACGTACTTCAAGGTACTGCAAGATTGTGGAGGTTGTGGGGTTGTGGTGAGTTGTGAGGGTGGAAGTAGATATACAGAGTATTTATGGAGTAGATAGTAAGTAGATAGTAGATGGTAGATAGCAAGTACATATATAACAAGTACAGTTATTCTGACCAACGGCGGTGGTGCATCTTAAAGGCATTAACAACTTCCTTTCTCATGCCGTTTTCCCAAAAACTATCCCGTCTCGCTTATCATCCTAGGAATGCTCCTCTATCTCATCTAAGCAGATTGAGATGTTCATATTTTTGAATCAACATCAATATCAACATGAAATCCGACACCGGGAAGAAGGAAATAGATATCATATCATAAATATGGAATAGATCCAATAAAAACAATACCTTTCTCCAATCTACCCCGGCATTCTACCGCCTCTTCCCCAAATCCCAAAGATAATGCCGCATATAACATCATCTCTACAATATATCCCCCATTCCTCCTTGCAGATGAATGCGGAGATAGCCTCGACTCGTATATATTTTTCCCTGACTTATCCTCGGTTACTGATTTTTTGACTGGAGCCCAGCTTCCTATAATCCATAAAGAACTACGAGTACTGTATATATCAAACCTATCAGTAACGGATACAAGACTCACAAATATTCTACCGCAATTCTTCCTTGCACGCATACGTAGTATAAGATTCCAGTCTAGAACTACTTCCAACAGCCTGCAGAGTACTCCGTACACAAGGATGAATTGCCCCGCATATTCATTCGTATCCCGTATATCGTATTCCGGTACATACCACCCCTCATGGACCACTCACTACCACTGAACCCGCAATCAATTGAGAAACTTGACGAATATAAAAGTGTACTATGATGGGTCTGTAGAATTGATATCTGTACACATAGTCCGTAAGTTTACATATTGTGAGATTCAGATTCTACGATGAAAGTTGGAGATGTTAGATACATCAATAACTTTACACTTATAGGTTAGTGTATCTCCAAATGCCTACAACTAGTAAAGTTGAGCTGGGAAGTTTGTGGTTAATTATGTATGTTATTTGATTGATGGATGGATTTGGTGGGAATGTTTGTTTTTGTCGTCGAGTGACGTTGAATTATATCTGTTGCTGTATATTTTTCTCCTTTCCTGCTACTTCAGTTAAAGGAAAAAGTTTATATACTCTTGCCAGCACGATGACAGCGCGAAAGTTTTCTCTGTATAATTGTTAGCGAAAAAGTTTTCGGCTGAGATTACGATGAGACGCTTAATTTTATTATTCCTCATTCATCAATTCTTATCATATCCAAACATGTATCAGATCAATCGGTTACTGCAGTCGGTAGAGTAAAACAACTTAGTAAGCTCAATGTTCTATATCTCGCAAAATCCAAACGGGAAGTATAAAAAAGGCTATGTATGATAGTGTATGAGTAAGAAAGATGCGCATATCCAGTGGCATTACCCAGGATTGGTGGCTGTATCTTCGTTCTCTTGTTCGGGAGCTCATGGCTTGTCTATGATGTAGTATATTTCTACTAATTAGAATTTTATAAGCTGGAATGGAGGATTTGGGTCTAGCTTTTTCATATTACGATTCCTGTTTTGCTATTAGTAAATGTGAAATATTCGGTGAATTAATACATATGGTGGTAATAATGAGGGATTGATGTGTTTGACGGCGAGAAGAAGATGGATAATAATAGTGTAGTCATAAATCCTCTCCTCGAAGGCTCAATACATAGCACTTCAGATATCCTATCCTATCCAAACTACGCCGCATCCTCTTCTTCTTCTTCTCCTTGAAATCAAAATTGTATATACAATCAATCACAAATAGCTTTAAACAACACTAAACACACACACAAACACAGAGAAGGAGTTCAAAAGGAAGTATATGAGAATGAGTGCAAGAATTTAACATTACAAGAATGTGATATAATCAGAAGATAGAATCTCTCATGGATGTGTGGGACGTTTGGGGGGATGGGTCTGGAATTTTGAACGGTTTATTTCACTGCTCCATCTAGTAGTAGATACAATTGAAGACGCATCATATTGACAAGAAAGTATGCTGTGAGCCTTACACTTTCAACGGATCTCCTTTTGATGATACAAGCACTATTGTGATTGTCAAATTCTTTCATCATTATTTGTCTTTTTTATATTATTTAATATATAAATTCTATTATAAAATTTAATATTGGCTCACTTTGGCAATTGTGAAACCTTTTAATTTTTATCATTGATTTAAAATTATAATATTGAAAATCTCAATCATTTCCTTTGTCTTTTATCAGGACATAGAATTTTTAATTGGTGAATTAAGGATTGATCTTAAAATAGAAAATACTTTTATAATCGGATGAAATATATTTCCCAGTATAAAGTATAAAGTATAAAGATATAAAGATATAAAAAAGAGTAACCTTTAATACAAGAGAATAATATCATTTTAGAATGAATTAATTATATATTATCTCTATAAAAAAATCCATTCTATATTCACCTATATCGATATATCTCCTTCATCATCTACTCTCTATTTAACATCCAAAGTGAATACACATAAATATAAATATATAAAAGTATCTCGACACTCAAATATTAAAAATTCTATACAAGGAATTTCACGGTTGTACAACAATACAAAGGTATAGATGACAAGCGAGATTTTCTCGCTCAAAGAAAGATAAAAGGATAGAAACAAGGAAGGGAAAATAAAACTATATAGTTTTTAGATTCAATCACTAATTATTCGATGGGTATTAAGATTATATTTTATATTGTCCTTTGGGAATTTATGTCAATATAATTAATTTTTGTTATTATTCAGATATTTCCCACCATTGATCTTAATGTAATACCCGAAATAAACTTAATCGTAGAGCCATATTAGGAATCTAAGCAATATACCTCATTCTATCCCCCAACTCCAATTCCAGTGACAAAGTCCAAGATGGAAATTCAAACATACTGAGCTGGGTCTGTAGTCAAGATTATCTCTTCAAACCGAGAAGCATCTACTGTGTCTAGATGATTGACCTTTTATAGATATTTTCCATCATTTATCCTTAAATCTTCGTGGATATTTATACATGAACTAGTATAAGATTTATCTCTTCTGGGAGTGAAAAAGGAAGGTTTCGATGATAATGGTAATTGTAACGGTAATGGTAAGATACGGAGTTAGTAAGATAATTATGATGGCGAAATAAATAGGGGATAGAGGGGACATTACATGTTGAACTAGAGGATTTGAAGGATTAAGAATCGGGTTATTATTTCATAGAACTATGGTCCTTTGCTTCTCCCATGCAGGGCTATAAGCAGCAGAGTTTAATTATTGTGAATTGTTAGATCTATGGATTTACTTGTTTATGTACCTCGAGAGATATTCGGGAAGGAAGTTGAAATGAGGTGGTGCGTATTGATCCAGTTACTCATAGATCATTCTGCGCGGGCTTTTATCTAATATATGTGAATTTGCTTGATAGGAGACAGGAGATTTAAAGTTGAGTATAAAAACACGGTATGAAATATAATAACGATATCATGCCTGTGAGGAAACAAAAAGAAGGGAACGAGGCACTGAAAATGTTTGCGCTATATTCAGTCACCCACGCACCCGTTCATTCTTTTTGGACAATAATTCTAGAGTGACTTTGAAGTATTAGGTGAGATTACTCATCAAGGTGAATTTTACTGCCATTATACACTCGTTCATTATGTATTGCGGAATAATAACTAAATTAAACAATGACAATATGAGCATGACGCGAATATGATATTTTGAGACAATGTCGGACTCTCGCTACGATATTACATAGAGGAGGTTGGACTTGAATCTATCGCGGTTATGGAGTAATGTTTGGCGGGCCTCCCTTAAGCCAGTGTCTCTCGTATTATTACTGTATGGATGGATCAGTCGGTTCGTAAATTTAGTTGTTTATATGCATCAAAATGGAGAAAAACGTTCGTTGATGCATAGCTACTGCTAGACGACTAATGACTATCAAAAAACACCGTGCAATGCAACGAAATATACAATATCATGTATCAAGCGGATATCCATCTCCAAAAGAATTGGATGTTCCTAACGGGAAGTTTTTCTTCTGCTATGACTATATTTCTCCCCGGGGGGCTACTCATTCTCACAAAACTTTTCGGTCTTGAAGTCCTAATTCTTATTGTTGTGGTTGAGTCTTCTTTTGTTGTCGCTTTTGGCGGTAGATATTTTTCATTGATTGTTTATTGTGATATGGGAATTAATAGAATAGAATGAGACATGCATTTAAACAGACAGAATAATTTGTTTATGACGGATCGGACAGAGGTAGGCTGAGTTTTATCAGCCGAAGTGGGATTCTCCGTAGCTTTCACGGTAGACAATAGCACTAATATCTCGGCCCTATTCATTCAGGAGACGCAACTTTCTTCATGTAGGCAGCATCACTCATTCGCGAAATTACATGTTTATATATCCCCACTACCCAGGGTTGGGAACACAGACATGGCCGGATTCACTCGTATAACATCATATTCCCGCTTCATCTAAGCGAGTGAGGTAAAGATGTTGTCGCTAAGATGAGCAAAAAGCAGTAAGCGTAGTCACTTTGAATGGATATGGCTTGAGTACAGCGAGTTTAATAGAGGGTCAAGGACGAGGTTCGGCATTCACTAAACTCCTCCAGACTGGCCTGATTTCCGAACTCTAGGAACTTCTACTCACAATCATAAGACTACCGCCGGCCCAAAATAGACACACTCGAAGAACAAGTACTTATTGCTAACTAGTCTTATAGCTTTCACCTGCCAGAGCTAGTCATCATTGGCTAACAAGCAAATTCATGCGAGAATTTCGATGAAGATTTGTCTATCCCATTGCGTAGACTTGAATATCTTCAATTCTGACGAGTGCAAAGCAGTGACGCTAGTTATTTCCATTCCGATAAAGGTTCTCTTTAATGTTCCCCGGAATCAAACATACTTTAGTATGAAGATGTACCAAAGGATAAGGACCTTTATACTGCTTGGTGAATTCAAACAGGCGATACTTGAGAAATAACAGCTAGTGCAAACTCTGATTTCAAGCTGAAAGCCAAACCATGATTCCCTCGCTTCCTCAACCCGGTAGTATAAAAAATCGAGTACTTGACTTTGAAGCAAGCGCAAAAGAAGATCCCGGATGCTGACTTCAATCCACGGCTCAGCAGACTTGTGCTCGTTCTTTTGGGAATGAGATTATGATGGCAAGATTGTTTTGTTTTGTTTCGCGCAGTGATCATGATTCGATATTCGAAAATGGGTTTAATTTCGTTTGATGTTGATGCAGAGGCACCGGAGCCGAAATTAGCAAGACAAAGTCTTGGACTCCCTAAACTATGCTCCTGCTCACATTCTCAAAATCTAAGTATAAAGACTACAGCACCATACTCAGAACATTAATAATCTAACCGCGAGGTGTTTGCGTACTACACAACGAAGGTGGTACTTATGTTTCTTGGCCCAATATAGTTTCGGGGATAAATTGATTTGAGCAAGATTGTGATAATGCGAGTACTAAAATCTGATTCAAGTTTATCCACTCAGTTTTTAATTTGCCCTATGACTCTGGACATTACTGTGAAACTTGCACATTGCGGTAGAAAGACATGGCAATGTGGTCGTAGTTGACAGTGAAAATGATATATATATATATATATATCTGGAACAGAAACACTGATTGTTGATAACTGACACATGCCCCTGGATTTTGAGGTTTTCAGAACAAGTCTCTTGCTTCTCAATATACAAGGGGCCAAACCGGCATATATTTATGTATAGATAAGTGAAGCTTGAAAACTTGTATTTATACTGGGGTTGAAAAATGGAAGGCTAAATAAGCAAAGGTATCACCAACAACTACCACTCGGAGTTGGATCAATTAGTTCCCATTCAATGAATGACGTAGCGTATACATCTCACTATTTAATATTTCCCCGTCTACATATACACCTTATTTCTTTTTCCACATTCTAGTCCAACCTTTCTCTCCTTCCCTTACAACTTCGGTTTCTCCTTCAAATACCCAACACACCACTCCACGGCCGCCCTATACCCAAAAACACCTAACCCACAAATAACCGCCTCCGCTTTATCACTCAAAAAACTTTTATGACGAAATTCCTCCCTCTTGTGCACATTACTTATATGCACTTCCACAAACGGAATATCAACGCCAGTCAAAGCATCTCTCAGCGCAACACTATAATGTGTGAAAGCAGCGGGATTTATAACGATAGCATTGGTGCCATCGGTACGTGATTCATGAATACGATCAATGAGTGCACCTTCCCAGTTACTTTGGAAGGTTAGAAGCTCGACGGAGGGAGTGAGTGAGGAGAGGTAGGTGCTGAGAGATGATTCGATAGAGGCGAGAGTATCGTAGCCGTAGATGTGAGGTTCACGAGTTCCAAGAAGGTTGAGGTTGGGTCCGTTAAGGAGGAGAATCTTTTTGATGGGCATTGTGATGGTTTTGAGGTGAGGTCTTGATTGGTGGTTTTGGGATGGTTTTTGGCTTGATGTTGATGCGTATGAAGTGAAATGGGATGCTGAAGAGAAAGAAAGAAACTTACTTCTAACCTACTATCTTCTGACGGAATTGTCTTCATCCATTTTGGACATTCCAGTTACTTGCCATCTGCAATGACTTGTATCTCATGTGCTTGAAGTTTGGATATTTTGGTGGAGGAGTTACAAGGAGGTTGATCGCGGGTAAGAAAAAAGCGGGATCGGATAAAGATTTATCCCTCTCATTAATCATGGAGATGGAGGAAATATGAAATTTGCAAAGTCAATCTCACCTTATTTGAATTGGGCCTCTCTAGTATAGGAGCAGACTTATGGCTTGCGGCTTGCGGGGTGTGAATTTCCTGTTTCGAGGATTCACGACCGTTTGCCATGGACCATGGTTTTGGATTCAACACGTCCGGAGACTGAGTCCATTTTTCTATTTCTCAGTATTTAAGACATGACTCTTGCAAACATATTGAGATAACCACCCTCAACGACTTCGTAGCAGCCTGAGTATGTCTGCTCACAGATTTCCAAAGCTTTGGTAGTACAATCCTGCTTTGTCCTTCGAGTTGCACCGATCGAAAGCAGGAATTGCGTGTTCGGAGCTCAAGTGAGACTGCTTCGGAGGAGAAGAGTAAGGTGAATGTAGGATTTGACTTATCTCCTCACTCCTCCTGCCTTGCCAAACAGCCGATCTTGTCCACGTAGATATGGGCTGGCTAGAATCTTAGTATTCCAAGCAAAACGCTCTCAGACTTGTTGCACAAAAAGACAACTTTCCATCTGGATCTGAAATTCAATACAGGTTCACCTCGTCTCTCCTCTATTCGACCAAGCTTTACGATTCTCAAAGCTTACATGACAACTCCTTGGGTCAAATGCTGTCGGGAAAACGATAATCTTGACATCCATTCTTGCAGCATGCTCTCTATAGTGTATCATGCACTCTTCGCATTTTTTATGGTAAATAATTGTCAAGTGATAGATCCCATTAGCGTTTATTTCAACCCTTAAATCCAGCCCAAACGGCATAAAAGTCCCCGGCCAAAACAAAGAACGCAACAAGCTGTTGTGTTGTTAGTATGAACTATATTGGATGTACTAGGGCTAATGGCTGCCACTTTGTTTGACGATGGGGTGGGAATGGTTATACCTAAAGATAAATGGGACAGGCTTGTAAGACTAAGGGACCTCTCATTTTAATATTCGATTAAATGCCGTCAGTTAGGACAAGTTTTCATGGGTTTGCGCTGAATATCAGTATATTATCCGAAAACGAGGAACGCAGCATCTTGAGTCGAGCTATTCTCGATTTCAAGCAGCAGTAAAGTTATCCTAGGAGGAAACTATAACACAGTTTCAGATAACAGCTCAAATACAAAGTACAAGCCAGGATTCATATTTAGCAGTAACCTCAAATTACCCGTCTAATAACTTAGCTTGATGCTGTCGCTTAAAATCACTCACTGTCAGTAGGTATTTAAATCCTCAAAATGGCTAAGTGAATGCTAGGGTGGTTAACTGTGGTGTTACTAAATAGATCAAGAAAATATTTTACGAAGTAGTGTCAAATATGACACTGCTTCCTCAAACAATGGACAACCTTCTTCAGCTTCCAAGAAGATACCAAATAGTTATCTCTGTATCTTTACCTTTATATAGGTATGCAAGTCAAAATATTTTGAGTAGAAATTTCTAATCAGTTCTGAGGGCTTGATTCTCCACCTCGTATTATTTGGGACTGTGCAGAATTGCCACATATTCTAGGCTCTATGTATCAAATCATATATATCTTCCTGTATTTGGAGTGCGAGACTATTTGGATGAGCTGAAATGGCTAAAATGCCGGTAGAGATACTGTACAACTAACATTCACCTGCCTTCGTAGAAAAGAACAGCCTCGGATATTTGACAATAAAAGAAGAAACGTAAGAGGTAACAGTAATACTGCAAGCGAAAATTAATATCCTCGATATGCAGGATTTCACGTAGTATAATTACTTAAGTCTTATCACACATCGTCTTGTACTCTTAAGTCTCCAAGAAACGCATATGCAGTGCAGATTTGATCGGTTGTGCTTTAACTCTTCGATCCCAGAACCAGCATCCTATCAATGCCATTCCAGTCGTCGTCATTATTTAAACGAAATTCCGAGTTTGCTGAAAACGGAAATAATCTCATACAACATATGGCTGCCGAAAAAGATAATATAGACAAATATTAGGAGGCTCCTCAATGTGAGATCCATCTAGTATAATTCTCTCTGGCTTACCTTAATGGTTTATGGCTGAGTAAGCTTAAATGGAACCTGTGCTGGTCGATGGGGCAATTAAGTTGCGCGATTCGACACATGTATAATGTAGAGATTGCAAAGACTGCGTAGTGGTTGGGAAGCTGGATGGAAATGATTGGAACTTCCAAATAATATAACTCGTCGTCAATCGGTCTAAATACTCACTCATCAGCAGCAAAGTCTTGCTTCCAATAAACCCAAAGAGCATAGAGCGACTTCTCGCCCAAAACTACACTAAGTCACCATCTCTCCCATAAATCACTCAATAATCTATACTCTACCCAAAATATCTAGTCATTATTTATATAACCTCTACAGAAACTAGTCTTTCAAAGAACTATCAGAATTCCAATTGTATTTTCCTTTTCATTCCCTTCCTTCTTTTCACACCCAAAAAGCATCTAATCCAAAAAAAAAAAAGGATATCTTACAAAGACTACAGAGTATATTTAGTGTGCAGGATGCTCAATCAAAAAGCCTTCCCGATCGAAAATGTATATGGCCCCTTTCCCCCTACCGGCCCCCTATCTTCTCTTCCTATTGTCGGAGAATCATCTACTCTTATTCTTTCATTCTTCTTTTTTCCGTTGCTACTCCCACCATCATAAACACTAGGGCTAAGCGTCATGATACTCGAATCGCTATGCGTATATGCATGCGTTGCTCTCGGTACTGTTGTTGATTTCGGTAACGAAGGCGGTCTCTCATCCAGCGTAAAGATAATCTCTTCTCCTTCTTCTAATTCTCTGTCTCCTATTTCCCCCGTGGAGTTCCTTCTATAATCTTTTGTTGAAGAAAAAGGAGAAGTAGGTGTTGATGATTCGTAAACAGACGGAGCTTGCGATTGGCGATAAGAAGGCATAACCATACTCATCAATTTTTCACCAATGCCCATACTCGTACTCATCACACTCCTCGCATTGCTTCCTCGCCTTTCCTCCCTCCCTTGCAGTGTATCCCTAGGAGTAAATAACACGCTAATACTCTTGCTACTCCTACTCAACCCACTCTCACTTATACGAATAGATCTTTCCCGATCTCTTCTCTCTAATTCCGCTTCTGCCATCTTCATTTGATAATCCATTTCTGCGATTTCTTTTTCAATATCGATTATTGCATGCCTGCTATAGTTATCTTCATCGCCTCTCTCATAGTCACCTTCTACGTAATCTCTATTCATAATTTCTTCTTCCGGATGAGAATTCATATACCGTGAAGCGTATTTTGTTTGATTGTAAGAGGTTGAGACTGAGGAGCGATCGGAGCGTGAAGTACTGGCCGGGTAATTTTGTGCATCGCCTGGATTTGGATCCCCATAACTCCCTGTATTTTTCTCCATTCCTCCCCTATAATTTTTGTACTCATTCTGTGTCTCCCTAATTTCATTTTCTCTCTCCCTTTCTCTCTTCATTTTTCTCCGTGAAAAAAATCGATAGATCAATACACTCAAAACACTACTTGCAAAACTCGTTCCTAAAATAAGCACCACGGCAACCGTCATGGGAATTGTTGTCGCCTTTGAAAACTGCACCGCCGTATTTGCATCCGCCAATTGTGAAGAAATTGCCCACGCTGATTCCGTAGCTGCTGCTCCTAAGGCCAGTGCTGCCGCTTGCGCACTATATGTAGCGAGTGAATTGACGGAGATAAGTGATGCCGATACAGCAGAGAGCTCTGAACTGGCGCTCGCTTTTATGCTTGTTATTTCCGCACTTGCACTTCCCAATGCAGCGGCCGCGGAAGATTGGACTGAAGCAATAGCATCCGAGGCACTTGCGTCAGCGGCGGCGGCACTAGCTTGTGCTATTGAAATACTGGCTGCCGCAGCAGTGCTGAAAGAAACTATTTGGGCGGATGCGTTGGAGGCGAGGCTTGAATAGACTGCGCTTGAGGCTGAGAGAACGAAGCCATTGCAGTCTGAACCGATGGTAAGAATGCCAGCGATTAGGGCAGTTTTGACTCCTGGTGAGGTGGTAACTTCTGGTTGGGAGGTTGGAGATGTAGGCGATGACGAGAGAGGTGGAATAGTTGTTAAGGCCACGGATATGGGAGATGGTTGAGATGTACGGCGGAGAAGAGAAGCGTTGCACAGTCCCGTTCCTGTCGCGAAGACTAGGAGGGAGAATTGATTAAAATGCATGACGCCCCCGACTGATGGTCTGAATTTCCATCGGTTAGTACTACTGAACACACAAGTAACTGAGACAATAATGGAATCTTACCTTGAGTACCCGGTATGTTAAAAAAACTCAACTACAAATGCGTCCAGCACTGTTCCGATCCATCTAGTCGGCTTATTAATTTCTTTTTCTGTCCTGCAGACTACGGTGTAGTAAGTTCATTAACGCGTATACCATATGTCAAATTATTATAATCACATCGACTAGATCACTAAAATCGCGGGGAAGGACAAAGGATGAATAGAACGTAAGGCCGTTGACACCAACAACTAACTACTTCGATGTGCATAAGGTACACGGTTGGAATTTCTACCCGCGATCTTCTAAGGCTAGATCGCGCGTTTCATACCTACTGTATCCACGAAATTTGCCTTGTCAAATGGTCGCAGGAAGGAAAATATAAGGTGATGTAAGAACTTCGCGACTTTGTTACCACTAGTCTGTGCGTGAAGTGTTTGGGAATATCATCCAATCGGGACTCGGGATATAATATGATAAAAAACTATTTCATACAATTTTGACTCAATCGTATCCCCATTTAAACCTATTATTCATGATAATTCGCAATATTTGATTGAAAGCTTAACAAACATCAATCAAGAAAAGCTTCACTCGAAGTAGAATCACCACAAGTCAAACTGACAAGACCTGGCGAACAAATAAAAAAGTTGCAGCCGCAACAAAAAAACCCCTTAGTTTAAGCTTCAGGGTAAACTTTAATCCCCAAAGATCAGTCCACTATTTTCTTCCCCTGATGAACTATATTCTAACAATCGACGTGCAAAGTTTCGAGTTCAAGGTTCATGAAGATAGTAGAAACACGCACGGCTTTCACTAGTGCGACGTTGACTTGTCACGAAGCGAATCATTGCGTCCAAGCCCCTGGAATCGGATCGATCTAGGAACCGATTCGATATTTATTACTGATTTTGGAAAGAAAATTATGTCTTTTCGGCCGTCGTGCCGAAATTTTCTTGTCCTGTTTCTTGGAATATTTGGATAGATGAATATCAAAGTATCAGATTGAAAAAGATTAGATAAATACTTTATCTGCTTAAGAGGTTTTCCTTCGCATAAATTGGTAATCCGAGAATATTCCCTATTGAATTTGTAATGATGAGTCTAGAATTTGGAAAAAGGTTGAAATGGGTTGGACTCCAAAATGGTTTATTGAGGTCTCATTGTCACCACACGTGTGGGATATGTTCCTGTATAGTGATTGTCGCATTTCAGAGTAGCTCATACCTCAAAACATACTCCAGTAATGGTAGTAATAATATGAATCCTTTCTACTCATGTTTTGAAGATATTGATTAAGTCCAACGAGAGAAAGCCATGCAAAAGTGTTAACATTCAAATATCATCGCACTTGCGTCCAATCGCGAAGTTATATAGAAGAGTATATGTTGATGGCTTATTCATCCCTAGATCGCTTTAATGGATTTCGTTGAGTCGTGCCTCCTGACTCTGTCGGTTCCTGTAGTCCAATTGAATTTTCCAGACATTCTGGAACATCCGGTTCAGGCGAATGCTTATCATCATCTGAAGCTTCTCGCCGATATGGTTCCATCCCATTCGCTGTCTTATGTGGTTCAACTGTCGCATGTGATTGCTTCCTCTCCTCTGGGGTAATTGGCTCATCCATTTGTTTCAATCCTATCAAAATATTCAATCTCTCGGGAGCTGGATCTGCATCCGAAAGTTTCGGATTCTTCGACTGCTTCGATTTCTTCGGATCCTTTGCTTCTTTAGGCCGTTTTGGAGCAGGCTCACGTCTTCTCCCATATCCAGGCATTCCATTTTTATTGCTCGTATGCCATTGGCAGTGTTCCTTATGACCATCATTACCTTGTCTTTTAATTGTCCGGAAATCTGCACAACAACACCAGCAAAATTCGAAGAGGCAATAATCACCTAAAAATCAATCATAAGTCAGTTGGAATATTCAGTGTAAAGGACTTAAAAATACAACTTACACTCGCAAATCAAATGATCGCAGCCAGTTTTCTTCTGTATTCTCATTCCACATTCTGGGTTTGGACAAAGCCTCGCATGCTGAATAATCCATGCTTCGGAAGCTGCTTCTTGACGAATACGGGCTTGATTAAAAATGTCGAATTCGGCGCATGTAAGGTCTTCGTGCCATGGAAGTTTGTGAATGAAGCATGTTTTAAAGTTACACGTAGTACATGTCATCATTGGCTGATCGGCGCCTGTATGTATTTGACCTGATTCGCAGGTAGGACTAAGGCAAAAGGTAAAGTTTGGGAGGTGTTGAAGAGACACAATGAATGTTCTCCTTCCAGTTCTGTGAGGTGCATAAGTTAGTATGGCTATGACAGAAATATAACAGAGTATATTGCCTTTCTAACACTTCTGGTGATGCATAACTCTTTATTTCCGCATCGGAAACTTTTTCTGGGCACTCGGGGCACAAAATCTTATCAGATGCCTTTGTTTGAAGTTGGATATTAATATGTGTGGTCAGACATTGACAGCAAACCGCTGGATGATGTGCGCATGTACTGGTTATGCGACTCTGTGGGAAATTTTCCGGTGCTAGGGTTTCCATGCAAATCCTACACTCATTAACCGCGGCAAACAGAACTTCGTCTTCTGGTTCTTCGAGTTTTGCTTTTTTGGATGCTGGTTGATCAATGATCTTCGGAGTGATCGGTGGCTAGCACAGTCAAAAGTTAGTAAGTGTGTTAACGGAGTGTTCGACAACGTTTATGAGCTAGACATCAAACCAGGTTGGGACAATTACCTTCAAGGCATCACCTAAAAGAGCTGCCAGAGCTCTACATGAATTCTCGCCGGCGAACCAGTTCACGAGTGCCTCTTTTTCTCTTTCTCCAAGCGACTTTTCAAGCTCGAGAAGCTTCCCAAGAGTGTCTTCTTTCCTATCGTTACCCCTCACTTGAACGTTATAGCGACGTAGAAGGCGTTTCATGGAGCTTCTTCGATGTTGAGACGGAGAAAAGCCAAAGATCAAGCCAGGAAGGTCGGGAAATCTTGGGTCTGGTGCAGTGCTCATTGTTCTGGAATATCTCAAACAATATAAAGAGTATTTGAGGGACTAGGACTAGATCAATGTAGTAAAAAATAGTGGTTAATTACTTGTAGGACCCAAACTGTGGGAAGAGGGGAAATGGAAGGAGGGGAATTAAGAGAAGACTGGTGGCTGAAATAGAGATATATATCGTCTGAACTGTCCGGAGCTATTAAACCAAAAAAGAATTGACGGGAAGGAGTGGTTTCCTTGTTTTTATAAATGCGATTATAAAAGTGAATATGTAGAAGGAGTGTGTATTCTTTTTTATCTACCCCGCGTTAAATGGGATGAACTTGAGCTGATGGTATCTGGCATTAGCAACAATGCGTTGTATTAAAGCCTGTCGGATTGTCCAATTTTGAATAAGGACGTCCAGAGATCTGGACTCATCTTCAAATTCTTGGTTTGAGGCTTTATGGTTCTGAAAACTTGAGCCTCTATTTCATATCTGAGTCCTCAAAAGTGTTGGCGATCAATAATCTGGGATCATGTTCTGGGAACACGCGGCCTTGCCAGTGTCTCAAGATGATGAGCTTTATCTAGTACCTTAATAGAAGCAAAGGCCCAAAAACTGGAAAGACTTCCTCTCAGACATATCCAAATACGCAAGCAACGGGACGGAACATACGTCGCAGGGGCAAGATTAAACACATCCAGACCTTTCGTAGCGAAAAAATAAAGAGCTATTTCCCAGCACAAACAAGCATAGGAAGCTTTCAGTCCCGATACTTCGAAGCGAATTTTTTTCGAACAGTATCCATATAACTGGAATCCAAAAAATTCTAAGAAACCACGTCAAAACCTACATATAGAAGCTTCCTCATGTCAAAAATTCATGTTGTATCTAAAATATCGAAAACATCCACCAGTCATGCTACCTCCACAAAACAATCTTCCCCCGAAACCAAGAGGGACTATTTCCAAATAAACTCGATAGCCAACAGACTTAAGGGTGAGGTTAAGTTCTCCGATATTAGCCATCATAGGTCTCCTCATACCCAAAAACAATCATTGATGAGCACAAACACATTTCACTTATGAAGCAATTCCCTTTGAAAATAAAAACGTCAATTGAACATAGACAGAAGAGAAGTTGTTGATAATGAGTAGTAAATCAATTTATTGTTGCTGGGCATTGACAATGAAAACTATAGAATAAATACTTTCATCACTAGAAAAAGATGATAATGAATAATGACAACAAACAGAACTACTTCTTAAAAAACTCGATGATGAATACCTAAAATCAGCAAGTCCAAACTCTCAACTAATCAATCGAGTTATTCAAGTGAATGATATTCCAACCGCTTGGCAGCAAAATATAATACAATAAGCACAATAAAGTATTGACTTAAGTATCAATGGTCAGGAAAACTTCGATCTTATGGACAGAGAAATGATGGAAAAGAAAGTATGATTAGGTGAACGAATTGTATCCCTAATAGCGGCCGACAACAAAATAATGGAAACGATCGGGAGGACTATGAAAGTGATATAAACTCGTACGCTTGGTGCCGATGACAGATGGAGTGATAGGATATTGATACTTCCCTTCGTCAGATCGCACGTGCTGCTAGCTCCTGCGAACAACGCATCACGAAGGAGGCGTGCCTGCTTTGTCAAACGATTATGGTTTCCATCCAACCAAATTAAACTTCAAGTTGATATGTTCCGTGAATGCTGTACCGTCGGGTTGTTAGATAAAAAGGGAAGATCAACAGATGGATGTTACTTTTAGTACGATGACCACGTGACAGGAAAATCACCGTCCGAGACGGCCGCATAGTCCGATTGTTAAGATCCATCCCTCTAAGCATCCTTTATTCCGAATAGCTTCCTGTTTCTTCCCATTCTAACTCTAATTTCTAAGGAGGTGAGGATGTCTTTCCATGATGTACAATATATGGCAATATATCGAACGGAATATCAAATAACCAAACATATCCAGGCAAACAGCCACAATTTCAGGGCTTATCAGTTTATCCCCCCTCTCACCATGAGGGTGCTAGGGAGGATGCTCAAGTGATTGCATCATAAAGCAGGAGATAAATATCGAAATAATACTTTCATACTTAGACTTCAAAATGTATTATATCGTTTTGCTGCTCGTATGCATCTTCATCAGTACTGTTCATACAGTTAGCGGACTAGTCCTCCCTTACGCGTAAGATACACGACTGCAAATTAGCCATAGCGTCCATATTTCTCAGCCGCCTCGAACCACATTCTCCTCTAGTCTGAGATTCCCACGGAGATTCAGAATGTCTTGCACATTCCGTATCGCGATCGACAGTCTGATACCCCTCTATTACACAAACTCCCGTGGATGGTTTGACCAAGGGGAGAATTAATCATGATATGGATACTAATACTAAAGTTTACGAGAACTATTAGAGGATGCAGGTGTGTAAGAAGAAACGGATCGTACAATTTGTATATAAAAAGCCATGCTATAAGTATATATCCGATATATGGGAATCTGGGTGGGATACATTGGAGGAAGTTAAGCGAGCGAATTTTGGCATCATCTTGGATACGTTCAATACTGCTAGGAAGTTTTATGCAAACCCTTCAACTAAGGATGGGGAAGCGCCCAATAAGGAATGAAATTTAGAAATCAGGGGAATTAGTAAATACTATTCATGTGCAGAAAAGTTCTCTACACCCCAGTAGTTGACGCAGGGAAGGAAAGAAAAGCCTTTAGTCAAAGCTCTTCCGTTTTGTTCTGATGAACAACAACCCGCTGGAGCTTTTATCAAACGACTGAATGCAATCTAGATATTTAATGAGTATAAATTTATCTGATAGACCAATAGATAGGGTATCCGACAGGGACATACGAGAAGAGTCCTGAATCTTAGCAAATGATCAAGAGTATAGAGCATAGATGAAAGAGGTAGAACCTTGATGGCTGCCTAGTAAATATTCTTTATATCGTTGATTGTGTAAAGTACCTGCATTCTTATATAGTTCTAAGCTGCTTCAGATGAGAAGTATCACCAGTATCTATCCATACAATCTAAAAAAGAAAATTGGTTGCAAAGCCACGATGCACACAGTAATGTAATTAATGATTCAACATATGTGGGGATGAGCATTAACATGAACATAAAGATGAAAGTAGGAGGTTCACCACGCCCAGAAATTGACCGAGTTAATTAGGTGATATATCACCAAAAAATCCAACACACATCCATCCCCTCGCCACAACTTAACCCAACCATTGAAACTCCCGGACGCGAAATCTAGAAAATTGTAATTAAGACTTAACTTCTACACTTCCCCAGACAAACTATACCGTTGAATGATACCCAAACTAATAATTCAAAGATTTATAAGTTATAACCCTCAGTAATTAATAAAGCACAAGTACAAGTACAAATACAAATACAAACATAAATACAACCAACAAAACTCTCCACATCGCTGGCAAGCTACATCCAAACATCCAACCAACCAATTATCCACAATCAACTTAAATACACTGACTATACCACTCACTAGAAACAACACACTTATAAGGATCCTCACAGACCGTGCTTCCGGTGAAACCATTACCACCACACTGAGCCCAATGCGCTGCCTTTACTTCTGGAACTGAAGTTGGATTGCTTGAGGAAGTAGTAGCTGGAGCTGTAGCCGTAGTATTACCTATTATTAATTAATTAATTTATATTAGCCTATAAAATTCATGATTTGGAGAATGAATATTTTTCTCATTTCTTTGCATCATCATATTTTTTTCATTTCTAATCTCTTATCAAAGAGGAGAGGGAGAGATGAATGATGGACGACGTACTAGTCGAAAAATGCGGATTTGGGGGGAGAAGAAAAATAGAAAGAGAAAGAATTATACACACCACAATAGTCTGCACCAGTTCCGCAAAATCCATATGCACTACAGCATAATCCGTCTGCGCATGTACCGCCTACACCGCCAGCACAAGCACCTGATTGTGGTAATGCTGAAGTAGTAGGGGAAGAGGAAGGAGCGGAAGAAGCGGGAGAAGCGCCTATTTCTATTAGCTTCTCTTCTTGCTTGGGAGTTTTACAGAATCTTCATCGTCTATCTAACCTCATACTAAAGAAGGAGAGATGGACAATGGGATTGGGGAAGCGGATGAAAATGAGAAAGAAAAAACATACCACAATAGTCTGCGCCAGTTCCGCAGAATCCAAATGCGCTACAGCATAATCCTGCTGCACATGTACCACCAACACCTCCTGCACAAGCACCTGTTTCTGGTTGATCAGGGGTAGTAGAAGAAGCACCTATTCATATTAGCTTCTCTAAATGCTCCAGATTTTCACATGTAATTCAAGACTCGCTTATATCCCATCATTATGGTTTATATCTAAGCTCATATCAAGAGAGAGAGATGAATGATGGGATGTAAAAAGGCCCGTTGAAAAAGGAAAAGAAACATACCACAATAGTCTACTCCAGTTCCACAGAATCCATTAGGGCTACAGCATAATCCTACTGCGCATGTACCACCAATACCACCTACACAAGCACCTTGAGGTGTTGTTGCGGGAGGAGTTGTACCTATTCGTATTAGCTTATATGATTCAAGATTCTGCCATTTCCTTCTACTACGGATCATATCACTGTGGCTCCAAATCAATCTAGAAAATGGATAGAGAAAGGCAAAAGAAACTCACAGTATGCATCCCCAGTTCCGCAGAATCCATTGGCGCTACAACATAATCCATCCGCGCAGGTACCACCTACACCTCCAGCACAAGTACCAGCTACACAAAAGTCGGGACCTGTACCGCAGAGGAAAGAATCATTACAGCAGAGACCTATATGACAAGTGAGAGTTAGCCATTTTACTCTCAGATACGGTTTTCGATGATGAGAAATAATATGGGTGAAATGATGAGGAATGGAGAGATGTGATGTACAGATAGATTGAGCTGTGAAAAACAACAAAACTCGAAAATGAACAAATATACGGACCAGTTGGACATGGAGAAACAGCACAAGAGATAGGTTCCTGGCTTGGGCATGCGAGGGGTGATGCGATAGTGAATCCCACAAGGAGGAGGAGAGAGAGAGCTTTGAAGGCAGAGGTGGTGAACATTTTGACAGTTTGATCTGGTTTATCGTTTGGTTGATGGATGGATGAGTGCTGATGGATGATGGTGAGGGTTATATAGAATAGGGAACTTGAGTTGAAATTCCAAAGATGGACATTGAACTGCAGATCTTAATCTCAGTGAGTGTTTATAGACTTGAGCAAACGATGAGCTTACGCAGGGTACCCCATTGTATCTTCTTGGTACTTTTGAAAGATGGCTTCATTGTCAAACCTTTAATTGTGTACCCTAGAAGATATGATTTTCGAAGCTATATTCAGGGATGTAGTATATAAAATCATAGAAAGTACGTGAAATTATACCCGTGTCTTCTTATGTAAATTGTGGAACAAAAATTATGTTATGAGATGCCTTGGGATAAAGATTCCTCTAGGATGATACTACAATCCAAAATTTTGGACGAATACAAAATGATTATAATATACAGTAAACCATTAGTATGATTGGGGGTGATTCTAATAACTTTGGATAAATATCTACACCCACAGATATAGCCATACCGCCAGACAACTTCTGGATATGAATTCTCCAACAGTAAATCGGTCAAATAGTGTGAATACCTTGAAGGATGTGTGGATTAAAATATGGGACAATATCGGATACCAATGCCGACACATATAAAGAAACAATAAAACTCAAAATAAACCTTCAACTTGTACTTTTTACCCCTCGCGGAAAATGATTTTAAATAATGAACAAGATTATTCAAAGCCTAATATTCCTTGAACTGCAGTCGCTTTCATGCCACACAAGGTATACCCCGCCAAGATGATGAGAAATATCACCAGCTTCACCAGACGGAACGGAACGCACATTTTCATTTCATTTCTAGAGACCATATTCCTAAGCCAAGCAGGATCGCACTTTCCAACTTCATCAGGTTTGGCACATTTCATTAAATCTTCCCCTAGAAAAGGAAACTGACGTAGACTTCACATCTAGATTGCCTCACAAAACCATAAGAAGTAAATTCCACAGCCCGCTTATCTTTGCTATTCAGTCCACTCTGGCTATAAGAACATACGATATTGACCTCTTATGACTAAAGTGCTGTCAATTCGGGCCCATCAGTTCCTGACATGATTGCAGGTTACCTTCCCGTCCTTGGGACTGTGGGGTTTGACTAGACTATATTCTTTGAATCCTCAACTTTAGCTTGTGGTTCCAATATCACACAATTAGTCTCCACATTCTGGCACATGGGAGGTTTGATACTCGGTATTTCGTACTCCGCGGATGGATTTTACAGAATAAGTAGATATAAGAAGGTAATACAGTATGTGGATATATAGTCTATGCAGCACTTGAGAAGAAGAACGATGATTTGATGAGGGTTGTGCATGGTCAATTCAGCGGGTAGTTGAAATAAACTTTTCGCAGTCGTTTATTTCTGAAATTTGATGGTTTGACAGTGGGGGGAGCTACGCTAAGGACTTTCAACGGTGACATTAAAATTGTTCATCTAACAATAAACTTTAAAGTATGTGACATAAACTTATGAACATATGACTTCCTTGTATCACAGTACTTCGTAGGTTTATGTACCTAGCTTCATCCTGGCGTGGCTTGAAGTTTATACATGGAAATGCAAAATTTAAAAGATGTACTTGAAATGAGTGATGTGCCATGTGGGAATGTACTGGTGTATGTACCAAGGACTAATGATTGACTGTTCGCACCAGCAACACAAAAGATAAATGTAAAGCCAAAGAAAAGCGCTTGAAAACAAACTTGCAACCAAATGTTTTGGAGTATGTGAAGAGATTTTTTCGAAAAGCAGATTTGCATGAAAATTAGTACAACGTCAACATATGTATTTCCTGATGATATTGTAGCCAGCGTTGCCACTGACTCGATATATATTTTTGTCCAATGAGTATCCGGAACTCGACCGCTACGATAAACTTATAACTTGCTTGCCATCAGGGTTGGATATGTGACGACGATTTGAACCAGGTCCGGATATTCTGTTAAATAAAGTTTGCCCGGGTATAGGGAGATTTTTCTGTGTCCACTTCATGATTGACATGATAATCTCTCGATGATTTTTAAGACTTCGAGAGGGTGACTTAGGAAGCGTAATGGATCGGTCAAAAAACCTTCGAGCAGCCATTTCCTGGGCGAGTGACATTAGGCCTTTCTCCTATTCTTTCGTCTATGATAATAAGCTTCTCGGGATTGTTGATTTTGGACTTTGGATTTGCTGAGAGCCAGTCGATAGTCCCCTCCCTCTCTTCCTCTGGACAGGGTGAATCTTCAATTCTGGCGCCCCTATTGTTAAATTGTTCCCATCAGACTTGGGGTCTCTGTCTCTTTTGTTCGGCGAGATATTCATCATCTCTTTTCCTCCTTGCAATCCCTTGAGAGTTTTGATGATCATGATCAACGACACCCAACCTCATCCCCAAGCTCTTGGACATTGCATTTGTCACCCCTCTTCTGATCCGTATCTTGTCTCATCTCATTTACCATTGTAGCATCTTTAGACCCCTCATATTCCATACCCCATCACCACCACCTCTTTTCTTTCCTCCCTTCTTCCCTCCTCAACTTCCGCTTCTATCCCCACAACCCTCAAATTATCCTCCACTGTAACCCGCGGCGTCTGTGGCCCCATCGTCGGTCCCACAGCCTCACCCCTCTTCCTCTCCATTCCCCTTGTACTTTCTTCCACCGTCGCCCCATTCCTCCTCATGCGCGCCTCTTCGATTTTTTTCTCCAGTCCCATCCTCTTTCCCACCAATACCCCTCTTTGCTCTTCTAGATGTGCGATTCGTTCTGAAAGTGTTGCTTCGCGAATTTTGCGGACTTGCTGGGGGCGTATTAGTTTGATTTTCTTTATTATTTTCAAATTGAAATTGCAGATGATAGATGATAGATGCGAGAGGTGGGAAGTATGAGGTACCTGTTTTTGTTCTCCCCGTGTCTTTAATCCAGCACCATATATTGTGCCAACAACGGTGACCGATGCAATTGCACCCGTCCATATGATTCTTTTTACTTTGAGGGCTTGTTGTGGTGTTGACATTTTGGTGTCGGGGGTGGTGGTGGAGGGTAAAAGTGAGGGTTTCCTATGTCGTCGCAAGATGTGATATTTTGGTATTGAAGTTGTGCTTGTGCTTGTGCTTGTGCTTGTGAATGTGAGTGTGAATGTGAAGCTGTAGAAAATAAATTCGGGCTCAAACTCCACCGAGGATTCTGGGATGGATAGAAGCTTGCTTCACGCTTCAATCCCGACTGGCCGACATGACAAGAAACAAACACGAAAAAATAAATAGGTAAGGAAGGTTACTGAGTAACTCCAAATCAAAAATCAAGTCCAAACTCCATTCCAAATTTCATCTAACCTTACTGATTTTTCTTTACCTTTTTTCTTTTTCTTTTTCTTTTTTTCCATTTCCATTTCCATTTCCATTTCCTTCTCATCTCTCCCTTCAACAGCTGTAAGTTTAATATTTACTCTTTTCTCTTCCTTTCCTTTTACTTGAGCTTCCACATCTCTTTTCCTTTCCCTCCATCGAATTCCCATTTCCATCTCCATTTCTTCACCAGTCAAATTCACTCCCCTCATTCGCGTTTTTACCACGGAGCTCACGGAGCACGAAGCGACGTCATTGGTGGGTAGACGTGTAAGGTTAAGTGATGAGGGGCAATTATCTGGTTTAGGGATGAGTAGTAAGCTGCTTGCATGTTGCTTGGATTTGGTCATTTTTCGTTTGTTGTCGATTTCAATAAAAGTAAATGAATGAACAAATGTTATTTTGAAGATATATTTGGATTAAATTCTGTATTTATTGGGAATTAATTGAAGGATTACGGCCCAACATAAATAGGTAGGTCATGTTGGTTTTCTGCACTGTCTCTACGGAGTGAAGGAGGGGTCATTTTTGGGCTTCAGGAGAAATGACGTTGGATTTTATAAAAGCAGGGTACGATTTACTGATTTATTTACAGAATTTACAGAATTTACAGAATTTACTATACTTCAGACTTTTTGGATATCTCCTTGAATCTTCAATCATATCCAATCATCTCTCTTACCTATCCCTTAATAAAGGTTTCTACAAAGACAAACAATCAATATCCACCCTCCCCTCCATACATACATACCACCGTCCCTCTCACACAATGACAACCCCTAGAGTCTTCGTAATCCGTCACGGCGAAACCGAATGGTCTCTTAATGGTCGCCATACAGGTACCACCGAACTGCCTCTTACGGCCAATGGAGAAAAAAGAATTCGTGCAACAGGACGAGCATTAATCGGTGATGATCGATTGATTGTTCCTAGAAATTTAGCTCATATGTATGTATATTTCATCCTCTTTCTCGGATCTCAAAAATTCATCCTTTCCAAATAGTCTGCCTCCACGGCAGTGGCTCCCGGAGGGCCAGTGGAGCGACATCCATTGAATGTCTAAGTTGATATTAATGGGGGCAAGCCCCCAGACCCCCATTTGCTCGCTGCGCTCGAATATTGCCCTTTTTGTTCATAGATTTGAGACATCACTCAAAACAAGATAGCCTCCAGTTCTGACAACCACACAGTTATGTATCACCTCGGAAGCGCGCACAGAGAACTCTTGAACTTCTTGAAGTAGGATGTGCTGAGAAGCTGCCATGGGAAGAGCAACGAAAACATGCTGAATCTGGTGAGCACACTCAGTTCCTTTACATCGCCCTCTTGATCCAAACATCATTTCATATACTCTACGATCCTTTCCCTATTTCAATTCCAATCTTCACCTAAACACTTCCAAAAATAAGCAAAAAACCACTCCCTAACCCAATACCAAGGAATTCGCACATCAGCCAAAGTAGAAATAACCCAAAACATCCGCGAATGGGACTACGGATCCTACGAAGGCATAACCTCCGCACAAATCCGATCCGATCGCAAAGCAGCCGGACTCCCCGAATGGGATATCTGGCGAGACGGCTGTCCAGACGGAGAATCCCCCGAACAAGTCACCGAAAGAATCGACGCTCTCATCTCAGACATCCGAACCAAATACCACGGACCAGTTATTGGGAAAAGTAAAAAAGAGGCTGGACCAAGTGATGTATTAATCGTAGCTCATGGACATATTCTCCGAGCGTTTGCGATGAGATGGGTAGGTAAGACGTTGATGGATGGACCTACGTTTTTACTTGAGGCGGGAGGTGTAGGTACGTTGAGTTATGAACATAAGAGTTTGGAGGAACCGGCTATTTTACTTGGGGGAGCGTTTATGGTGGATGTGGTGGAGAATTCGGCAAGTGATGAGAGGGGGAGGGTGATTGAGGAGGAGAAGAGGAAGGAGGGGAAATAAGCGAAGGGTATTTTTTTCGGTTAGGGGGGATAGGAATAAAATAGATGGTTTTAAAAAGATTAATACAGAGGAGTATTTTTAAATATATAGATTTTATGATCATGATCCGGCAATCAATATGAAAAATGTTCAATATTATTTGATTTAATATAAAATATATTATAAGGAAATACTTACAATAATAAATCCTTATTATATATAATATTTATCAAAGGCCTGCGCCCCCCGGACCCCTGGCTTTTCGAGACAGTCTAGTGAAAATTTAAGGTTTAAAAAGTTTATAATAAATTAAATATTAAATATATATCAGAGTGCAGGTAGAATATCGACTTGTTTTTAATAATTGAAAATTAAATTATTTTATTTAAAAATAATAATTATAATATAATTTAATAATATTATTTATAATAATAATAATATTTTATATTATTTATAATATTTATAATAATACTATTTTTATATTATTATTATTATTATTATTATTATTATTATTATTATTATTATTATTATTATTATTATTATTATTATTATTATTATTATTATTATTATTATTATTATTATTATTATTTTTAATTGAATAAAATAATTTGAATTGAATAAGATGAATTGAATAAATAAAGTTGAATTAAATGAATAGAGTTGAATTGAATAAGTTGAATGATTTTAAAGTTAAATGAATTAAATGATTTCAATTGAGTGTTACAAAATCATTTTATAGAATGTTACAAGGTAATAATCAACCTGTCCTTATAAGCTTGAATCTCTTTAAAAAGTAAAGCAATTTATATACAAATTTATATAGTAATTATTTCATATGATCTCTTTATCTTTAACAAATTCGGATATATAATCTGATCTTAATTATATAATAAAACTTCAAGGAATTTATACTTTTAAAAGCTTCAAAAAATCTATAGAAGTTTATACTTCTAAAAACTTCTAAAATAAATTAATATATAATCAGAATAATTTTATAATTTAGAAGTTTTATATTTAATTTAATTATTAATTAATTTATTTATATTGCAATTGATTTAGTAATATATTTATTTTTGAATAGATAACTAATGATTATTAATTTTAATTTATAATTATTAATTATACAAAACTTTAAATAATTATTATCTTAATTAAATTATTACATTTTAAGTATTATTATAATTAAATTATATATAATATAATAATTTTCAATTAATAATTTACTGAATCATTTTCTTTTAATTTAATTAGAGTTTTTATTTAAATTATTATTATTATAAAATATAAACAAACAATTCAGATATCTATCTTTGATTTATTTTATAAAGATTATAATAAATATTAAGTTTTTGTTGTATAAATTGATCTTTATTATACTTTTAATAAATAATTTTTCTTGATTTCGATATAAAGAATTTTATAATTGATCTTCTTTTTCTAAGAAATTATATTCAATTAAATTAAATCATTTTTTAATAATCTAATAATCAAGATTATTAATAATTAATTAAATGAAAATATAAAATCTAAAACTTATTATTTTTTCCTCAATTATAAATCGTTCAAATAGGGATTCGATAAAGTATTCAAAAAAGTAGATTCTGATTATATAATTGAAAGAATATTATAATAACTTAAATAGATCAAATTAATTATAATTTATATTATCAAATTTCAATAGTATATTGAATATATTATATAGAATAATAATTATCTAAAATCATAATTCTATAAAAAATTGAAAGATATTATCAAGAACGAATTAATAAAAACTTTGAAATCATTTAATCTTTTTGAATTAATAAAAATCTTTATTTTTATTAATAATCAATTTTATAAATAATAAATAAAAAAGAAAAGAATTATTTAGAAAAACAAAAAGTTCTAAAAACTTTATCGTTAGAATAAATATTATAATATCGATGATCTAATAAAATTGGATAGTATTAAATAATATTATATAAAATCAAATAATCTAAATATTAATAAAAAGAAAAAATATAAAAAGAATAATTTATATTATATTTATAAGAAAAATAGATATATATTTCAAGATTGTTTTCAAAAGAAGAAATTATTTATTATAAAAGATAAGAAATATATAAAATTTGAGAACAAAAAATAAAGTTCTTAAGAAGCAAAGATTTTAAAAGAAAGTTTAAAAGAAATAGGATTATTAAAAAAAGATTTATTTCAATCCAATCCTAAATAATTAAAGAAATTTAATATCAATAATTAAAACCTTAAAATTAGTATTGAGAATAATATCAATTATAAAGAAAAACCTTCAGAAAACCTCGAATTAAAAGATAAAAAACTAATCGAGAAATTCGAAAAGGATCAATAATCAATTAAATTCTATTATCTACTTTAGAAAAATAAATTATAATATCTAATCAGTTATTTAGATAAGAAACATATTTGATATCATTATAAAAAAAAGAAATCAAATTTCATAAAGGAATATCGAATTTATAATTATTCTATTTTGTTAATATTCTATATAATAATATATAATGATATTTATTATATAATATTCAAAGAAAATATTAAAACAAATAATACCAGAAGATATATATTATGAATATAAACTCTTTATTTTTTAATAAAATATAGAAATATAACAAATATAATTTGAAAATTGAAGAGGTATAGAAAATCCTATTACAAATCGGGATTTATTATATCTAATAAAAGATCAATAAAAATAATAGAAAAACATCAAATCAAGATTATTATCAAAACTTTCAAACAGAATTAATAGAATTATTATTTATCATATTTTATCGATTATTGAGTATAAACAAATATTAATAGAAATAACTGTATCTCTTTATTAAAGAACAAATTATCAAAACATTATCATTAAAACTTAATGATATTATAAGAATCAGATAATTAATTATAGAAATCAAATTAAAGAATTAACAAATCAATATTTTGATTAATTCTAAAATTATAAATATATTTATAGATTCTAACTTTATTAAAGAAAATAAAATTCTTATAGAACTAAAATAGGATTTTTATCAATTGATATTATTAGAAAAAAAAAATTGAAATTGATGATTGAATATACAAAGAAACCAATATTATTAAGATAATTATACTAGATAAATATATTAAATAAATCAAAATAAACTTAATATCATTAAATAAATATATAATTATTCTTGATACCTTATAGATTAAGAAATATAATCCAAATATCAATTAAATAAGAAATATTTTAATATACAATTATTACAATTATAATAACAAATAATTATATAATCCGAAAAAACAAACTTTCAAAGAAATCAAATATTATATTATAACAATAATAGATCCTTTATTAATTGATAAAATCGATAAAAAAAAATTTCAATATAATATAAAAGATTTATTAAGCTTTTCAAAAATATATAAGATTTAAAGATTTTATCAAAATATAAGCTTTAGAATTATAAGATCAACTTCAAAAAAGGATTTGTATTTTTTATCGAAAAGTTAAGATTATATAATTCTAATATTATAAAAGTATAAAAGAAATATAAAATTAAAATTGAAAAAAAAAAATAAATTAGAAAATCCAAATTTCTTTGTATATTCAATATATTATTGATATTCAAAAAAGATAATTTAAATAATCAATTTTACAAAGATTATTACCAAATTAATAATAAAACAATCAGAGATATATATCCAATACTAAAAACCTAGGAATTCAGGAATAAATTGAATAGAATTATAATCTATACGAAATTAAATCAAAAAAACATTTTCAATTTGATATAAATAAAAAAAGATTATAAATAGAAAATAATCTTTATATTACTATTGAATTTATAAGAATATACAATTATACTATTCAATCTAATCAATATATCAATTATATATCAATAATAAAACAATGAGATATTCAAAGAATTCAATTTATTTATAATTTATTATTTGAATAATATCTTAATCTTCTTTCAAAAAGAGAAGGAATATAAAGAATATATATTAAAAGTATTCGAAATATTTAAAAAAATGAATTCGAGATTCAAACTATCGAAATATAAGTTTGAAGTATAAAAGGTAATATTCCTAGAATATATTATTTAATTAAAACAAATGAATATAAATTCTAAGAAAATAAAGAAAATAAAAACTAAAACTATTTAGAAATATTAAGAATATATAATTTATATTGAGATTCGTTAACTTTTATTGAATATTTATAAAAGATTTTTTAAAAATAATAGAATCCTTTATTGAAATAATTAAAAAAGAAATAATTTTTATTTGAAATAAAAAGGCAGAATTGATTTTCCAGAAAATCAAGGATAAATTTATTAAAAAATCTATCTTTTATAATTATTATAATAATCAAAAAAATATTATCGAAATAAACATTTTTAATATCTATATAATAAAAATTCATTTACAAAAAAACAATAATAGAAAACTATATCTTATTGTTTATTACTCAAATAAGATAAACAAAATAAAACAAAATTATAATATTTATAAAAGAAATTTATAATTATTATAAAAATATTAAAACATTGAAGGATTTATCTTTAAGAAATTAAATTCCTAATAATTATTTATATTGATTATATAAATCTTCGAATCTTTATTATTATTAAGATTTTGAATAATTATAGATTAATTAGATAAATTAAAGAATTAACAAAGTTTGATTTGATAATCAAATATATCAAAAGAAAAAATAATACAAAAGCAAATACTTTGAATAGATTATCAAATTACAAAAACAATAAAACTTATCAAGAAATAACAATTTTGAAATTCTTATTAAATGAAAATCTTATTTTTAATCTAATAAAAATCATTATTATAAAGAATAAACCAATAAAGATCTAAAAGAATAAATTTATAAAAATATAACAAAACAAAAAAAGTATCAAATAATTGGAATTATTAATAATTATCAATAAATTATTTTGAATAAAGAACAAAATATAATTATTAAATAGTATTATTTCTAAATATATTATAGAACAATATATATTGTTAGTTTATAAATATTAAAGAATATAAAGAATATATCTAAAAATCAAAAAATAATATTGAAGTTTGAGATTCTATAATATAATCAATAAAATAATCATCAAGTATAATACTTATATTAAAAATAAAA